GTATGATGGCTCTGAATCAATGTTTTGGATAAATATCTTCCAATCCTTACCGTCACTCCAGTATATATTTACATGAATTTACTGTGTCACTGTGTTATTGCTGTTTGTAAACCCAGAGTTTGTAAGCGCAGCTTTGTTTTGTGTAGCCATTGTTTAATTGGCTTTCAGTGTAGTTGGGCTGATCTATGTATGCGAGAGAAAGAAGAATAACAGAGAAGCAAACGGCAGCACATAGCCCTCATACACACTGAAATTTCATCCCATTATTTATTCCTTAATAATCTGGGAGGGAGGCAGTGGTGCCTTTCAGCTCTTCCTCCTGTGCTCCCTGACCGTACCCTTCTGTTGGAGAAAAGAGCCTTGCGCCTGATATTATACTACTCCAAGGGACCTCCAGAGTTTTTAAATCTACATGTATCTTGCCAAAACATCGTCACTTGACACATAAGGTTCTCCGCAGAAGCAGCCTCCTATTAGTTCTCCATGGCATTTGTGATAAATGTCCTCATAGAGGCTGACTCACCTGTCCTCTTTGCACTGTGGATTTAAGCTTTGACTGGAGCTGGATGATGGTTTTTTAAAAAGGAAGAATCCTCTTCTCCTCCAGTAACAGCATGTAAATCTCAACATGTAATGCCATCATCCTGGGTGAGAGCTTCCCTGGTTGAGCTTCCCTGGTTGCGCAAACTCCCAGGGGCTGAGGCAACCCCCCCCTGCAAGTATAAGCCCCCTCAATATACAGGGAGCATTTGACTCCACCCCTGGCTCCTCACAGCGTTGCAAGTGCAATGTCAGGGTGTTGTGTAACGTTGCGCACGGACCCCCTCAAACCTCCTAAGGTGATTACGCCCCTGTGTGTCACACATCAAGATTGACCAGATATTTCTAGGATAAATGGAAGGAGGAGACTGGGGGCTGCTGCTTTTGCCTTTTTTAATGCATAAGGGGAAATCCTCACCCCCCCCAGGAAACTCAGGCATGATTTGCCAACCTATTTTGAGCACAGCTTGCACCCATGTAACCTACTTGGCTTATTTAAGTCTGCCTCTTGCATGCAGACTTGCATTGTGGAGGACTGGAGGCACTTGGGAGAAGATTTCAGGGATTTTGGAAGCCATTTTGACTAAGGGCTGTAGGACTGGAATTCAGGGCAGGCGCAGCTCACCAAGTTATGTGGAAAGGAAGAGCCTTTGTTATCTCATTATTACCTTCAAGTCTCTCAAATCCATATGAAGAGAGGAGCATATTTAAAATGAATTTGTGTGTGTTTTCAATGATAGCTGCTATTTCTAGCATACGATAAAGCTGTGATCAGGCAATCCATTTGATGCCAGTCTGTCCTGCTGAGACTCTTTCCTTATCTCAGTAGTCCTGCCTTTTGGGGTAGGGAGGCTGGATGGATAGAAGAAGACTTTAGCTCAGTCGGTCACTATTTTGGACTCTCTGGTTAGACCTGGGGAAACTTGCACTGAAATAAGTTTGCAACCTTGAAGGGAATCTCACTCAGTTCTTCCAAGTAAGTATGCACAAAATTACAGACTTAGACTGAAAAAATTACATATGAATTTTTGAATCTGTGTTCTTGGAAAACGCTGGGGGTGTAGGAAGAACTCCTGAAGTTGTCAGAGCAAATTACATCTGCATTTCCTGTCAGATTGCCTTCTGTTCTGGGATGTTGTCATAAAAATACAGCTCCCTGAGAGAGTCGGTAAATCAAACAAATACAAGCAAAAGATTTGCTGTTGTTAAAATAGTTCTACATTCTTCTCTACCCGAATGCTCCTACAACACTCATGCTCAATGGGCTGCAATCCAAAAGGTGCTTTGATGCACCTACTAAGACTTCCCTTTAAAAAACAACAAACTGTTTTAAACTTTTGTTTAAAGGAAATTGCTCCCATTGTCAGAGACAGTATATCTCTGAGTCCCACTTGCTGGCACCACGAGCGGAGAGAGCGATGTTGCTGTCCAGTCCCACTTGCGGGCTTCCCATAAATGTGGTTGGTCCCTTGCGAGAACATGATGCTGGACCAGGTGGGGCTTGGCCTGGTGCAGCAGGACTCTTCTTCTGTTCTTAAGTTAAAAACAAGAAGGGGGGGGGGGAGAAAGCACAACAAATGAGGGGAGCTAAATTACAAAGCGAAAAAATGAATCCTGAAATGGGCAAACAGTGCAATGGAAGAAAGGAAACAAAATAACTCTGCCCAAAATCAAAGCTGTAGTTAAACAACAGAGAAAATACAGAACTTGGTCAGAACACCTTTGGCAGAAGCTCCTTATACTGTATCTGTTCCACCTTAAAGCCTCTCTGAACTTCAGGACGGTGGCATATGGAATATATGTAGAATAAAGCTCTATAGTCGTAGTGTAACTGTTCTGAATTAGGACTTCAGCCATGAAGCTTCCTTCTTGGGCTTGGGCCAGCAACCATCTCTTCGCCTGACCTGCCTCATCTCAGAGGGTCGCTGTGAACATAAAATGGGAGAGAGGAAGAATCCTGCACACCCCTCTGAGTGCCTTACATGAATACATTAAATGTGCCATTTCCTCTTGTCACATCAAGATTGCTGTTGTCTCTTTCTGTCTTTCTATGGGCCCAATCCACAGTGGCCACTTGCCAGCCAGTATTGCCTGCAGGTTTATTCTTTGCAGGGATTGAACCTGCCCCGCTTTCTCATTAAGACTGAGTTTCATTAAGAGGGGTGTAGAAAATAAAGTCCACTTAATTAAAATGTGCTGCAGTTTATGTACGCTTGCCTTGAGTTATAGGCCTATAAAAAGGTAGGTGGTTATTTTTAAAATGTTTTCCTCATTAATTTATAAAGCATATTTGGGGAGCTGTAAACAGTTTTACAGCAAAATTAAACCGGATCTGCGACTGCACATCCAACAGGATGCGTTCTGTTGCCCCAAGCGAGCGCTTCTGGGGAGTGACACCATAACTGCGGCTCTGAAGGAGGTCACATCCCTGAAGGCCCTGAGGACTGTGAAGCATTCAGCTCAGGGAGGCTGCCTGGGGCACCTGGCCTGACTCACAGCTGGCTGGCAGCTCCATCTCCAAGGGAGGACTTCGGGGCACAGAAGCAGCAGCTGAGGGATGGGCAAGACAAGTCAGTGGAGAAGAGGGTCTGAGCTGTGAAGCATGGTGGAGTTTTACACTCCTCAATCCTCCCTCTGTGCTCTAATCTCTTCCGACGCCAGCATGGGTGAGAGGCTGGAACTGCAGCTCAAGTTGCCCATGGGAGCCAGCATGCAGGAATCTTTTCGCCCAACATGGGGCTCAAACTCATGAACCTGAGATTAAGAGTCTTATGCTCTACCGACTGAGCTATCCCAGCAGTAGGGTGTATACGGATGTGATAATACAGCCTATCTTGCGGGTCTGAGAGCAGCTGAGGGAGCACATACTTCTACATCCCCAATAGAACTAGTGCTTCTAATAAAAGAGAACTAGAAGGAGCAAACACAAATATTTTATGTGCAAAGGAATCTCACATCCCAGAGAAGGGAACGAGGGAGACCTCGCCTAAAACACCACCAGACATTACAATTAGCTGAGCAGTTATCACTGAGGATGTTGATCTCTGCAGCAGCAGCTGAAGAAAGAGTTTAATTGGGAATCAGCATCATATACTGTACTGATTGCCAGTTGCGTCATGTAATTTTAAAGTACTAAAAAACCCCAACCCAACCTATTTGCAGAACCTCTCCCCCAAGCATGGTGGTGAATAGGCTATGAAAAAGCCAGATCCTGCATTTCGTGCCCAAATGTTAAAAATCTCAGTCCTTTTCTCTCCCTGGAAGCAAAACACCACGAATTCGCGGTACTCTGTTCCAGCAGTTGTGGTGTATCTTCCAGGCATTTGAACTGTGGGGACAGAGGTGGCCCCCATTCACTTCAGAGTAGTAGAAAGCTTTCTAATGAATCTATACAAACAGCAAATCATGTTTTAATTTTTTTCCTGAAGTGTCCAGGAAAGGTTGCCTTGGGATGGTGGTGTGCTTGGGAGGAAGAAAAAGCCCCTGAACCATTTACACATAGAAAATGAGAAGGGACGGCTGGAACACTTCTCCCCAACATCAAGTTCTCTGTGCGGAGGGGGGAGTCAGCAATGCACCCCCCACCCTTCTTGTCTGATGTCACACAGCCCAGGAAAAATGTCATCTGGTTGTCATCATAGTTACGTAGAGAAGAGAATTTTAGCAAGAGGTTTTCTCAACCTCCATAACTTATGACAAGAAAATCAGCACCTTCTGAAATTTCATTCCCCCTCCGCCCCCATGATAAAGCCATGTCCTAGTGTAACTTCCAACAATATAATATCTCCTGTTCTATTTTTCAAATAAATATTCTAATGATAGATGATAATGGAGTTCTGCTAGGGTTGACATGGGCATTTTTAATCCTCAATCTTTCTTTAAGGAAAAAAAATCATTTGACTGTTCCCTCACCTCAAGCAGGATGTATCATTTCCTGATATTTTTCACTCCTTATCTAGAATTCATCCTGCTGACCCTCCTGATATTTCTGGTGAGTGTGCAGTGAGTTTATCCCTCACAAAATGTCAGAAAGAAAATGCCTCAGGAAAGCACAAAGGTTTTGAGTTTCACTCGCCTGATAGGGTTAGCAGCAAAAGGTTAATGGTTTCTCTCACCCTTTTTTGTTGGCTAAGGCACCATAATGCCATCCTAGAGACCAAGCTAATCTTGGAGCAGCTGCTAATGGTTTTCTTCTAAACATGAAGACATCTGCTTAGATTCCCCTTTTCAGTTGTGTGTTGGGTATAAACATCAGATCAGAGGAAAATATGATACAGCCACTTTTATGTCACTGTTAGTTCACAACATATGGCTTAGTTGGGGGATGGGCAGATCACTCCCCCATTTGTGTTGCTTTCATATTTGTTCATTCATAAGTCAGTTTCGTACCATTTCTGCATTAATTTACAAATGCTTAAAAATGCTTGAAACTTCATATTTAAATACATATTTTAATCAGTATATATATAATTGTGCATGCTTTTAATGTAAAATACATTTAGATATGCACTTTATCTCAATGTATGCATTTCCAAACCCATTTTTATCCTAAAATGCACATTTTAAACACATTTTGGTCTCTTTATTGAGCTATAAGAAAAATTGGGACAGGGTAATTATGTTCTAGGTGGGACACGGGTGGCGCTGTGGTCTAAACCACAGAGCCTAGGGCTTGCCGATTGGAAGGTCGGCGGTTCAAATCCCTGCAACGGGGTGAGCTCCCGTTGCTCGGTCCCAGCTCGTGCCAACCTAGCAGTTCGAAAGCACGTCAAAGTGCAAGTAGATAAATAGGTATCGCTCCGGCGGGAATGTAAACGGTGTTTCCGTGCGCTGCTCTGGTTTCACCAGAAGTGGCTTAGTCATGCTGGCCACATGACATGGAAAAACTGTCTGCGGACAAACGTCGGCTCCCTTGGCCAGTAAAGTGAGATGAGTGCTACAACCCCAGAGTCTTTTGCGACTGGACTTAACTGCCAGGGGTCCTTTACCTTTTAATTATGTTCTGATTGTCCTGTTAGGCTAGAAGGTACACATAAGAACAATCCGAAGCCTGGGGCTTTGTATACATGGAGAAATGCACTTGTTTAGCTGATACATAGGGTTACTTGGCTGATAGCCTAGCAAAATGTACTGTGTGTTAGGCAGTCAGCCAAACCCCCTGTAGGCCAGGCTGGGGTTGTGGGGGAAGGACAGTATGCTGGGACTGAACCCCTTCTTCCAGCTGTTTTATGTGTACATGGGCAGAAGTGCTGTGGGTGGGGTCCTAACTGGTGACAACCCAGGAAAGCCCTGAAACCAGTCTGCATGTCAGGGGTAGGTAGCTAACATGGTACCCTCTAGATGCTCCTGGACTACAACCCCCACTATCCCTGACCATAGGACGTGGGGCTGATGGGACTTGTAATCCAACACTATCTGAAGGGCACTGTGTTGGATACCCCTGAGGGAGGGGGCTGGGCCATGGCCTGAATAGCTGGCAACTATGATATCACAGGGGCTCACAAAGATATGGTTGCCAGTGGATCAGCAGGGCGGGGAATGGTCTAGCCTGTTCTGGTACTTAAAAAAAAGATATGGTGGTTTTCCAAACAATTTTTTTTATTCCATACTATTTAAATTATGCAACAATGGGAACAGAGAAGCGGGGATGGACTGAAAGGGAGGAGGAGGAAGCAAGAGGAGGAAGTAAGGAAACTCAAGAGTCTCAGCTACGCCAAGGAGTTACCAATATCCCCAGGTCACTAAGCACAAGTTTCAGTAAACTCAGACACGAACACAGCCATGTGTGCGTCTTCTTGCTGTTCTTGCCTGTAGGCTCCAAGTTCATAGGAGGACAGAGAATGTAACTCTGTGATCCTGTATTGTACTCAAGGTAGAAAGGTCTCCTTCCAGTGGTGCAGCATTAACTGTTTTGCCACAAACAAAGCAGAGAAGATCCATTGCTCTTGAATTGAAAAAAGGTTTCATATGGAGAGTATAAAATCACAGTAGATAGACATCTTTAAACCACAAAGAGGACTAGGTTGGTGATAACCAGGACTTCTGCCCAAAAATGGTTTTTTGCCAAGCATGCCCATATGGAGAGGATATATTAAATACCTGCATCGTTGATTATAGTTGGGAGGCAGGCATCCGTTTTATTGTTGAAGCAGACATGCTTCTAGATCTAGCAAGGACCATGCAATAGAAGGAAGCACTACTTTCCATAGCCCTGGTGACTTTAAAAGCACTTTGATCTGGTCGGTGTAGCTTTTCATGGCACAGAGATGAGCACTGTCATCTGCTAATGTTTGTAGATCAAGCTTTTATTAAAGCTGCACAAGAGCAGAGTCCAGTAGAAAAGTGGGCAACATGGAGCTTTCTCTTATCAGCATGAGAACATCTGCAGGATAAATAGCAGCTGCATGGATGCTCATGGGGTGTCTGCCTAAGGCTTAAAAGTAAGTTGTGGTAAACTCAAGCAAACCCAGAGGGCATGGAGGATTATTACAGAAGTTGCCAAGAATCTGAGTACTTTTCTGGAGTTTTAACAGGACACAGAACAGCGTTTTCAAAACACATTGTGCTATAAAAACAGGTGCACTTCAATTCCCATTGCGAAGCATGACATCACTGTTAAAATCTCATGGGAGCTGAGTAAGGAAAACATTGACTTAATCCTGTGGGCAAATAGTGCAAGAAGCAGAGAGCTTTGTTTACTTGCAAGACATGCAGCCTCATCCTATGCAAAGTGAAGTGTGCCTACTCTGTTGAATCCATGGGCTCAGGTGCCCCAAACTCTGTCTGGTTTGCAGCTTTAGAGTTTGGCTAAAGCAGAGGTGAGAACCTGTGGCCCTCCAGTGGTTACTGGACCACCTTCTCCATCCTTCCTGATCATGGTTCTGCTGGGGGAACTGGAGTCCAGCAACATCCAGTGGGAAATGTGTTCTCCTGGGTGAAAGGAAGCCATGGATAAGGGAGACTCCAGGGTGAAACTGCTGAAGTGAATCAAGGTTCTGAGTAAATACTTGTGCCTTTGAGTGCTCCAAAGCACCATAGAAGTGTTGAGTATCTATCATTATTCCAGGAACTGGTGCAGCCTTTCCCAAGGGGTCCCAAGGGACACACTCCCTGCCAGGCAAGTGGGCACAGACTGCAGCTGAGAAGAATGAGTGACATTTTACAAAGTCCTCAATTCAAATCTTGCTTTGTCACACCCACGCTTTCTCATACATACATACATCATTTTATTTGTTCAATAACTACAAACATAACAAAAGTAATCGTGAGTAACAAATAAAATATCAGCAAGTACACAATGAAATGGAACATTTCCACGTAAGATTTAAAATTAAGATACCAGAAAATTATATCAATACCAGCAATGCACCAACAAAACCCTTTAAATAAGGCCCCAGCCCAGGGGTCTCAGTCTAGGGGAATCGTGCAAACCCACAGAGTAACATGGGCTCCCAATCTGTGGCCCACGGGCTTCATTCAGCAAGGCTGCGGATTTTCGACGGAAGACGGCACATCCGACGCGTTAAGTATTCACACTGATTTTTAATTATGCTTGTGCCGCTTTCATTTCTTCCATCTTAGTGTATTACAGTTTGAAGTCTATGGAACTCCATAAAAACAAGACCCCATTTAGCCTGGCGCATTACAGATGCTACAGCAGGTGCTGGTCCAGGCAAGATTCTGTCGTTACCGGAGACCCCGCGGCTGCCTCCAACTGCGAGCAGAAGCGCAGGAGCCCCAGCTCGAAGCCCGGTTGCTCTCCGGCTCCCCCTCCTCGCTGCTCCCCGCGCTTCCCCCGGCCCGCCGCGCCCTCGAGGGCCCCCTCTCCTCCTCGGCCGGACAGGTGCGCCTCGGGGAGCCGGCGCGGCGCGGCGCGTCTTCGGGGCGGCGTGTCCGGGGCGGCGGAGCGGCGGGAGGCGCCGCCGGATGGGGCGGCCGCGGGAGCGCGGAGCAGCGGGCTGCGGCGGCGCCTGCGCACTGCGCCCTGCGCGCCCCTTCCCCCCTCCCGTGCCGGGCTCGGCCCGCCCCGCTGGCGACGCCACGAAGAGCGAGCGAGCAGGTGGCGCGCCCGGCAGCCGCTCCGTTTCTCCGGGCTGGGAGGAGGCGGAGGAGGACCAAGGCGAGCCTGCGCCTGAAATGCGCGCCGGCGCCGGGAAGAGAGCAGGAGAGGCTCCCGGCGGGGACGGGGCGTCGTCGGGGGCGAGCGGCGAGCGGGCGCGGGCTTGAGTCGGGCTCGGCGCTCGGAAGCCCGGCCAGGAGCTGCCTCGGTGCCAGGATGCGGCGGCGCGGCTGCTGTGCCTGGACGGGCGCCGCGCCGGCCCCGAGCATCCTCCTGTGGTGCCTGGGCGGATGGGCTCTGCTGGGCTGCCGGAGCGCCGAGGCGGTGGCGGCTTCGTCCATCCTGCAGCTGCCTCAGTGCCAGGAGGTGAGATGCGGGCGCTGCTTCTTCTCCTTCTCCTTCTCCTTCTCCTTCTCCTTCTCCTCTCTCCCTCTCTCCCTCCCCGTCGGGCAGACAGAGCCGAGCAGTTGGGGAGCCCAGCCCAAGGCGGCCAGGAGGCGCCGCGCCCCCCGCTCTCCAGCTCGCTCTCCTCCGGCGAGTAGGAAGTTGGTCTGGCGAGAAGCGCAGGGGGCCGCGTCCCTCGCTGGGATATCCATCCCCTCGAAGTATCAGCGCTTCTGGCCCAAGGAGGGGAGATCCCACGTAAGCGCTGGGGCACTAAGAGGATTTCAGACAGGGCTTTTTAGGGGGAAAGCGCTCCATGTCTGTGAACTCGGGCTGCTTCCAGGCGCCGTGTTCCCGGCGAGTTCTTCCCGATTTGTTTCCGCGGAGACTAGACCTGAGCTACTTTAGACGAGCGTTTGTCCGGATTCATTTTCAGGGGAGATGGATGATGTCGTTGCACCGAAGCAGGTGTGGCCTCACACTTTTCTTGAGAGGTGGGACTGAGTTTGCTGTGCAAGAGCGACAGCAATTGTGCAGCTTGAATCGGGTGGCGTGTGATCGAGTTATACCCCAAAATAGCGACAGCAAGAAAGCGCACTTCCTAATGCTTGCAATAAGCAAGTTAGCCGATTAGTATTACTGTATTAGTATTCTCATTTTGCGGATAAAAAGCGGAGGCTGTGGGGTCGCCCCTCTCCCCTGTGCCATTTGCAGTAGGAGCATCGTGACACGTAGAAATTAAGCGAGCAAGGAGATAAATGGACCGGGGTGAGGGAGCAGCTCCTGCTGAATTTCTGGGTGTTAGGAGCAGAGCCAGCAAAAACCCTGGCATCCTTAGAGATCGAAAAGTCCTCGTGCTTGTCTAGCAGCACAAAGCGAACACGCGTCTGCTCAGAAGTCAGGCCTATCGAATCTAATGGGCTTTGCTCCTAGGAATGGGTGTGCGCGATTGCTGCTGGATCACTTCATAACTGAGGTGCGATTTTAATCGAAATCTTCCTGGTTCTTGGCTCCTGTTCTAAGGAGCCAGCTGCACACGCAACTAAGCAGATGCCGTGAGACCTCGATGGGCTTTCTAAAAATTAAAATCAACTCTCTCTCTCTTTGTGCGTGTTTAGCTTTGGACAGAGGAGCTTGAGGGAGTGCTTAACCCTTTCCCTGATGACTGTTGTATTTTCTGAGTTTAACAGTCTTCTCCAGCAGCTTTTCACCTCTGTAGTGCCTGTTACCCTGGTATAAATTAATCTGGAACTCATGTGGGTGGGAGATGCATTCAGCGTGTGTGTTATTTTGGAAGGAAGGAAGGAAGGAAGGAAGGAAGGAAAGAGACTTAAGTATCCTCATCTTCCTTAAAGGTTGCTTTTTCCAAAATCACAACCTCCTGAACCTGCTTTTTATTAATCGCAATAAAGCAATACTTTTTAAAAATATGTGCTTGTACATAATACGAACTTTCCCTGTAACTATGTCTGCTCATTTATGGAGACACAGGCAGAGCCATCCTCAACAAATGTTGCTTTCACGGTTGGCTGCCCGACACCAGACCTGGGCAGACTTCACCTCTATAGGATCTACTTTACCTATATGATAGGGTCCCCAAAGCCCACTCACCAGACCCAGGTGCACCCCATGAGCCACACACTAGGGGGACATGTATGTACAAATCTCTATTTGAGTTACTTGAGATCAGGGCTTCTAATATGAGGGGAGGTGGGTGCTGCTTTTTGGTGCTGCTACTGCTAAACAATTGGGAATCAGAAACACTTGTTGACCTACTGCAAATCAGATCCAGATTGTCTCCTGCCCACCCTCTGCACTATGGGATCTAGTGCATTTGCCAGGATCCCATGCTTGGAATGCAAATAGCTCCCTCTGGGAGGAGAGTTGCTCCCTAGTGCCCTCTGCAGCATTATGGCAGAGGTTTCTGGGGCATCCCCCTGGCACTGAATTCAGTGACGCCCTCAATCCCATTGCCATGCTAAGCAGTGTGGGTTTCTCGTGTAAGCCCTGGGCCTGAGGTTTTGCTTGTTTACTTTGTTAGATCTGTGAAAAGGACCAAGAGGGCTTGAGCTTGGTTTTTCACTTTTCTCTTCACATTTGAAACCTCTCTTCATCAGCTCTTCCAGAGAACTCAAGATGGCATACATTTGTTCTCACAGCAATCCTGTAAGATAAGTTTGGTGAAAAGCACCGGAAGCTGCCTTTCACCAAGAAATCTTTGTCCATATAGCTTAATGTTGTCTGCACTGACTGGTAGCAGGTTGCAGACAGGGGTTTCTCCCAGCCCTACTTGGAGATGTTGAGGATTGAACCTGGGACCTCTTTCACGCAAAACAGATGCTCTACCACTTAGCTAGGTTAAAGGTAAGTTGGGCTGAAGCCTGCCTTGCCATAGACCAGGGTCTCCCAAACTTGAGTCTCCAGCTGTTTTTTTGGACTACAACTCCCATGATCCCTAGCTAGCAGGACCAGTGGTCAAGGATGAAGGGAACTGAAGTCCAAAAACAGTTGAAGACCCAAGTTTGGGAAACCCTGTTCTAGATGATGCACTGAGTGTCCTGACTGAGGCAGGATTTGAAACCTTATTTCCTAGCTCCTAGTTCCAAATTCTACCCTCATTGGCTCCACAAGGTATTATTACACTTATGGGCTTGCCATATGTACATATCTTTTTCATCTGATGCAGCTGATGAGGTAAGCTGTCCATTCAAAACGGGCAGGATGCACACTAAACCACTCAGCTCAGCCTTCTTCACTCTTGGGACTGCGGATGTTTTTGGATGACCTTTGGCTAAGTTGGTTGGGGCTGATGGGAGCTCTAGGGCAACAACATCCAGTGGGCAGACGATGCTTTCAAAGGGCAGCTCCGCCCCCTCCTGATTGTCTGGCTGTGAAGTCCTTCACGGTGTGCCATTGGTTGATTGACAGGTGGGCAGCCTCAGCCATCTGTCAGATTTGGCCTGTCAGGGATTGAGGAGATAAGGATCTGGTTGGCCTGCCAGAAAAAAAAGTTCCCCAGCCCTGGCCTACAAGGAGCTGCAACCATTTCCTCCTTTGCAACATTTGAGTGCTGATAGGATCTTCTGTGCTGTGCCTGCAGAAGTCCAAGGGGAAACCGCTGGTGTCTTCCGTTAAAAGGTTCAAGAGGCAGGGGCTGGGAAGCAATTCTCTGCCAAAGAGAGCTTCTGCCGATTGCAGTAGACAATAGTGGGCTAGATGGATAAATAGCCTGACTCAATATAAGGCAGTTTCAGAAATGCCCACTCTCACTGAAGAGTCTCTGACAGGCTGTGCTGCGTGCTCAATTTATATTGGGAAAATGTTCCATGGCTGCCTCTGCAGGGTCTTTTCTGTGGTGGCACAAAGAGTTGAAAATTATTCCTGAAGGGAATTGGCTTATTTCTCTTTCTCCTCCTGGTTCAGAGAAAAGCTAAGGCATTCTTATTTCACCCAGATTATGACACTGCTGAAAAATAAATAAAATGGAAACTGAATCCCCCCCCCCCCGTTGTTAATGTTGACGTTTTGATTAATTCTGTATTGGTATTTTGATTTGGGAATATTTTGAATATATTTTAGACAGTTGGCTTATGCAGGATGTTCGGCAGAAGCACAGGGCTATGTACTCAGAAATAAGTTCCGTGGAGGTCCATGGGCCCTACTCTCCAGTAAATGTGCATCACAGCCTTACAGAGCAACAGAAGCCTCTACTCTACCCTTCTGGATGGTGTTTGGATTTGATGTGGGTGTCCCTGCGCTTGGCTCTGCTCTCCTGCCACAAGGGCCCCTGCTAGGCCTGCTGGCAAGCCCTCTAAAGGGAGCTTTTGGGAGGCAGGGAGGGGGTGAAGCTGGGCTGGCCGAGAATCTCTCAGATCCTCAGCCAGTCCACTTACCAATTATGTGCCCAACTTTGACTTCTCTGCTGCTCTGGCCAGAGCAATTGCCACTTCTGCCCTGCCCAGTGCAAACGGCAGAGTTTCAGAGATGTTGGCGGCTCCCCTGCAATGTTCACCTCTGCTGTTTCTGACCAGGAGTTGTTATTATTTATTAAACTTATACACCACCCTTTATCAAGAGATCCCAAGGCGGTTCACGTGATAAAATACAGTGGTATCTCAGGTTAAGAACTTAATTCGTTTCGGAGTTCCATCCTTAACCTGAAACTGTTCTTAACCTGAAGCACCACTTTAGCTAATGGGGCCTCCTGCTGCTGTCGCACCACTGGAGCAAAATTTCTGTTCTCATCCTGAAGCAAAGTTCTTAACCCGAGGTAATATTTCTGGGTTAGCGGAGTCTGTAACCTGAAGCGTATGTAACCTGAAGCGTATGAAACCAGAGCTACCACTGTACAAGATAAAACACAAGTAAATAATTAAACCAAAAGGTTGTAGGATATTAATCTCTGTATAAAGCCAGTTCCTGGGTTGTTCCACACCCATCTCAAGTGATCAAGAAGCAGAGCCCAGGGTGGGACTCTGCAAAGAAAAGGATAGGGATATGCAGATAAATACTAGCTTGGTTTTCAGTCATGTCCATTTGGCTCTACCAAAAGAAATAAAGAAACTTCAAAACAGATTGCATCTCCAGCATTGGAACCTGAAGTGAATCCTTAGCTCCCTTCCTTGCCATTCTTTTTGCTTTATTGTGGGTATTTTAGTAGTAAATCAGCAAACCAACCAAGAGTATAAAGCCCACTGTAGTTCCTGCTTTAACAATACAGTACTTCACGAGTCGTCCTCTTCTGCCTCCTCCAAGCAATTCTTTATGTTTCTTAATAACCAGTTATCTGAAGAGAAGCCATAGCAAGCAATTTGTTTTTGCCCTGGATCAAGTGAAATTCAAGTTTTGAGGTCTGGCGGACATGCATGCTGAACTCAGCAACTTCCTGGAATAAAATAGTTTGGGGAAATGTTGAGGTCTTTCTCTGCCCATCTGTTGCTTTCATGGCCGGTGTGTTCAGTTTTCAAGGCCTTTTGACCTTGTAGCAGTTTGAAAAGGAGGCAAACTTGTCATACTAGCAAAAGATTTTAGACTGTAGCAAGCTGGTGCTAAGACATAATATACATGTTAACACACGCACATTCTTTCTCCCCAGAGTTTGATAATTTTTTGTTTGTTTTTAAATGATACTGCCTTCAAATGATATCCCTCTTCCCAAAGGATAGAAGGTGGAATTGAGGGTGGGAGTGGGGGAAAGAGACTGATGGGCAGGTCCAGTTGTCTGTTGTTACTCATGCAAACACTTGTGATAAATGAATGGCAGGAGCAGGAGAATGAACAAAGGGGGAAAGTTGACCATTTCAGCTGATACTAAATTTCCTGCAGCAGTTGCAGTGACTATTAAGCCAAGTCAAAATCCAAACTTGTACATTTAAAAAAATAACATATCTATCTATCATCTCTCTCTCTCTCTCTCTCTCTCTCTCTCTCTCACTTTCTATATCTCTGTCATCTATCTATCTATCTATCTATCATCTATCATCTATCATCTATCATCTATCATCTATCTATCTATCTATCTATCTATCTATCTATCATCTATCTATCCTCTCTCTCTCATATATCTCTATCTACCATCTATCTCTATCTACCATCTATCATCTATCTATCTATCTATCTATCTATCTATCATCTATCTCTATCTATCTATCTATCTATCTATCTATCTATCATCATCTATCTATCTATCTATCTATCTAATCTATCATCTATCTATCTATCATCTATCTATCTATCTATCTATCATCTATCTATCTATCTATCTATCTATCTATCTTCTATCTATCTCTATCTATCTCTGTGAGTTGAGGAGGAGTTAGCAGCCAGCAGCAACTTAGCTCATTGCCGCATCTGGGAGCTTGCAACCAAGAGCTCTCAAACCGGGGCATTTGTGAGGGCGTTTAGTGGGAGAGTTTGAGGCGGAGGCCAAGAGTAGTGTCTCTCGGTGTGAGACGGGTGAGCTCCCCTTGCTCTGTCCCAGCCCCTGCCAACCTAGCAGTTCGAAAGCACACCAGTGCAAGTAGATAAATAGGTACCGCTGTGACAGGAAGGTAAATGGTGTTTCCTTGTGCTCTCATTTCTGTCACAGTGTCCCATTGTGCCAGAAGCGATTTAGTCATGCTGGTCACATGGCCTGGAAAGCTGACTGTGGACAAACGCCAGTTCTCTTGGCCTGGAGCGAGATGAGCGCTGCATCCCCATAGTTGCCTTTAACTGGAATAAACTGTCCAGGGGTCCTTTACCTTTACATTTTAACAGCAACACCAGAACTTGCAGCGTACTAAGTGAGGAATAATCCTCATTAATGAATGTCTTTTTCTAGTCACTCTGCGATAGATGTTCTGTCTCCTGTTCCAGTACATATATTGATATCTGAAGCAGCTCTTAAGGAGGCAAGTTAGGAGAATTAGCATCTAAATCAGATGTGATAAAGCACAATATATTCTACATCTACAGCAGAAGTTGAACTTGTTCCGAATAACTTCATGGCAAAGTCAACTAGCAATTCATACTTTCAAATGAGGCCCCCTATCCATGTTTTATACTTATGTAACTCTCTAGTCTTTGCTTATACAAGGACCCACCATTATCCCTTTTTCTGGCAAGGAAGAGTAGGTGGATTGAGAGCCTGTTTTGACAGCAAAACTCCTACCCTATGACTAAGGGTACATATATATAAGCCAACACAATGTGCCATAGACTGCTAGCGTTGCCAATATGTTGAGCTGAATAAAAACTGTTGCATTTTTTTTTTAAAGTTAGGCTGATAAGAAAGTAGATTGAAGATATTGTAAGAGTCATCATCAGTCTTAACAACTAATGCATAACTAAGCACACTGACTGCCAACACCTGTTGGGAACCCCCCCCCCCCCCGGAATCCTGAACATTTGGGATTGCCACCTGCCTGGAGGTATTGGCCAGCTTTCTTTCTTTTTATCTTTTTTCTTTATTATCAAACTGTGACTTAAGAAGTGTGTTCCTGCCCCCTGCCCCCAGGAGAGAGCAAAGGCATGACCAAAGCAGAGCAGGTGAGTCAGGAGTGGAGCCTCATGGAATTGGATGCATCAGGTGCACCCCAAAGCATTGTGGGATGGAGGCTGGGGCTTCTGGGAGTGGGCTTTCCTGCAGCAAACTCTTACACAATTAATCTTCTGGAATCGATAGAAGTGCAGACACACTACAATGTACATATACTTGAACAGAGTTAGGCAAGTGAGCAGAGTGTACTGCCCTGCCTGGCAGAGGACAGCAATGACAAGAATTATTCTCAGTTAGGGAGAGGGAAACCCTCAGATCACTTAACTTCATCAGAAGACGTGGGAAAACCATGTCCCAACTCCCTGAATTGGATAATACAGTCACAGTGTTGCTTCCAAAAATGGTCACAGGAGCATATAAGCTCATTAGTTGTTAAAACTGAGTGGTATGAATGTATTTAGAGGCATGGGGAATGTTACTTCTTTGGCTTCTGGCAGTATTAGTGTGTGTGTGGGGCAGGGGGAGTCCCTGTGGAAATGAAAGGCAAAGGAGAACCTGGGTGAGCAGGCAGAGGAGGTTTTCAATGAGGTTCCACCCCATGATTCATTTGAGATGACTAAAGAAGACAGAGGGAGACTTGGCAAAACAAATTGTGGGTTTGTGGCATGGGAAGGAGTGTGCACATGGGGCAACCAAACCTGGATGCAGCCTCTAGCTGTGGTGAGTCCCATCATGCATTCTGTTCGGAGATGCCCTCATGGTTCACCAGCTTTATTAAGTCAGCAGCAAGTTCCTGTAGGATACCAGCAAACTCACCGTTTTCAAGTTCCAGCGCCGTGGCTTCCTGGAGAATCCAGAAATTTAGGAGTGGCTTTCCTGGCGGGGCAGGGATACCAAAAGTTCCTATCCCTCCCCTTTCTGATCACTTTGCTTTTCCATGGAGACGGATGCCATTAATTGCTATTAGGTTTCAGTTCTGCTTAGACTTCAACAGCAAAGTCACATCTCTTTCTGGAACATTTTGTTGCATATCTCTATCCTACTTTATCAAATAATTCCTTCTTTTTATGTTTCTATATCAATATTTGAAACATTTAGGTAAACCCATCCAATCTTACTGTTTTTCAATTATAACTAAAAATCATTTTTTAAAATTACTTTCTTGGGTTTTGATTTTGCTCCAGTCTATTTAAAAATGACCTTATTTGGGCCACTTTTCAGTGGTGGCTTTGCAAATGTGACCCTCTCTCCCTACTGATGTCTATCTTGAAACTTTACTTCATATTTTTAAATGACAGGTGAATATGTACCTCTTCCACCAAGTTTTTGAAGAGAGGGATTGGTTTTGATGAATCTGATGAGTTTTCCCCTGTTGGGCTGTTGTTTTATGGTGTTCCTCTTTTATGCTGTTTCAATTTTAATTTGGTTTAGTTTTTAAGTTTGTTTTCTTGATGCATATAGCCCTGTGGCTGTAAATAAATAAATGAAGCCCATTCCACTTCTTCCCTGGTTGGGGGGAAAGTAACTCAGGTGGGGTTCTCTTCATACACCAGCACAGCCCTGTTACGGCCAATAGGAAAAATATCTATTTTTGTGAGCCACAAATAATAACCCTTGTTTTTTGTTTTTTTTTTAAAAACATGCATTTTTAAAAACACCAAAACAGACTGCAGTTTGAAAACAAATAAAATCTGGAGTAGGGTTACCAACAACTGGGTGGGTGGGAGTCTGGCTATTTGTGTGTGTTGGCCAGTTTCTGGGAAAGGGTAAGACAGCGTTTTATTGGGGTGCCTCCCCTTGCCTGAATTTAGAGTGTTTTGTGCACCAGTGAGTGCTGAACTCTACCCTCTTGATCTCCCCCAATGGGCTGTGCCAGTAAATTCTTCAAAGGCCCTCCAGCTGCAGATCCAGCGCAGGCTCTGTCCCCAGGTCTTGCTCAGATGCCCAAATTCAATAACTGGAGTTCTTGTTATTAAGTATGCCAAGAAAAAAGCACACCAAGAACTCAGGCCAATATAAGAACTCAGGCCAATATCAGGATTATACATCATTTCTTTAAGACCACTGCAGCTGTCCTCTGAACTTTAGAACTCTATGCCTTTAAGAAGATCTAGGGATCCCATCTACCCCTCTAAGTGCATATAAAAGGTAACAGGCTCACTTTCAAATTGGAAATACACATAAAAGCTCAAGATACACGTTGATCTACCCACATGTAGGTGAGGAATCATATGATTATATGCTGCCTTAGAGTTTTAAATTTGATTCAACGCATGTAACTATTATTAATATTGATTAATTTCAGTTCTTATCCTTGAGAAACGTGGAAAATAACAGGATATATTTATCCAAAAGTCTTCAAACTTACACAACCCTTTAAAAATTAGATAAGGAACCAAATGTTATATAATACTGTTTTATAAATTATAATTCATGATAATTTAGAATTTAAATGTAATTTCATGTAACATTTGATACTTCCAGCTGATGAAGGTGAATACATCGAAACAGGGCCCTGTCCTGATTTAATCCATAATTGACTTCTGACTTCTGCTCAGTGATTGAAACTAAGACCTCCACGATGAATCTTACTATGGACTAACATGAACTTATCTCTACTTATAAACTCTTACTTCTAATTCTGTAATGAATTATTGTGTTATACATATTTTTATGAGTTTGAGTTTGTAATCTCTATTTGAGTTTGTAATCCTTGTCAGACTACCTACTTTTGAATGGATTAGTTTTTGTTACTATTGACTATTGATTTGTGAGTAGGGACCACTCCCACTATTGAAACTTATATTGGCCTGAGTTCTTGGTGTGCTTTTTTCTTGGCAAATTCAATAATTGGCAGGCCTGATCGGCAGGACATTTTATAAGAGGCACCAAGGACTTTAAAGCATTGAACTAGTGTTCAGCTCAAGAGCTCATTTAAATCTCACAGCAGCTGCTGTGCATGTGGAGGAGGCATTCCAGTTTTGCTCATGTCAGACCTGTTGTTCTTCGAGGATCCTGCCTGCTCTCTTTTAATGAGGAGAGGAGAAAACGCCAGTGAAAAGGTCTCTTCAGAAAAATCTTGAAGAGAAAAGTGAGCTAATCACGATAAGCAAGAGAGCAATTCGGTAAACCTTGTTGAAATGGATTTCCTTCCTAGAAGTTTAACAGCTGCTGTGCCAAACTGTTCAAAATAATGTAAAAACCATTTGATATGCATTTATTTTGATATTTTTTAAAAAAACTCAGTCTTTGTAGCCCGGAAGCTTGGGCCTGTTAACAAGGCTTATGGACTGGAGCACGTGGGTTTTTACTCTTGAGCCTTTGCTGTCTACTAGAAGTCTCTTGTGGAATTTAGGTGGTGGGAAATAATCGGAGGTGGAGCTTTGTTCTGTGGGGCTGCTTGTCAAGGCAGCCCACTCATCTATTTGACTTTTATGAAAGCAACAACTCCGTATTAATGCCTAGGTAGTGGTTTAATTTTGTCATGGTATCAACGTAAACATGCAAACTAGCGATTGTTACTATATTAGGCAAGCAGGAGCCTTGGTTCGAAGTTTACAGCTGCTTTGTATGTGGCAGAATCATAGAGCTGGGGAGGTGGAAAGAATCATCTAGTCCACCCCCCTGCAATGCAGGAGTCTCAGCTCAAGCATCCCTGACAGATGGCCATCCAATCTCTGCTTAAAGATCTCCAAGGAAGGAGCGTCCACCATCTCCCAAGTGAGACCTTTTCACTGTCCAACAGCTCTTCCCAATACCTCTGAACTGCTCTCCATCCCAGGGCTATCACAGCCGGGTTTGGCGGTTCAGGTAACATACTGTGGCCAATAGCTATGCCAATACCACAAATTTGTGTAAATTCCTGTTAGTCCACCCCATGTCTCCAAAATAACCTCAATCTGTGGCTCACACATTTCGGCTGGCCTTTGTAGCCACCAACATCATTTGTGGTCGCTACTGGCTCTGCTGCGCACCATTGGGAAGAGAGATTCCCCCCGCCCCGGCCTCACACAATATGAGAGACCCTTTCATTCCCCACGTTCTCACCACAATGTAGAGAACTCATGATGAATAATCTCTCATTTTCTGCTGAAGGCATGTGATCACCAGAATGAAAAACATTGGGTGAAATCCAATGGTAGATATACTCAGAGCTGACCCACTGACTTTAAGTGACTTAAATTACTTAAATTCATTACTTTAAATGAGTTCACGCTAGAGTAACAATGGTTACCGTTCATTGTCACAACTTGCCCTGTCCCTTTTCTAAATTACCTGACACATATGAGACCCAGGAGAGGGTTGAGTACTTCCCTCCTAGTTTATACTGGAGGCACAAAGTGGCAGAGAATGGCAGCATGGTGAGAAATGCCTTCTCTCTCGGGGGGGGGGGGAATTGTGGGAGCGGGGGGGGCACTGGCATTCTGAGCCAGGGGCAAGTGGTTACCAAAACAAAAGCCATGCTTTCCTCAGTGGACCTGGGAGTCCCATTTGTGGGCACTTTGTCGTGGTGAGAGGAACACCTGAGCACTGTCATTGGGAAAGATTTCTAGGCCCATGCTTTCCATGTGTTTTTATTCATCATAGATAAGTAGCATGTTAGGGATAAGACGAGGCTAGACTCTGCTCCCTGAGTCACAAGTTTTCTGTGTGCACGCATCTCTATTTCTGTTTTTGGTATGGATGAGTATTAGGTTGTGTGAGTGCCCACGTGCATTCTGAAATGGTACAGCTTAGACACAGGTTTCCCATTTCAGTGACAAGCAGGCTGAATAAATTGGATAATTATAGCAAATTAAGGCCACAAGGACTTAAATGTTAAGATAAAACCTTTTGCTGCTGTTCCACTTAATTTGTGATAGCAAAGTAATTCCTGCTGCCATGATGCTAAGCACATTTACTTGGGAAATTTACTTTGGGAAATTTACTTGGGATCCTTTTGTTGTAGAAAAGGATAACATATATTTTAAAACAAAAATAATATAATGTGCCACTGTACCCATGCACATGTCTGGCCTGCTGCCCCCCGTGTATGTGTGTTTTTCTAATGCTAACTGCTGGATTCAGCCCTGAGGTTCTGCCCTGGCTGCCTCACCGTCCTTAGGGCTCCTTGCTCATGTGCAGCAACTGATCTGCAGGAAGAAAGTTTGAAACCACTGTCTTTTCCATTATTACTGTCACCCATGGTTAACGTGATGCCATTGTTCTGGTGCTAGATGTAGCTGTCCTTGTTTAGAAATGGAAAGCGCTGTGGGAGAAGTCCTATTTCCTGGCAGTTCAGTTCTAGGGAGGCTTCAGTATAGAAGCCAGCAAAAGCTGTCGTGTTCCATATCACCTTTTGAAGGAAGGCTATCCAAAACAACACAATGATAAGGTTTACAAACTGACTGCTGACCAACTGGTCAGGCGCAAAGAGCAATTCTCTGCCTTGGAGAGTGCAGGGCCATACATTTCACTTACTCCAAGATAAATGTCTAACTGCAGAACCAACTTAATAGAGGTCAGAAATATTTAGATTCAGGGACTCTTCATAGTTCCACCCTAGGTTTCACCTACAGATATTTTTTTTTTGATTGTTTGAAATTCACATAAATGCATTGTGTTTTATTTTTGAAAAGCAACCAGTCAACCAAACAAACTGTTTTTGGAGCTGAAATTTGCTCAAATTTTAATCCCCATTCTTTTCTCTTAAACTTAATGTAATGGCAAGAGCCAAAAAATGTTCTGGTTAAAAGGCCTTCTTATACTTTTTACATGAAAAGAAATTGTTTTCCTCTTCCAAGGAAGGCTGTTTAGAAATCCCTTGAGAATATTTTGTGCATCACACAGTGCAATCCTTTGGAGAATTACCAGCACTTTAAATACATTATTGCAAGGAATTGTATTATGGCTTGAAGCAAACTTTCAGTGTCTGCAGGACTTTAAAGAAAGTCTCATGCTTTTATGGTGAAAAAGTGAGAACAATTTCACATAAACCATCCATGGTGTAGAATCCCTGTGGAGGCCCCTAGGCAGTCAAGATCTTGGGGGTGCCCTTCACAAATTATCTTCTAATACGTTTTTGTAATTTCCTTTCAAGATCAAATCAATATTATTTTGATCCATTGTCATGGGGCCCATAAAAGGTGTCTACTCTGACTGTTTAGTAATCTGGCATTCTGTAGAACAGGGTCGGCAACGTTTTTTGAGGCCAGTCAGGTCCACTCCCTGGCAGACCTCTTGGTGGGCCGGAGCGTACGCCCCTGTGCATGCTCTCAAGCTATTTCTGGCGCACTTCCAGGATGGAGGAGCGCCCATGTGCATGCGCACACACTATTTCCGGTGCTCTGCCCACCTGAAAGTTGGTCCCCTTGGCGAGAAAAAAATGGCACCATGGGGGAAAAAGCACGGAATCCCCACGCCGATCCACGGAACGGCTGCGGGCCAGTTCCAGGAAGCTCATGGGCCAGAACTGGCCCATGGGCCTTAGGTTGCCGACCTCTGGTGTATAATATCTACTGCACAAACTGACTACTCTGATCAAGGAGAGAGCCAAAAGGCCCTCAGCAGGGAAATCTTTGGCTGTTTTGGCCCTTGAGCCACTTGGTTGCTCAGTTTCCAATGTTCAGGCTGTGAGCGTGTTGCTGCTTATGTCTCCAAAATGGCACTACCTGCGCATAAGAGCAGGCCTAGGGTGACCCCAAGACTTGCAGAAGTTCATGCAAATCCAAAACCACCTTTAGAAAGCCAGGAATGCAAAACCAGGTGGGAAGGGAGTATCCTGGATTAGGGCAGTAAATTCAACACGGCAACATTTTATTACAGGTCTTACTCGTTAGAGTGTCCTATTTTCCTGTATTAGGTGCTCAGGCGCAACAGTGACAAGTGTGGCTAAGAGGCCCTGAGTGCCTTGCTAACTGCCTCTAAGGGCTGGCTTAGCCTGGTCATCGCACAGTCTGCAAGGAGAGGTAGTAGCTGTCGCTGCCTTGAGAAAATATGCAGACTGAGACATTGCAAATTTCCTTTTCTTGAAAAAAGCAATAAACAAGACCCCAAGTTAACCCAGCAATCACTTCTTTATTCTGAGCATGGGGGTATTTAGCTGATCAGGGATCATTTCCCATGTTTTTTCTCTCATATTTATATATATATGTGTGTGCGCGCGCGCGTGTGCATGCACGCATGCACAACTTCAGGGGAAGATATTGTACCGCACACTAGTTCACCAGCACAAGTATGCTCACAAAGACAGTGAATTTAATAAAAATAGTAACACTACATGTGACTTGCATGGGGAGGGGGAACGACAGACTGGATGCTGAAGAGAGAGACAGTGTTGTGTTTCATAGGTGTAAAAAGGGGGGGGTCATTTCCCCTCCTGATATGCAAAACAGCATCTGTGGCCTTATTCATTATTAATGAGAAATAGATTTTACTTAATTACCAATGTCAGGAGGAAACGATCCTTTCTGCTAATGGCTATCTCCATTGCAATTATCTCTAAAGGGTAATGAGAGCTCACTTTTTGTTAATGTATCTCATTAGCCATGGATCATATTACAGCCAGCTAACCTGCTGCCCTGTTAGAGAGTGAAACATTCCTCCCCCCCAAAGAAATGTGGAGATTAATCCCCCCCCCCCAGCCACACAACCACTGGGATTTTCCTTCAGGTTTTAGTGGTTTGTATCCTGCTCAGTTCACAAGTCTGTTAAGCCCGTGGGAATATGTTGGGTCTGGATCTCAGTTCTTCTGTTTACTTGGTTGTGATGCAGGCTGATCATTTGATATTATGTGTTTTCATTCAGATGTTGGCCAAGGCTGACCAACAGGAGTTGAGGGGCTCATTTTGTTTAGTCTCCAAACGACTGCAGGCATATGGGCGGCAATCTGTTGGCTGCATATTGGACAAACTACTTTCTGCATCGTTTTCTGTGAGCTGGAAGTGCCATTTCAGATTTCAGTAAATGGAAGGCAAGATTTTCAGCAAGTCTTAAAAGTTAACCCCACTCATAGATGCATTCAAGATTACATTGCAATTCTAATCCCACATGCTTTGTAAGGCATGTGAAAGATGCTTCCAAAATATCTCCTTACAAAAATGGCTAACGTGTTCAACTAATGCATTATGTATGGGGGGTGGGGCTAAAATACATCCACATACCGTATTTTTCACTCCATAAGACGCACCTAGTTTTTGGAGGAGGAAAACAAGAAAAAAAATATTCTGAATCTCAGAAGCCAGAACAGCAAGAGGGATCGCTGCGCAGTGAAAGCAGCAATCCCTCTTGCTGTTCTGGCTTCTGGGATAGCTGTGCAGCCTGCATTCGCTCCATAAGACGCACACACATTTCCCCTTACTTTTTAGGTGGGAAAAAGTGAGTCTTATAGAGCAAAAAATACTGTAATATATACAAACTCCAGAATACTGTCAAACTTAGCTTGTGCATGTAATGGACTGTCTGGACACAGAGGGATGGTGGGAGGAACCAGCTGGGGAACCCCTAAGGGAAGAATGCTCAGAGCCTGAGGAATGGTGATGGGTCAATGATCGGTGGTCAGAGAGAGAAGACGGAGAAGACTGAGAAGAGGAGGTGCTGGAAGCTGAAGAGGTAACAGGGTTTACTGAGTGGGGGGAGTCTATGACTGATAGAAATCCAGAAGCAGAAGCAGAAGCAGAAGCAGAAGCTGGCAAGCGGGAGGAGGGCGGTCATGTCCTAGATTGGGATGTGTAATTTAAACTCATAAAAGTCTTCCCCATTCAGCAAATCTGAGTGTTGTTGAAGTCAACGGCGCTATCAGAAGTCCACTTCAGTGGGTCTTCTCTGAGGATGACTTAGTTGGACATCACCCCTTCCTGCTAATCAGTCCATTCTGGAAGAAAGCCAGCTCGACAGGAAGAAGCTTCCAGAATAGCTCTTTGCCTCTTTTGCTGGTGTTCTATCTGCAGAGAGTTGGTTTCAATATGAAAGAACATCCGGAAATGTGGTTCTTCCACCTGAAGTGTGGCAGACAGCCCTGTCACCTCAAGATACCACCACCCAGCAGTACTTTCCAGCCTTGCAAGGGGTTGGACTACTTGACCCTCAGGGTCCCTTCCAACTCTACAGTTCTGTGATTCTAAAATATGCAATAAAACAATCCCATTAAAACAAGAGAGTAATTAAAAGAGGAGACTTGGGTTAAGAGACCAAGGAAATGCTTGTGTAAACAGGAGGGTCATCAAAAAAATATACCGTAGTTCTTTATTTTCTGTCTTTCTCCTTAAAATGAACTTCTTTTAATTTGGAATGACACTATTAACTTAATCAAAGCTGCCTCAGAAATAGACTTCCACCCTGAAACTCTTTAGACACAAGCATGGGTTGCCTTCCTAGCAGCATGTGTGTTACAGCGTCTTATACAGCTACTGCCTCAATATTTGCCTTAATATAAATAAGTTTGTATTAAATAAGAGATTTTGATAATTTTTCCTAGTCTCTCTCCCCCTCCCCCCATTTTAAAATGCATTTCCATGTTTTATGAAGCAAGTGTGGAATTAAATGTACATGGGAGACAGTTTACAGAACATCGTGGTAAGCGAGAAATGCCAAAATGCAATTCGCCATCTGCTAGAAAATCAAGGGAGACAGACAGTGAAGAATCTGACGAGAAACATGGTGTGCTAGTTTCTGCTACCCCAGGTGTAAATTTGCGCACTCTTCATTCATGCAACTAATGATTCACGACTTAGCACTGGTGTAATCAAGAGCAACGCTTGGCCCTTTACAGTACATATGTTTGAAAACAGACTGTGAAACATTATTTTTGCAAGGAATATGAAAGGCACCTAATAGGTAGAACAAAGCTTTTAGGGTCAAATAAATAACTGTGCTGAAATATGATCTGATTTCATCTTTATCAATTTCAGCGAAAGTTGTTTCAACAGGTGCTTCCAGACAGGTGTTTGATGCTCCTCAAAGTGAGCAGGTTTTCTGCAGCACCCATAAGGTGTCAGCATCAAAATCCCAGCCAATTTTCCTAACCCCCTTTAATACAGATTTACCCTTTTTAGAAAGAATCTAGTAAGTTAACACACACACAAATACACACACACCTATTGCCAACGACCCATCTATAATAACTGAATGACCCTTGGCAGTATTAAGACCCCAACTGAAAAATCCCCAAGAGGATATACTTTTCTTTATTAAAGTGTGAAACATACAATTATTTGTGTGGGTGTGAAAACATGCATTATGTAAGGGGAAGGAGATTCCTGGATGTCTTTTGGGCAGGGATTCAAACGCATCACTATGGATAGACAAGGAAGTTGATAAGAATGCCAGGGGGCTGTAATAGGTTGGTGGCGTATGTGTGATTCCTCTGGTGTAAGAAACGTCTTTCCCATTTTACTGCTGGTGAGATGCATCCCACTGCCTATGATGCCTCCTTTTCTCTCTGGTTGCCGCATGTTGAGAAGGTGGTAGAAAAGTGTACTGCCTCTGAATGTGAGTGTTTGATTTACCAAATGCCTAGAGGTGCAGAGATGCCTCTCTCTCTATGTGGCCCTTGGGATTCCCCCAGCCCCTCCTCAGCCCCGCCCACCTAGATAGGAAGAAGGTCTTGGTTTGGAAAAGGTTCCCTGTCCCTGCTGTGTAGTTATCCAGGAAGGGACATGCAAACGGTCACAGGGCAGCTTCAGTCCCCCCCTCTCCAAGTTGGGCAGAGAGAGGCTCCAGTTGGAAACTGCAGAGGACTCTTGCCAGGCAGGGTTGATGATTCAGAGCGAGATGGGTGGAACAAGGGCGGTGATCTGCCTTTAACCAACCTTTGGTTGGAGCGACATCATGATGAGCAAGATGCTGTTCCAGGTGACCTGAAAGGGAAGCTCATTTAAACTGAAAATGAGCCCCCAGCCCCACCGGCATTTTGTTCTTACGTGGTTGTGCATGGCCAGCTAGACTGACTTATGTAGACTTACTTACTGGGTTGTTTTTGTCTTGTTGCATCAAGTCCTCCTCCTTTCTAAGCACAGATTGCAATGGTGTCACTCACAATGCCTTCTGTCTCAATAGGTGACATATTTTACATACAGTCCTTAATGGGAATTGGGAGGTTTAAAGTGTATAAGCAGTAAGAGCAAAAGATGACAAGAAGAGTGCAAGATGAATCATGCCAAAGGCCCAGCCAGGAGAACATCCTGGTCTCACCAACCAGATGCCAATGGAAATGCAGAAGCAGGACCAGAGCTGCAGGTGCCCTCCGCCCCCCCCCCCCGGAATCCTAGGACTTAGTGATGTTTCTCTTTTGTGGAGAGGATGGATTGTGTGTGTGTGTGTGTGCGCGCGCCCTCAGGAGAAACCTCCAAGTTCCATCCTTGGAACCAAGCCCTGCTCTTTGGTTTTCATCTTAAGAAAGTCCCTGTCACTCTGCATTGGCTGTTGTCACCTAGGCTGTCACTGCTGGTAAGATTAAAGTGAAATAATAAAAAGGGAGGTTGGGAAAGGGCTGAAAATGGATGGTTTATATAATATTTCTGCATTTTTAAAACCAACGAGAGTAAAGAAAAGGAAGGAATCTACCCTGGCAGCAGAGAATTAATAGCAAATGAGCAGTCTTTTGACTGCTTTCTGAGCTTGTTAATTCATTTCACTTTCTCAAATATGACAGCCCTGCAAAGCTCATTTCAGATGCAGACTGAACTACTGAATGCTCCAGCTGTACAGCAGCGTAGGTTTCCTTCTTTCATCATGCTGGTGATGTGAGCCTTGTGGGTGCTGCAGGCAGTATGGCCCCATTGCACACCCCAGGCTAACGTTGTAAACTCTGGGTCATGAAGGAGGAGCTCCTGCTCAGACTTCTCCTTAGGCTGCTTTTGCCAGTTCTGGAAAGATTTAACATCTTTGTGTGATGATTACCAGCTTGGATGGCTTTGAAAGGAGATTATATAAATTCAGGGAGAATAAAGCTGTTGGTTGCTACTAGTCATGATCACTGTATCTTCCCTCTCTGTATGTTGAGGGAGGGATTAAACTGCATACCAGAAATTTAGCTTTGAACCATTAAAAATCAAAGAACCATAGAATCTTAGAGTTGGAAGGGACCCCAAGGGTCATCTAGCCCAGCCCCCTGGAATTCAGGAATCTGCTAAAGCATCCCTGACAGATGGCCATCCAACCTCTGCTTGAAAGCCTCTAAGGAAGGAGAGTCCACAACCTCCCAAGCGAGTCTGTTCCACTGTCAAACAGCTTTTACTGTCAAAAAGTTCTTCCTGATGTTTAGTCAGATGGGTGGGGTTTAAATTAGTTGTTGTTGTTGTTGACCCTCCAAGTGCCCCTATTTTCCAGGGACAGTCACAGATTTACAGAAGTCATCCCGGTTTCTGATTTGATCCTGGTATGTTCAGCTTTTCCTTAGGATGTCGCTAATTTCATTGGAGGGTCTGGAGTTCTGCAACCCCCGAGCCAAGGAGATACATAACTATACAACCTTTAGAAGACGTCTGAAGGCTTCCCTGTATAGGGAAGTTTTTTTTAAAAATAGTTGCTCTCTGGAGAAGGCAGCCTCACACTGCTTTGAGGTTTTTTCTTACAGTCACGTGGTATAAAAATTTTATGAAATAAACTAAAATAAAAACAAGGGCAACAACTGCAGGGCAGATGCATGGCATACATTTAAAGCACATGCAACACGCAAGAGTTCTTCCGGAGAATTCTGGGAACTGTACTTTCCCTCTGCAGAGTTTCACACCCCAGGCCCCTTAACCAACTGCAGTTCCCAGGAGTCCTTGGGGGGAAGCCGTATGCTGTAAATGTGCATTGCAGGAGCTCTAAATGTGTGATATGGGCCTGCCCTCTGAGTAAAGACTTTTTAAAGCAGATCTTCATGCCAGGGGCTTGGGGAGACGATGCTGCCTAAGATTTGAGAACTGTTATATCTTTATCCCTTTTCATTGGTGCTTCAGTGCTCCCTCTCTCTCTCTCTCTCTCTCTGTCGTTTATAAGAATCTGCTGAAGAGCTAACAGCTTCACAGTTAACTGTGCTTAACCATAGCACAGAATTGCAAACTTGCTCTGTTGTGAGAGCTTCTCATTTTAAGAGCTTCTTCAACCTTGAATTGCAGTATTCACAATCAGAGAGTGCTGTTTATTGCACATTTCTAAGCCTTGCTGCTGCTGCAAAAAGCAAACAAACCTCCAGAACATGATTAAGGGAAAGATTGAAGGCTATAATTGAGGATGCCACAGATATCTTTTACTTCTCTCTTCCTGAAGGTCACCAGTCTTCAGTTGTCACAAATAGGCCAACAGATTTTCAAACAGATACTGCATATATTCACAACAAAAGCAACGACCATCTTCACAGCCCAAAAGGGAGATATGCTGTTTATGTGGGCTTATTGCACAGAACAGGAAAAGAAGATCTGAATGTGTTGCTTCAGTGGAGAGGAAGGAGAACCACAGTCTGGTCTTCCTCCTACATCAGGTGTATCTCGACACTGACATGCAGATGGTCTCTTACTATTTCCCCAGACAGTGTATTCAGTGCAGACCTAAATAGTCCAAAAGTCTAACTTAGTATAAAGCATCTTCCTGTGTCCCTAGAACATTTTTCCAAAGTAGGGCTAATTCACACATTAAGCACATTACAGATACAGCACATTAAAAAAATACAATTGGGTGATGACTGGCAGCAGGAAAACCAGCCATGTTTCTTCTCCTCCAAAATCTGAGCTTTTCAATAGAGGTAGTTCACACTCTCAGTTGCCATTCTTTGTTGTGTACAGTCATCAACCAATTCAATCCATCCATCCATCCATACATACTACATACTATATACAGTATATGAGTGAATCAAGGCTACTGAGGATTTAGTGTGAAATTTCTGTTCTTCTCAAGGAACTACTGTATAACCCCAAAAGCTTCTCAATGTTTTTCGAAGCTTTGCCAGCCTTCTCTGAGTGAGGGAGTCACCCAGGGCTCTTTCTGAAGGCTTGTGCGTTTTTTGTGCTCCTTGGGTAGAAAAGCCCAGTGTTGTGCTGAAGGCAATTGAGTGGAGCAAAGCAAAGGGGACAGAGCTGCCTCCGAAGTTGGCAGTTTAAGGATGTGCACACTCTGCCTTTAAAGCACATGCTTTCCCTCAAAGAATTCTGGGCATTGTTGTTTACCCCTCACAGAATTACAGTTATTAGCAACCCCTTAACAAACTACCGGTACAATTCCCAGAACTTTGTTTTTTGTATTTTGAACATACTTCAAAGGTAGAATGTGTATGCAGCCTTTAAGGTGGTTAGGATGGTGGTACCTGAGGTTGAATGGTACCTTTCGCAATGGTATGTTAGAAGAGGTTTGGCTAGTGAGCATCTTTGGGGCAGGATTGGAGGGCCGGCATCCGTTGCAAAGGCAAAGAGACAGGCTAGGGATGCTGGGGGTGTCCTGCCTGCTCTGCTGTCCATCAGCCTCCTTGGTTGGGCTGGCCAAAGTGGTCTCCTTTGTGGATTCATATACTTTGCTAGTGTACAGAAAGAAGAGTATTGACAGGTGTCAAATATCTTCCATCATGGAATTGCATTGGTGGGAGAAGATGACATTTGTCCAAATCTTCCTTTACCACCTTATGTGGGCTTCATAATGCCCTTATGGAGGAGACTAGGGAAACCTGGATTAAAATTAACTCATCAACTATTTCTCAGGCCATGGGTGGCAGGGACCAGTTGCTCTTACTCACCCCCGCTTCAGTTTGCCCCGCTGCTTTCTCCCGGGAAAACCCACAGTGTAGTGGAAAACTGCTTGCACTTCAGGGCTGCCTGGCTGTGGGGGAGAAGCGCAAGTGTGGAGGAGCCCTTACTCTACCTAACATAAGCAAGGTTGTTGTGAGGATAAAATAAATAATCCTCAAGTCTGTCACCTTGAACTTCTTGGAGAAGGAGAAAAATACAAATGGTTTACCTTGCACTTTCAGGTAATCCTGTGGGAGAGGATTTTTTAAAAAATCAATAATTATTTCACAAATAAATAATGCCAATAAAAATATGGCTTTTTTGTTTCGGTTTGTGGAATGCATTTGCGTCTCCAACAGGAAAAGTGATGCAGGGTAGTGGAAGATTTTGTAAACAGCACAGGAATCCCTGCATTGAGATGCAGAGTTAGCTGCTTTTGACAATCAACTCTTTGGTATGTTCTCTCACTTTCTTCCTCTTGTTTTTCTTACCTGTCTGGACTGTATTAACCTTGTGCTGCCTCCTTAGTACTGACTGGAATAAGAGAGATGACAACTGCTGCCCTCGACATGGTGTCACGATCTGCATTCCAATCCATATAGATGAACACTTTGTGGAGCTCAGTATGGAGAAGTGTTTCTTGCACATACAGACGTGGAGAGCCTGGGTCTAATATAAGCGAGTGTGCCTTCTCAGCTGCTTTTCCCTGAACAGCAAGAGTTTACTTTCCTTCTGGGAAGTCCACATGGCCATGTTGCTGGAGGGCAACTAAATGTTGTTGTCTCAGCTCTGCTCCCAGATGGAGAAGAAAAGGAGGGTCTTCCACAGTCCTTTGCAGCATGTAAGGAAGCATTCTGACTATTTTCTACCAGTGAATACTCTTTCAAGTGGCACAGAGGATGCACCAGTCAGTTGCTGGATTTCAGAGGAATAATTTAATGCTGTAAACTTCAGGCCTGGGGACTGAGTATGTCTCTCCAGACCTCTCTGTTTGATCCTTGGGACTCTTTCCAGGCCATTCCCCACTCCGTGGCTGCTTCCCTTTCCCCCATTGCCCTTGCTTCACATCCTTCTTGCATGGTGTTGACATGCTGGAATTTATTGTTGAACTCTTACCATGGCTCTCAATTGCCTGGATGGTGTATAGAAAGAGATGAATGAGTGTTTGTAGAAACTAGCCTCCTGCACAAAGGTAATAGTTATATCTGTGCTCCAGCCACTTTTGTCTCTGCCCCCCCCCCACCGCTGGCACACCCCCACCTTGAAGTTGCCCAGAAGGGAATGTGGACCTTTGTTACATGGTCACTGGTCATGTTGGAAGAGTAGAGTGGCAGGATCCTATCAGAACTAAACTAGTAGTTAAATGTCAGCGCAAATACATCTCTATTCACCCCTAGCATCTTTATTTACAGTATTTTAAACATTTAAACTCTTCCCCATTAAACTCTTCCCCCCAGGGGAGCAGGGGATGCTCCAATCAATATAGTAATTAAAGCAGCTTACCATAAAACCAATAATTAAAACCATTGACAAAATTACATTGCAAAACCAAAGCCAAAACACAAACACTTAGGAGAAGGAACACAGAAGAAATGTGATTGTTACTTCTTCAGTTTCTGCCCCCCAAGTTCTCAGTTGGTCACTGAGAGAATAGCATGCTGGTGGTGCTGTGGGTTAAACCACAGAGCCTAGGACTTGCCGATCAGAAGGTCAGCGGTTTGAATCCCTGCGATGGGGTGTGCTCCCGTTGCTCGGTCCCTGCTCCTGCCAACCTGGCAGTTCGAAAGCACGTCAAAGTGCAAGTAGATAAATAGGTACTGCTCAGGCGGGAAGGTAAACGGTGTTTCTGTGCGCTGCTCTGGTTTCATCAGAAGTGGCTTAGTCATGCTGGCCACATGACCCAGAAGCTGTACGCCGGCTCCCTCAGCCAATAAAGCGAGATGAGCGCTGCAACCCCAGAGTCGGTCACGAATGGACCTAACGGTCAGGGGTCCCTTTACCTATACCTTTACCTATCAAGTAGAGCTCTTTAGATGATGGATATTGTTGTGGCACAGCACCTGTGTTACTGGAGCATCATGGCTGGATATTGGCCCCTTAGGTCCTTGGGGCTGAATCTTGCCTATGCCATGAACCCAGTAGGAGGTCAGAGGGCCACATGTGAAACTAAGCACCCCACATGGTGCCATAGGTGCTGTAGGGTCCCTGGTTTTTTTTTGGATCATGGTTCGGTGAGAGGGAGTGTAACCATTTCTTCCCCTGCCATGGTCCCAATGAGAATCCCACTCCCACAGTGGCTATTAGTCCTGGAAGCCAAGCTCTCGTAGGTGACTCGGGTTTAGGCACTTGCAGAGGGGAGAAAAATTTACATGGTTTTATGTGCATCTGCAACAGCTTTTAACAATAAAATATACAGCCACAGCACTGCGAATGAGGCATTCTGTGCCAAATTTAGTTCAAGGCTGCCTTGCAGGATACTGCAAATCTCTGGAACTCCTTTGAGGCATAAAATGGCTTGATTTCTGTCACTTCTTTGTGCCTAACAAGAGCAGTGCCTGTTAGTGATTGTGTATGGAAACTTGAAGACCAAAATTGGCCTTAGATTAACTGTATACAACCACTGGGACAACTTAAAAGCTCAGTGCCCAGCCTGATAAACCATAGCCTAGCAGTCAGGAAGAAGCCACAGCACCGTCAGCTTCCTTTACTTCCTCCCTTCCTTGCCAGGCTGAAGTTGATTTAAGATCCTGGCAGTCAGCTGATATTAAGCCGCAGTTCCTTGTTTGGATGTTAATGGCTAACTGTAGCTTGAAAAGCATTTTTGTTTAACTTCAGTGCCAAACACAAATGGAGTGAATAATACATTTCTCTTGAACTGTATTCTTCCTTCATAGGCTCTACCTTAAGGGGCTGAACCCTTCCAATTTTGAGGGGTTTGGCAGGTCCCATCAGGCCTTCTCATGGCTGCAACAGGCCTTGCCAGGGCTACCCGCAGCTGCATTGGGGCCTCTTTGGCCTTCCTGTTGAACCTGGCTGGGCCTCACCCATGGCTGCGGTAGACTCCGCTCGGCCTCCTCCCATCACATAACATCACATGTGCACATCATGCATGTGACATCACACGCATGCCATGGTTGGCTGGAACCCGGCCCCTGTGTCCTCCATCACTGAGGGAATTAGCAGCTGAGCATTTTGCATCTGCATAATGCATGACTGACAGACAGACAAACACTGTTCACAAATGGCAGGTTAGGGACCTGACACAGGGAAACACTCAAATTAGGGTGCATTTCCCATTACTTGCAAAATGCTTTTCAGTGGTAGCAATTAATTGTGCTTATTTCGATACACATATCCAACTCAAGTCATTGTGTTCAGTGTAAAAAATATACATCATGTACCTATGAACCTTCTGACTGTGCAAATAAAATGCAAAGAAATTAGATTAGATTTTGACAACTGGCATAACAGCAGACTGCTTCTTACAATGCGTTTTCCTGTTTAACCATTAGTGTGTACTTGGTGGATAATGAGGAACTGCTTGGCTGCAAAGAAGAAAGCCGTCATTAACTACCTTTCTCCAACAGGGATCAACTAAGATCCAATTAGGCATGTTATAGCTCCACGAGTAAACAGGAAGTAACTAATTATGGGAACAGAAGTTGCTTTAACAGACAAAGCCAGGAGGAAGCTGCTGATTTAAAAGACAGTGTTGGGGTGAAGGGAGCCTGTGCTGGAACGGGCGGTCTGAGCTGAGCATGGCAGGATCTTATTTGTGAGGATAAATCTTGCTAGATTTGATGAGGAATAGAGCACTGTTTTCAGTGCTGTGCAGAGCCGCTTTTCATAGTGTCCTGAATTTCCAGGCATGGTCCAGGAATTACGGAAGTCATCCTGGCTTCTGATTTGGTCCTGGAACGTCCCTATTTCCTCCGCCAGCACCAGTACCACCACCATCGAGGTCAAGGAGGAAGCTGAACCAAGCAACGACCATGGTGGCGGCGGCTGTGAGCGAGCATTCCATGGCCTTTCTGTGGCTGCCGCCACCGTCCTCCTCGCTTGGGCAGCTCATAGCAGCTGCTGGAGAGCAGGAGAGGAGGCGGAGAGGCTGTGGCCGCACTGGCTCTGAGGGGCAGCCAGAGAGCAGGGCTGCCCTGGGAGGGAAGGAAGGGCAAGCAGAGCAGAGGTCTTGCTTTTTTAAAAAAAAATGCTTTGTGCATCCATGTCTAATCTTGCCCATTTCTAAAATTTATTTATTGGTGTGTTTTTTTCTTTTTGCAAATCTACCAAAGAATAGAATAAAATAAAATCAGAACTGAGAGGTTTTCTCAGGAGGGTGGGGGGCATGTGTTGGCACTTGCCCTTTTTCTGATAGGATATGCTTTGCAGGGGGAGGGGGGAATGGGGGGTTGAGGAGGCTCACTTGGGAGGAGTGAGAAATGTCTCTATTTTCATCTGCGGACTGTTAGAGGGTGCACACTATTTTAATTCTGCATCCTTTAGCTCAGTGCTGAAGTTTAAACCCTAGGAGGTTTTTGCTTACAAAATTCTGACATCCTGATACTAGCACCATGAAATGATGAAGCTTTATGAAGAGCTTCAAATAATATTTTCACACGCTTTTTAAAAGTAGGAATTTGCAGTTGTATTGGAAGGTTTAAAGGTGGTTTACTCTAGCCGTGGATGAATCCTAGATGAATCTAGTCTATTTCACTTTTGCATGTGTTCAACCTCATAATTCTGTTCTTTCCTTTTTCCATGTTAATTTGTGATCTCTCTTCCTGAAAAAAGTGTGGAAATCTGCATTTGAACATTTATTTTAATATTATTTTGCAACCTGTATTCTCTCAAAGCATTCATTTTTACAAATGCATTTTATATGATTTCTTTGCAATGAAGGCTGTGTAACAAATATTTTGAATAAATAAATATTTCAATACTGGAGGGTTGTTTTTGTTTTAGCTGAAAACTGTGTCAAAATTAGGGAAGCACAAAACCACTGAATAACTTAAGTTCTGCTCTACAAATTAGTCCATGAAGTGCAGATCAGGCACAAAACTCGGGTGGAAGTTTGGTTCTGTGTAAAAAGATGTCTGGCTATTAATTTTCACTCCAATAGACAGAATGACATTTTGATTACTTCTTCAAGAGTTCTAAAAGTTCCTTGCAATATGATGCTATTGTGGGAAGCCTAAGATGAAAAGACGATCTGTGACTTTGTGCAATCCTTTATCATAGGGAAAAGCTAACTCTTAGCTCTTGTGAGTGTGACCCCATTCACACATGCAGTAGCAGCCCATATGGCAGGGCCAGCTGCTGTGGGGTCTGCCTCCTGACACTGGTGACCCGCTGCTTACCTGGGTGGGACTTTGGGGTAGGGCAGCAGAATGGTCTAGACTGTGTGCGTGCACTGCTGGTGTGCCCACACTGACCTGTCCGCTATCCCAGTCCTGCCCAGGTAAGATGCAGGGATGCCAGTGTTGGGAGGTTGCTCTTGGGATGCTACTCCACACACGCAAATGATCGCTTAAGGTTGCAGTCATGCTGTAGCCAACCTACATGTGTGGACTCCTTGAAAGGCTAGCAGGTTAATACAGTTGGTGGGCTGGGTGCCAGCTATGGGCAATCTGGTGCCCTCTGGATATTGTTGGACTCTGGCTCCCGTTAGCTTCCCAGTACAGCATGGGCGGCGTTCAGGGCAGCAGGTTTCCCATCTCCCCATGTGGCAGCACCTCCTTTGCCTTGTTTTCTTCGTGGGTCTCCATCCATAGTAACTTTGCTTTACTCTGTTATGGGCATGGCCTGAAACATGACTTGTCCATACCAGTTATGACCAGATGGCAACAGTGCAGATGAACCCAAATGAAGGAGAGAAAAGTGGGACCATCTAATTCATTAGAGCTGTGCTGTGCTGCTGCTAATATGGTCTCCTGGGGCACTCAAAAGGTCTCCATGCCAACCCACCTCCCAGAACACCAGCAGGAGAGCAGCAGCACTGGGGAAGTCAGGGTTAACCTTTCCTCTGTGCCAGGGAGGGGAGAGCTGTGCCCTTCAGATGACGCTTGATCACAGCTCCCATCATAAAGGCAAAAGGTAAAGGTAAAGGACCCCTGGACAATCGTCCAGTCAAACTTGTCTATGGGGTGCGGCTTTCATCTCACTTTTCAGGCCAAGGGAGCCAGCATTTGTCCACAGACAGCTTTCCAGGTCATGTGGGTAGCATGACTTAACCGCTTCTGGCACAACAGGGGACTGTGACAGAAACCAAAGTGCATGGAAATGCCATTTACTTTCCTCGCCAGAGCGGTACCTATTTATCTACTTGTGCTGGCATGCTTTCGAACTGCTAGGCTGGCAGAAGCTGGGACAGAGCAATGGGAGCTCACCCTGTCATGCAGATTCAAACTGCTGACCTTCTGATTGGCAAGCCCAAGAGGCTCAGTGGTTTAGACCACAGTGCCACCCGTGTCCCTCACGGCTCCCATCATATCTGCCCATTGGCATCCTGGCTGCATCTGAAAGGAGCTGGAGTTTCTGGAGGGTCACAGGATGCCTTTTTCTGCCCAGTGTCTTTTGCTGATGTGATTCCTCTCCCATCCAAAGCTATTTGCCTCAGAGCAGAAAAAATGCAAGCACTGGAATGAGGCTAATAGTACCTTTGGAGGGGAAGCGATTTAGATCGCGGAATTGGCAGGGGAGAGTGGTTAGCTGCTTTTAGGTAAAAATGACAACATCGGGTTATATGATTATGGGTTTCCTACTTTGTGTATCTTTTGGCCCTGAAGCAAGATTCCTGATTTGTCTCCCCTGTGAGCATACCAAAGAACCAGTAGCGTAAGGAGGGTTGAGGGCACCTGTGGTATCCTGCCCTCATTGCAAACTGGAAATGGATACAAAATGCATATTAAAGATAATGGAATATATTGATGGTTGTCATTTTGCAAGCTTCTCTTTACTGAATGGGATAATTAGGCATGTTCACAAAAAGGAAGCTGGAAAAGCCAAATACTGGCTTGGTCAGTGTCTGAATGAGAGCATCAGACCAGGCTGAGTGGCATCACTGTGATTTCTCATTCTGGCATCCCTGCAGCTGGGAAGGGACCATGGCTCAGTGGGTAGAGCACATGCTTTGTCTGCCGTAGGTCCCAATCTTTGGTATCTCCAGTGAAAAGGATGAGGTAACCAGTGATGAGTGGGACCTCCCTGAGATCCTAGAGAGCCACTGCCAGTCAGTGTAGACAGTATTGGGCTAGATGGACAAGTCATCTGATCTTGTATAAGACAACTTGATTGCTGGCTGTGTGTCCACAGCCTAATCCCTTAAAGCATCTTTGGCAGTTGAATCCTGCTAGCGGGAGAGGAGAGAGCTGAGGGCATGTGTGACGGACAGTGGATTTTCATGTAGCACCTTTTGAGCTGTCTTATTATAGAGCAGCAGGGGAAGTCCGTCTTAGCCAGAGAGGTATAAAATCAGGAGCCTGCCTTGAATGTAGAAATGATTGGCTATGGCACTCTGAGGAATGTTCTGGGATGCTCTCAGTCAATGTGTCATTTTGTGGCAGGTGAATGTGGAAGCTGAGCTGGTGAGTGCTTTGCTTAATGCAGGCATGGGGAACCCAAGGCCTTCCAAATGTTGCGGGACTACAACTCCCAGCAGCCCTGACCATCCCCCATGCTGCCTGGGTGGACAGGAGTTGCAGTTGAGGCACATCTGGAGGGCCACAGCTCCCCCCCTCCAGTTTAACATGTGGCTTTGTGGGGAAAGGAGGAAGCCTATTCTGTGGCTGAGGAGGAGGAGGAGGACTGGCCGAGGTGTTGCAGTCGTCTTTGCCTGGCCCTTTCCACATCTTCTTTTCATTTACATGTATAGTGGGTTGTACCATCCTGAGCTGCTGCTCATAAAGTTGCACTGATGCAACAGAATTCCAGTCTTGAGCCTGATCCCAGGCGCCAGTTAGAGTAGCACCAAACATTATACATGATGTGGGGATGTAGCCCCAAATGACATCCCTGCCGTGGGCTCTTCCCCCCACTTCTCAGTCATGTCCAGCCACACTTGCCCATGCCATGGTGTCATTCATCCTGTTGTGCATTTGCACTCTCACACCATCAGCATCTAGGGATCAGGTGTAGCAGCAAAGAAAAGCCATGAGGGGAGGCTGTGGTGACATGGGGGGAGCATGCCTAAACATTATAGGGAGAGCTGGGAGAGTTTGATGTGGACCAGCTGTTTTTGGCATCAGCCCAGCATCACCGTTAAGACCCGTTCCCCCCGTTTTTGTTTTGAAAGATTTAAATTGATTTAGTCCTATAAATGTCAATATGGCTAAAATGAGTTCAGGCTGAAATGTTCTCTTGAACTGATTTGTAGTTCACAGCCGGAGCTGATATTGTTTTATTTATATCCTTAGATTTGTTATATCAGGCTTCCTTGCCCAAATGAAAATGTAATCTACAAATCACTTGAATGTGGCTAGGATCAAAGCATAATAGCATGTTATGTATGAGCTGCCTTAAAAACCTGTGTGGCATGAAAAATGAGGCATAGGTAATCAATAGCTGGTTATTGTGCTCTGTATTAGAGTGATTTAATTGCTCACATCTAGGTTTTCCTTCCGCTGGAAATTTGTATGAGACCTTTTTCGTTTTCTGCCATTGGCTCTTGTCCCTGTAAGTGACCAGAGGAGCTTCATTCATAAAACATAATGTGTTTAGAGGGAACTTTATATACACTGTGATTTGGGACACTCATTTCCTTTAAGAATTCAGTCTAGTCCTGTTTAACCCCCCCCACCCCCAAACTCAGGACAGTTACTCAAAAGTCAGTTTATTTATTAATGAGATTTACATGTCACTCATTACATATATTTTCTGGGAGGCTATAAGTGATAATTATATACAAGTACAGGGACGCGGGTGGCACTGTGGGTAAAACCTCAGCGCCTAGGACTTGCCGGTCGTCAGGTCGGCGGTTCGAATCCCCGCGGCGGGGTGCGCTCCCGTTGCTCGGTCCCAGCGCCTGCCAACCTAGCAGTTCGAAAGCACCTCCGGGTGCAAGTAGATAAATAGGGACCGCTTACCAGCGGGAAGGTAAACGGCGTTTCCGTGTGCTGCGCTGGCTCGCCAGATGCAGCTTGTCAAGCTGGCCACGTGACCCGGAAGTGTCTGCGGACAGCGCTGGCTCCCGGCCTCTAGAGTGAGATGAGCGCACAACCCTAGAGTCTGGCAAGACTGGCCCGTACGGGCAGGGGTACCTTTACCTTTACCTATATACAAGTACAATGAAAATGTTATATACAAGTACAATGAATATTTTGTTAGTTGGTACCCATTAGGCATTGTAACAAGACAGGCAGGCACAGGGCACAAAGCAGCAAGGTCATTGCAGCACCATGGATAGCTCCTTGTGCCTACTGGCTCCTACAAAACCGGAGGGGGGGGGTGGAGGGACTCCACTAAGGCCCTTGAACATTTGCCTCCAATGCAACCCTCCTAAGTCTGAAGAATGGAGATTCTTACAGGAACAGACACCACTTCTCTTTTCTCCCACCTGAGTAACTCCCATGTGTCAGGAGCAGCAGTGCTGAAGGCCCTTGGGCTCAGGGAAAAGTGCTCCTCAGGGTTCTGGCTCCAGTTCTGCAGGTTCTTGTCTGCCAAGTCCAGACTCAGGGCTTGCCCACACTTCCACTTGTCCCACTGACTCCCCCCAAGGAAATCCACTCTTTGCTGCTGAAATGGAACAAACGTCAATAAGGGTTTCTGCAGATTGTTGTTTGCTCTGATTCAGCGGTAAAGATCAGGTCTTCCTGGGGGAGTGGAGGGGCAGAAGAGCCCTGCTGCCCAGACAGGGGACAAACCCAGAAGTGGACACTTGGTCACCAGCCTCAGGCTCAGTGTTAGAAGCCCAGACCTGTTTCCGAGACAGATGCGTGGTGGCCTTGGGTTCAGCAGCCGTATCTCCGAGCTTAAGGTCAGGGCTGTGGCACTGGTGCAATTCACTTCCAACCCTCTTTGCAAAGTGGGTGTGGCACCAGTTAGTGAAAATGTCAGTGCCACCATAATGTGAACTTCAGATAGCTCTGAAACAGGTGAATGAAGCAAGGCTGACCTCCCTTTGTTGCTTGTCCATAGCCTCTAGCAGGCAGAGGTATGTTGCCTTTTACATGGATTTTCCATTTAGCTGAACTTCCCCTCCATCCCTCCATGGTTTCCTTATTTTCCCTTACCCTGCTGCATATTGTAACTTACGTAACATCCCACTTTCATCCTAACTTAATATCTTTTAAAAATAAATTTATTTATAAGCTTTTACAATATACAAAATAAAAATAAAAATAAATCACAATCATTCTCTTATTTTGACTACCCTCCCACTCTTTCTGTGGTTCCTTCTTTATATTTTAATTTACTGCATATACAAATTATACCAATTTGTTATACAGTATTGGCCTGAATATAAGCGGCATTTCCCCCACCCCCAAATTCTGATTGTGAAAAGTTAAAGTGTGGCTTATATTCGCAACCTTACACCTCCGGAAAAGCGGCGCAGCTCCCCCCCCCCCCCGAGAGCAGTCCAGGAGCGCGGGGCAAGGGCGCGCAGCCCACCCACCACTCCAAAGCCTCCCTTGAGCCGCTGGAGAGAAGGGGGAAGGGGGGGAAGCCTGCCGGCAAAGCAGCATGACTCCCCCCCCCCAGAGAGCACCCTGGGAGGGCGGGGCAACGGTGCCCTTCCTGTCCACAGCTCCCAAGCCTCCCTCGAGCCGTCAAATTTTAAAGGTGCAGTTTATTTGCAGGTGCGGCTTATATTCGGGCCAATACGGTATATGCTATTATTTTATTATTATTACTTTGCATTGTTTACATTAAGCCTGCTAAAGTCTTAATTTGTTTACAATAACTTTATGCTATAAATGAGTTCCATTCTTTCTTAAAAACTTTATCTTCTTGATTTCTTGTTCTTCTGGTATATAACATTCTATCAGCAGTGGTCATACATAAATACCTTTTTATTTTGCTTAGGTAACTCTAATCCCATTATTCCCAAAAGAAAAGCCTCTGTTTTCTTAATAAAGGTTAACTTAAACATTTTTAAAAATTCATTATCTGTCATTTCCTGGTAGACTTTTGCCTTATTGCAAGTCCACCACATATGGAAAAAGGTACCTTCTTTTTCTTAACATTTCCAACAAGTACTCGATTCAGTTTTGTACATTTTTGCTAGCCTATTAGGTGTTAAGTACCATCTATACATCATTTTCACATAATTTCCCCTCAAATTATATCAGGCTGTAAACTTTATATCATTATTCCATGATTGCTCCCATGCCTCTATTGCAATATTATGACCAATATCCATTGCCCAATGTATCATTGAAGATTTCACATGTTCGTCTTTTGTTTCCCATTCTAATAACATCTTATACATTTTTGACAAGACGTTAACATTGCATTCTAGCAGGTTTCTCTTTAATTGGAAGATTTTCTTTATTTTAAACACTTCATTCAGATGTTGATACTGTATCCAAGTTGTTAACCTTCCTTGTAACTCTTCAAACTCTTTTAATTTAATTTCACCACCCTCCTCCTTTAGTAAATCTCTATAGGTCACCCAATTTTCAGTCATATTTTTCTGTTTCACCTCTATGGCTTCTAATGGTGAGAACCAAAGTGGTGTTTTGTTTTCCAAAAGCAGTTTATATTTATCTCATATTCTATATAGGTTTTTCCTAATTATATGCTTCAAAAAGCTTCTGTGTACTTTTGTCTTCCCATACCACGTGCCATATGTGTGCCAACCAAAACTGTTTTTGTGACCTTCTAGGTCTAAAATATATGGATTCCTTAAAGACAACCATTCCTTTAACCAGACAAGACACCTCATAATATATTCTCATGTTCAGCAGAGTATCCTAACAGTATCTAAATTATTTTTCACTGCTGTTTACAGTTCAAATCCTACTGGCATATTAATCTGGTTACTATATTCCTTCAAATATTCTACGTAAGGTTTCCACTCCTCCCTAGACACTGACTCCTCCTCATCTTTAATTTTCATTGTTAAACTTCTGTCAATTTGTTTGCCAGTCTTCCTTGGTTGGTATTTCTTTGTCTTTCCACTTTTTGCTCTTGTTGCTGTCATCACATATAGTAATAAACTGACCAACTTATTGGGTTATTTGCATTTTTAAAAACCCCCATTGATGTTCCTGGTCTCAACAGCTCTGTCAGAATAAAGGAGGAGAGAGTGTTTTCTCTCTGCCTCCAGCCTAATTAGTTAGAAAAGATCACTAGAGCATTTGACCGGGTTAAATCCCCCCCCCATAATCCTCCTTTTGTTCTTTTCTTAAAGAAGCTTTAGTGTAGTGTTTTTTTTGTACGTTTAATTCCTGTTCACATGTAAATATAGATCACACACGTGTCTCTAAAGATTATGGAAGCCCCTTTTAGCTGAGGAGATCTTTTAATAGCATTGCATGCTGTTAAGCAGTTAATCAGGTTAAGGGGAAAATGTCTTATCTGCAAGATGAGAAGTGATGTGTCCTCTCTTCAGAGGGAAGGAGGAAAATTACCTGCTTTCAACCATTTGTTCTACAGTGATTACAAGATAGGCAAGATGAGAGCCATTATGCTGTTCTTAGTGTTTGCACTTGAACAATAGTACTTATCTATCTTGTAGAAAAGCTATTTCCTGAGAGTCCATCACACTCTATAGTGCAAAGGGCTCAGGGGCCAAATGTGGCCCTCCATCTTCTCTCTCCAGTCCACGGAGAGCCCATATCCACACCCCCATTTGCTCAGGCCACGCCTCTTGGCAGCCCTCTTTGCATGTGTCCTTGACATCTCTGGCTTGCCAGGTTGGAAGGTGGAGAAATGCATGTAGAGAAACCTTTGTGTGGCATTGTGAGCTGAGCTCTATACTAAAGTAAGTATTGCATGTGCACACATTTCTAGTTTTTGCCTCTAGTTCCTCCCACCACCGGTGTGTAGTCCCTGGAAGGCTGCCCCTGAGTGAATGTGGGCTTTGGATGGAAAGAGGCTTCCCTAGCCCTCCTCTAGCGGGGCCAAGAAGCAACCCAGCCTTAAGGATGTAAAAAGGTAAAGGTACCCCTGACCATTAGGTCCAGTCACGGACGACTCGGGTTGCGGCGCTCATCTCGCTTTACTGGCCGAGGGAGCCGGCGTACAGCTTCCGGGTCATGTGGCCAGCATGACTAAGCCGCTTCTGATGAAACCAGAGCAGCGCACGGAAACACCGTTTACCTTCCCGCCGGAGCAGTACCTCTTTATCTACTTGCACTTTGACGTGCTTTCGAACTGCTAGGTTGGCAGGAGCAGGGAGCGAGCAACAGGAACTCACCCCATCGCGGGGATTCAAACCGCCGACCTTCTGATCGGCAAGTCCTAGGCTCTGTGGTTTAACCCACAGCGCCACCCGCATCCTGTAAGGATGTAAAATGGTGTAAATGGCCACTTGCCAAGAAAATCTGACACATTTGACATATTTCACTTCAAAAGAGAGAAGTCCCCCAAAAGGATTGGGAAAAACAGGGCCAGCCCAATACATTTTGGCACCTGAGGCAGACCCCAAAATTGTGGTTTCCCCCCCAGGGAAAAGGGGTGAAGAAGATCTACATTAGGAACAAGCAGAAAAGGAAGATTGACATCAACATCTGCTGCCCCAGTGAATCCTGCTGCCTGAGGCAGTCACTTCCCCATGCCTCATGGATGGACCAGCCCTGTGTAAAAAGGAAGTTGCTGAAAGGCAAAGGCAGCAGAGTCAGACCTCTCCAGAATGCTCGGAAGTTGTTTAAAAACACACTATTAGGAGCTCAATGGGAATGTTGATACCAGGAATCAGAACCAAGATGATCCTTGCATAGTTACTGAGCAGAGTCCAGGAAGTTGGAGGAGGCTTATTCCCTGACAGTGGTGCATGGAATTACCGGTACATTCTTGTGCAATTCCTGGTGTATCAGTGATGATATCAGTGGATCTGAGCCTGGCTGCATATTCCACTTGCCACACAACACATACACAAGCTCTAATTGTTGAGAGCTCCTGAAAGGTGCCTCTTCACAGGCATGGAAAAGTGGAGGAATTTGCCCTGACACCATACGGCTAGGGAAGGAGGCACAGCTAGCAGGTGGATCTCAGTATCTGTTTATCTCGCTTAGCTAATCTCTGCTGTTCTTCAACTGCCAGAGCAGACTGTGCTGTGCTGAATTTCCAGAAGGCTTGATTTGTGATGCAAAAACGTTTGTCTGCTGTGGGTGGTGCAAAATTCTCGGCTTTCCACTCTTCCAATATTTCCCCATGTCACTTCACCGGTCTTGTTTCCCCTGCTCCTGTGCAGCTTTAGCACCCCCCCACCCCAAAGGGGTGCCCTTTCTGCACGGTGCATTGTGGGTTGTGAAGTGAGCATGATGATGTCATGGCGCTTTGGCGCACGTCAGACTTTACTGTGTGATGATGTGGCTGAGATGATGTGGCTCCCATTGCTGTCACTCTGATGGGGGGTGGTGGTGGTGCAAGAGGCAATTTGTCCCTGTGGCCCTTGGCCTTCCAGCACTGAGCAGTAAGAAGGTCATCCTGATCCAATGTTAGTCTCGTCCGTTATGCATGACTAGTGGGGCAAAACGCGGGCGTCTTCCATCCTCATTTGTCATGCCTTTCAGTGGAATATGCATCAGTACCACAGCTATGCTCGCATTTTGTCCCCGCTGGTCAGCGTTGTATAATGTATAGCCAGGGTCCCCCCCCTGCACACAAAAAGTCAGTACAATAGCATAAAAGCAAAGGGGGTGAGTGTAGAGACCATGCTTTGGTTTCCTCGGGTCATCGAAATGGATAATGGAAGAAAGTACGAAGTGTCTTTGCTGTTGTTGAAGAAACACAAATTGCAACGATTGGAAGGAGAACATTTATAAAACTGTCCTGCTGAGCTAAGTGGTTGTCAGACGGGGATGAAGCAGATTATCACCATTTATTGCACAGAAGGAGTGTGCTCAGTGCAGTCAAGCAGGGCACCATAGCAGCAAAAGGGATGATAATCAATGCCCCCCCTTCATCTTTAGGTGGTCTTATAATGTTAAGATTAGTACAGTTGCTGCAGTTGTGTCTGGCCTTCCTTAGGCCTGTGCTTTCCAGATGAAGGAAGATCCTGTTATGTTGTGTGCTTGAGAAATTCTTACAACATTGTTGGATGACACAGATACCTTTTCACTGTCAGAACAGTACAAGGCAATGCATCGTGGGAGCTATCTGGAAATGAACATCTATCTATTTTTGGCCTTGCTCTCCGTGTTACTATTAACCTTTTCAGCTGAATCTTACAAATTGATTTTGGTATGCTTCCTGGAATACTTGGAAAAATGTCAGCCTTCCATTAAGAAAATTATGCAGGTTAACTCTTAGTTTGGTTTTCACTAGAAATAGACCCCTTCAGCTCCTAGCATTACACCTCAGACTCACCATAGTCTTTGCAAAAATGCAAAAGCTGAGAGGAAAGACTGGCAGGTTGCAAGCTAGATTTGCCTTCTGCCTTGCTGCTGAAGGGGGAAAGGAGGCAAGCACAGCTTTCCCTGCTGGTCCCTTTACTGTTATCTATAGACATCTTCCCTTCTATTCTCCAACTCCAACTCTCACATCATGAATCAATGTCATTTTCTTTCTCGGTTGGAGAAGGAACCCCCCCCCCCACTAAATAGGCATGTAAACCCTTCTGGAACCATCCATGTTTATCATAAGAAACAATGTGTCGATATTTCTCTCTGTGCAATGGAAAGTCTGCTCAATAGCATATTGGATTCATTTTACATGGCATTTCATATTGTTTCATCAACTCAGATGATCACATCCCTCTGGGGTGTCTAAGAAGGGACTCTTCCCAGCAAAGCCAGAAACAAGGGGGAGAGGGCAACTTGCTATTTTTGTTTGTGAGCTTTCAGATTCCCCTTTTGTTACATCTAACCAGTGATGTCTTAGCTACCAACTGTACTGTGTGTTTCTAAGGGGTGTTTATTTAGTGAATTTAATGCAAAAGGACATTATCACTATAGTGGAGGTTTTTTTTTTTAATTCCTCATGAAGCATGTATGAAGTCAGGCACATTGTGCTGCTGCAGAAAGAACTGCACTGGCTGCCCACCAGGTGCAGGGTGAGCTTCAAGGGACTGGTGTACAAAGCCCTGTACAGCTTGAGACCAGGATCCCTACAAGTTGCCTCTTTCCTTACATCCTCAGCCAATCACTGTTCTGCAGGGGAGGCATCTGGCAGATACCATCCTATCAGGAGCAGGGCTGGAAGAATCCGTCAGTTTCAGTTCTTTCCGTTTTTTATTTCTCTAATCTTGAATTCAGTTCTCCAAATTTATGCAGCAATTTTATTTTTATCTTATTTTAAAAAATAAAATCCTAGTGAGAATTATTCAGCATTTTAGTGCAAATTTCTCCTAATAAACACATTTTTTGTGGGCAGTTTTGACTAATGGACACATTTTTACAGGAAATTTCTCAACATATAATGTATTTTTGCATATTATTTTCATTTGTTATGCCCACGTTCTCCTAATATTTGCACTTTTGTAAAGATCATTTGGTTGGAGAACTGCGTTGCAAAAGTTTGAATAAGTGCAAATGTCTGTAGGGTTGCCATAATGTTTTGGAAGGTGGAAATTTGCTAGCATTTAAAGCAGGATCTAACTGAATCAAATTCGTCCCCACCCCTAATCCAGAAGTCCATTCCACACCCCAGTGGAGTAGGCTGTATGGTGAGACCCTTCTAGTTCCTGGATCCAGCAAGGATTCAGATTCCTGGAGCAGTCAGGCTAGCTTCCTGCTGAGTAACGGGTCATCAAGGTAACAAAGGAAGTGGCTTGGTGCCAGAGGACAAATGGGTGGGGCCCCCTCCCTTCACTTTCTGGTAGTGAGGAAGACAAAGAGTTGAGTTGTGTGAGCTGGAAGCTGGAAGCAAGGCAGCAGGCTGGGAAAACAGGATGGCAGAGCCATGTCTGATTTTTGCTGGAATCCCAGGCTGTGGCTGTGGGAGAAGCAAGACCCTCTTGGGCTGTGAATGCTGTGAGCCCCTCCATTCTAGGCTCAGCTTGTATATATGTGCAAATAATCTATATATCCTAAAGACACCACGGTCTCTGCTGTGCCTCATTCTGAAGGAAATATGAATCCTGGGGAAGCTCCTGGAACCCCGGGAATCTCTCACCTCTCAGAGACTGGGGAGGTGAGGAACCGTGTGTGTTTATTCTATTGTAGATAGCTTTGGGATGCCTCATTGGAAGTGATTTATAAATGAAATAAAAATAATAATAGGCCAGTGTGTGTTAGTGAGTCAACAACAACATGGCAATGCCTATCGATCAATGATGATCAGTGCTGATGTTTTCCTTTCACGTGTAACATTCGGGGCAAATGTTCCCCATTGCTCCCCTAAGAAATGGTGTGCCTGATAGATATGGATTTTGTTCATCAGCATCTTTATGGCGACTTCTCTTTAAAGAGAGCTCTGCAGAATCATAGACTCATAGAATTGCAGAGTTGGAAGAGTCACAGCTCACATTTAGGGGCCACTTTGAGTATTTGTGCTCAGTCCTTTGAATGGCATTCCTGCCCATGAGCATTTTGTCTCACAAGCCCTGCCCCTTCCTCTGGCTGCATGTTGGCAGCCTCATTTCCAGAAGGCAAAGCCCACACTCTCAGAGTTGACGCATTTGTTGCCAGTTAGAGGAAATTTGGGCCCAAGTCTCGTTTTCTATGCATTTTCATTTAAGTCCTGATACTTTGTGACCCTTGTGCATTTTGTCACATCCATGTCCGCCCAGACACTGGCAGTTCAATATTTTGTATATTAATGTGTTTCCTCCCCTTTGATGTTTTACTGATGCATTGGGATTAAATAGAAATGTAAATATATCATAACTGAAGCATTATTATTATTATTATTCTTATTATTATTGCTTGCAGACAGAGTACCACTTCGAATACACGGAGTGCGATAGCAGTGGGTCCAGATGGAGAGTTGCAGTCCCAAACGTGGAATGTTCTGGTTTACCTGATCCTGTCAAAGGGAAGGAATGCAGTATGTATTGATGCTTTCTTGTTACAAATCGCATGTAAAGCTTGCCATTTCTAGGTTTGTTTTTTGTTGCTTACATAATCAAGCACGACTTAGGATGTGATCAAATGCCCATTTATTTGGGAGCAAACCTCACTGAGCTTAGTGGGCCTTCCTTCTAAGGAAACATACGTAGGGATATTTTGTAGATACATTTGAAAAATCAAGTTGATATCTAGAGGGGTTTGCTGCTTCTTACTCTTTGAATATACTTACTCTGTGGGTTATTCATAGTTTTTTGTTATTCTTAAAACCAGCCCCTTTCTCTAAAATTTTATTCTCTGACAGTGACAGCCTCCTTTCACATGTTTATCATTAAATGAACCCTAGTCCGCAGGTGTTTTGTTGTGAAAGATTAAAAACTTAATTTTTAAAATTAGTTTGTTAATGCAAGTATAAAGCTAATATTTGCCGGAACGATGCTGTTTTATTTTGCCAGCCTTGAAGCATTGGTGGGTTGCACATTTTAAAATAAATGAGCATGGCTAAGATTGAGAGAGGTTGGCGCGAGGTGGCCGGGAGCTGGGCATGGGGCAGATGCACTGGCAAAGCCCATCTGGTGTTGCTGACAGCGTTTGCACCATGTCGGTCCCCCCACCCTCCCCCTCCCCTCAAGCAGCAGTGACTCTGCAGTCAGGAGGTCAGGTGAAGGCTGCCCCCACCCCCGCTGCCATCAGCTGCTGCTCCTCAGACAGATGTATCTGGACTCCCCCCCATGGGGGGAAGGTGCATTTTGAGTGGGAAACGTCTGCCTCCTCCAGATGCTCCTCTGTTCAAAACCACCTCATGGGGTGAATATTTATTTCAGAAGACCTGGCAGTGCTCACATTCAGGTATTTGCTGCGTAGGACTAGAGCTAAAGCCGGAGCTGATCTTGCTCTGAATGGTTAACAGTCTGGCTGCTGCAGCTCCCAAGCTCAGCTGGCTCTGTGACTAAGCAAATGCATCCCCTTTCTGTCAGGTCTCGAATGCGTCAGCAACCAGCTTAACAACAAAAGGTTTTCTGCTCTTGTTTGCGTCTGACCTTGGTGGGTTTTTTAAAGTACATTTCTGGGACACGCTGAGTGCTGCTGAGCCTGATAGCTGTTTTATCTTGAGAGGATAATGACCACAATAGCCCAGGATGTACAAGAGATGGGGAGCCGGTAGGCGGAATAGGGGCAAGAGCCCTGGGTTCCTGGGGGAGGAGCTAAGCTCTCCTTTGAAGGAGGAGGGTGGACCAGCCAAAGAAAGGACTGGGCTTTCTCGTGCCACAGGTGTATTGCAACGCAGGGATGAGAAAAGGTATTGAAATATTGGAGAGCCAGAGAGTAGGAGATGTCAGTGTTGGGTTCTTGCTGCTCCTTTGACTTCCTTCATCCTTTCTGGCACCAGGATCACACGGTAGTTCAGTCTCTCTCCAGTCTGTGCCAGTTTCACTGTTGTTTGTTCATAAATCCCTTAAGTTCATGAGTTCACAACATAAAAATACTAAAAAAATGAAGAACACAAAATACGGTACATAAAAAAGCAATACACATTTAAAATACATATTGCTTTAGAAGCCAAAGGCCTGGTTATAGAGAAACATTTTTGCCTGGCACCTAAAAATATGCAATGAAGGCACCTGGCAAGCCTCCCTGGGAAGAGGATCCCACAGACAGGGAGCCACCACAGAAAAGGCCTCGTGTTGCCACCCTCTGGGCCTCATATAGAGGAGGCACACAGAGAAGGACCTCAGAGTCTGGGACATTTTATATGGAGAGTGGTGGTCCTGGAGGTATTGCGGTCCTGAGCCATTTACGGCTTTATAGGTCAAAACCAGCACTTTAATTTGGGCCTGGAAACTGATTGGCAGCCAGTGCAGTTGGGCCAAGATTGGTGTATTATGCTCAAACCGACTTACCGTGATGAACAACCTGGCTGCCAAGTTCTGCACCAGCTAAAGTTTCCAAACCGTCTTCAGAGGCAGCCCCAGCTATAATGAGTTGCAGTAGTCTAACCTAGAGGTTACCAGAGCATAGAAAACAGAAATTAGGCTGTCTCTACTAAGACAGGAGCACACCAGCCAAAGCTGATGGAAAGCATCACCTGAGCAGTAATCTAACCTTTAAACCGTTACCATGAGATGCACAGTAGGACTTTTAATCCCATGACTGGTAAGTTTACTTAGGAACCTTTTTTGAGGACGTAGACTTTGTTGTAGAGTTGGTAGGGACCACCAGAGTCTTTATTGCTTCATGATATTCCTTGGTGTCTTCATTCAGTGGTACTATATTGACTTTAACCAGATAAATTCTATGATGCTATGCAAAAAAACCCCCACCCCACCCCCCAAAAAAACCCCATGGAATTTGGTATGGGGAAAATAAGTATCCTGAGAATATTTATTTATTTTAAAAGTTTCTAACCCTTATAACTGGGGCAATAGGCTTGAATGAGGAATGTCTTGTGAATTGATCCCAAATGCTTCAAGGTCAGGGGGAGGCTGGGGTGTTCGCTACCCCATGAGCGGAAGCAGCATAAATATTGACACTTGCCCAGGACATTTCTACAGGTTGCAGAATTTGGGTTCCTCAAGTGCAAAATGGTTGATTGATAGCAAGCAAGCAAGCAAAGAAGCAAGAAAACAAACAAACAAACAAACACACGGGCAACGGAAGAGCCACAGCTTTTAACGCAGGAATTTTCAAAATGTGTTCTTCTGGGGAACTTTGGAGCTCTTTGGAAGGTTTTGGGATTTTCTCAAGGAGAACATTAACAAGGACAGGCAAACTGCCACCAAAGGCAGCTTGGTTGTAACTTGGCAACACAGGGTTTCAGAAATTGATGTTAAAACTGTGGTGGCGGGGGACTGTTACTATAATTATTTCATGATTATGCTGTTTGTTATGTTTTTATTATTGTGCTCCATAAAATGTGCCCTTAATGTGTACACTGCCCTGGTATCTTTTGATAAAGGACGGTAGATGCATTGAACGAATAAGCTAATAACAATTGTATTGGGCCCATATGTGGAGGCTCAACAGGCCTGGCCAGCCCTCTCCCCCAGCTGAGCTACAGTGTGCAGAGGGACCTCGGTGGGCAGGCCAGCATGGAAAGAGGTCTCTGGTGATAGACAAATTACCAGCTGAAACACAAATCAAGTTGCACAGATTGTCCCGGATGTCAAAAGAGATTCATTTTGCCATTAGCCATGCTCAGCCTCAGGTTGAACCAGGCAAGCAGCTGGCTTCCTCCCATCTACTTCTGCTCATGGACATATGCATTGTGACGTGAAAAGAGCATTCTCCTGTGAAACGTGGAAATAGTTGGCCATTTGATAAAGAGACTGTATTGAAGCAGCAATGAAGGCTCCTGTAGCAGTGACGAGCCCTGAGGACTTAATGCTGGTCTAGGCTCTCCTCTATGACATGTTCATTAGGATGTTCATGTGAACATAGTGTTCATCTGACGGAGGGGATGGCCTGCACCACCGCACAGGTCACAGGGATCAATCACCTGCAGATCAAGGATGACTAGCTGCATAGAATGGGGCGGGCATCCTTTACTGCATGTGCGGCAAACCTGAAAGTCAGGTTTGGTTGGAATGTGCCTGTAAAATGCATTCTTGTAGTTCCTTGCTAGCAGGTTCTTCAGAGATTAGATGGGCATCGGGAAGAATGTCTGGCCAACACAGTTGCACAAGACAGCCTCCGGGGATGCGGGATGCTTTTAGATTCGAAAGACAACCAAACATGTTGACCGCAGAGCTTGTCTTCTCCTTCTCCTGGGCGTCTCTGGCATTTTGACATGGTGTAATTTGCGACTAGGAGATTCTGGTCATTCATGAAATACAAATTGGTATTTAGCTGCAAAATTAAAAGCACCTTTTGGTTAAAAGGTGTGAGTGCACATTTGCTCTAAGTGAATGGTGAAACTAAGTATCTTTGCTGCAAGTTGTCAGAAGTTGCGTTAATAAATTTTATAGTCTGCACTATTCAAAGGGCTGAAGGGAACAATTCGAAGCAACAATTTTATATAAAGAAATTAATCTGTATGGGGTGTGTGGACTGTCGTGAACATTCAATTCTGTTATTTTTATTATTAAAGGGTGTAGTTTCTTCATCAGTGTTTAAGCTGTCCTCATTGTTAGATCAATGAAAATAATTTGCTAGGTGTGTCAATGGTACTATGTAGATGACCCAAGTATTGTGTGCTGTCCATGTTGAATAAGGTATTGGTTTACAGAAATAAAATTCTTACGATTGAGACTTGTTTTCAGATCAGGGGGCCCACTAGGGGGCGCATTGGAAGATGGCCGACAATACCATCTCTCCGACCTACACGGGGTAATTAAGAGGCTGTTATGGGAGTAGGCAGCCTCCCTTGTTGCCCCAAGGAAATGGGGAACACTGCCCTTGCCTGCTGTGCCCATAAATCACCCCTAATTTGAAAGAAGGGGGTGAGGGCCCTAGGCAGAATGCCCCGTGTGGACCTCGGCTCTCCTGGACGCTGTCTCTGATCGCGCACTAGTTGCAGCAATTTGGAATAATTAATTACAGAAGAAGCAAATGCACATATTTCAAGTGAAGAAGGGGAGTGAAGTCTGCTAATTTAAGTGACCTCTGCGAAAGAAGACGACGGGCTGGAGAAACAGGAATATTTTACGATGAAGATACACCAAGGGCGGAGTATGTTGACAATGGGGCTGAATGGGGGGGGGGAACCTTTTTTACTTTCCTTCTATGTGATTTACAAGAACCCCTCCTCATTAGAACCGTCGGTTGAACTGACCCAAGCAGGATGATTAAGGCCTGTGTGGAGATAAACTTTAACCAAAAGTATGCTTTATGGAGACCGAGAAGCAATAAGAGCTTTTGGGAATGGCGCAGCAATTAATTCGGAGTCGCCATCTTGCCAAAGGATTTATAGCCGGGAGGAAGAATGGATTTGTTTTCAGACTGCATTCCTAGTGAATCTCCTCAGAGGTTTTGAGAAAGGAGGCAGATTGGTGAAGATTAATGACGCTAAGACTGTTTTGATGTATGGAAGTGATGTTATATGGAAAACGTCTGGATATGGCTACTGGATAATAAAAAAAATATCCACGTAGGATTACAAACTGTTCTAACCAGCTTGCGGAGACTATCAGAGGTCACAAAGAGAAAGGAAAATATATGAAAATAACAACAAGAGATGTGGAAAAATAATAAGAAAGGACTGGATAGTACTGTGAACATCATAAGGTTAGATTTGTGGACATTAAAACAGCAGTAAGAAGCAAGAAGTTGATTGGATCCCTTCGAACTTGAAATATGGGTACCCCCAACAAAAATTTAAAATTCGGCTGTGTAATTTGGAATTTATGTAATTTGGTTTGATTTGATGTGATTGGTCGGTTAATAAAAAATTATTCTTAAAAAAAAGAGACTTGTTTTCAGATCGGTGCTGTGGTCAGCACAACTTGCCTGTAACGGATACCAGATCTGAGAAACAGGTGCCAATCAAATTTGTGATTTTCTACATTTGAGGGTTGCTGAATGCTTGTTGAGAAGAGAGCTTGTAATGGACCAATTGCTTGTGCCCTTAATCAGCTGTGCATGTTTTCCTTCTCAGCTTTCTCATGTGCTTCTGGGGAATACCTAGAAATGAAGAATCAGGTGTGCAGTAAATGTGCCGAAGGAACCTACTCCTTGGGAAGTGGGATCAAATTTGATGAATGGGACGAGCTGCCTGCAGGATTCACAAATGTAGCCACTTACATGGACACAGCCATGGGCTCAGCAGAGAGCAAAGCAGACAGCTGTGGCAAGTAAGGACCTGGGGGGGTGGGCTGTGTGCGCATGGCACACAGAGGCTTGGAGAAACCATTATAAATGAGGTGCAGTGGTGCCTCTGATTTTAAATTTTCCCTTCTCTGGCATATTTATATTCATAGGAATGTTGGAAGCCGCCTTGTACAGAGTCAGGCCATTAGTCCACCCAGTTCAGTATTGTCTGCACTGATTGGCGGCAGCTCCACATGGTTTCGGGCTGGGAGATGCTGGGGACTGAGCCTGGCACCCTTTGCATGAGAAATAGGCACTCTACCACTCCATGGCCATTGCTCACTCTTCCTAAGTTCAGAGTGGCTTGCATGGTCTTCTAGCAGTTTCCTGTTCAAGCACTGACCAGGTCCAGACACTCTGAGCTGGAATGATGCAGCAGAACCAGTGGCTCTCATGCAATTTATGGGGTCTCAACTCATTGACTGAAATGGTAAGAGTGCACAAAGGGCCCGGTGCTCAGAAATGTATGTAGTGGTCTTCCTTCAAGGAGTTGACACCACCACTTGGACCTCAGAAGTCGCTGTGAGAAGCAATTTAATATTATTTTTGTAGGTCCAAGACTGCCAAGCTGATCAACAGGGAAGGGGAAATTTTCAAAAGAAATCCACTGCATCTTGGAGAAAAGGTCTCCTGATAGAATGTTAGTTGCAAAATGTCTTTTATTTCTAGAAAGCTTGAAAAGCAATTGAATAACATTCTATTGTCCTCCTAATGTATCAGTGAATGCTTCCCTGTCATCGCTGTAAAGGAATTATAGCTAACACAAATCAGCTGCAAAATTTAATATTTTCTAGACAAAGAGAAGTGATGGATGAGAAGCTCTTTTATATTCTTGTCTTTATTTTCCCAGGATTTTTACTGCAGCAGATCATTAAGTAGTATTTGGGTTAAATATGCCTGATAGATGGATATTTATGGTGCCTATATTGTAAAACAATTCTTGTTTCTGCTCATGTTTGCTCAGATCGTCATGGACTCCTCGTGGGAATTACATTGAGTCAAACAGGGACGACTGCACCGTCTCCTTGATCTACACGGTGCACCTGAAGAAGTCGGGTTCCGTCATCTTTGAATACCAGTATATTGACAACAACATCTTCTTTGAGTTTTTTGTAAGGGGGATTTGTGCACTAAATCTACACTAAGGCTAAACTGCAGAGGCAGTCTTCTGAAAAGAACTCTCGCAGCTTATTTTTGAGGCAGTTTATTGGCATCCTGAGTGTCTTTGCCTCTATGAGGCTTATTGAAATGTGAATCTGCCTTATACTGAGACAGACCACTGATTTTATTTAGCACACTGCTGATTCACAGCTGCCCCCGAAATATGCTTTGCATAGACTCATAGAATCGTAGAGTTGGAAGGGACTCCAAGGGTCATCTAGTTCAAGGCAGTAATCTCAACTAAAGCATCCATGACAGATATTATTATTATTATTATTATTATTATTATTATTACCCCACCCATATGACAGGGTTGCCCCAGCCACTCTGGGTTCTGGCCTCCAATGAAGGAGAGCTCGCCACCTCCTTAGGGAGACTGTTCCACTGTTGAATAGCTCTTGCTGTCCAAAAGTTCTTCCTGATGTTTAGTTGGAATCTCCTTTCTTGTAACCTGAATCCGTTGGTTCGGATGGTCCTCCCCTCCAGAGCAGGAGAAAGCAAGCTTGTTCCCTCATCCATGTGACGTCCCTTGAGATATTTGAAGATGGCTATCATATCTCCTCTCAGTCTCCTAAACGTCCCCAACTCCCTCTTCCTCATAAGGTTTGGTTTCCAAACCCATGATCATCTTGGTTGCCCTCGTCTGCACATGGAATAGAGTGGGACTATTACTTCCCTTGACCTGGACACTATGCTTCTGCCAACTTGAGTCTTTCCCAGATTCACAGAGGAAGTGTTTATATGGTGTCTAGAGGCTGAGAAGTCTAGTTTAGCAAAATGATTTAAGTGCTTTTTGGTCATCTTGTCTCAAGCACATCAAAACCTATGGCCTGTCTCAAATGCTTGCTGAACATCCTTCCTTCCCAAAGCTGCTGGCAAACTCATGATCCAGCTTGGAATGCATGGAGATTCTGGATGTAGGAAGTGTATCCTCTATATGGGTTTGTTGCACCTGGTGGCAGATTGCCCAAAGGCCGCTGACTGTGTTGATCCCAGTGGCCGTGTGTCTAACCTCCGTGTGCGGATTCATACTGTTCATGACTGGCTGGATCTATAGTTTTTCCAGAGGGCCCTTATCGACACCTGTTTATGCAGGTGGAGGTGTTTCATGCCAAGAACCAGAAACTCCACAGCCTTTTATCCTACAGAGCAGCCAATGGCTAGTTTACAAACCTTCCAGTATGAGTGAGTTCAGGGACTCCCCATGCCAACAAATCTACATGTTGGCATGGTAAAGATATGTACAGGCCAAACTCAGCCGATAACGCTCTAAAATGTAGAGACTGTAATACTTTGGATTAATTGGGTTGTAGCTAAGGCACTCTGTCATTTTATTTACACGACTGGAAAGAGAACCTGGAGCGGCCCAGGAACCACCCACTCCAGAACTTTGCCCAAGAAGTGAACAAGGGCTCCACAATGTTTTAGATTTTCTGGGTCCAGCTGGCCTTTCTTAAGGTGTGGTTTTGCCATTGCCTCAGTTAGGCTGGCAGGGACCAGCCCCTTTCTAACACAAGCGGCCCACCTTGTAACTCCCTCAGCAAAATGAAGCCCACCTGTGAGCTCCCTGACAGCCTCTCTGTCTTTACAGTCCCTGGCAGGAAGAGAAACTCTGCCTTCTGGTGAGTCTGGCAGGCAGATGCGTTGGGTGGGCTTGCCTTCGGCTTTGGTTCAAAAGGCGGGCTGGCACCTGACTTGAAACAAAAATGTGATGTAGCTGGGGACTTTTTTTCCTTCTTTTTTGTCTTTTTTGCAGTTTCCAGAGCATCTTGTGTGAAAGACAGAATTTTGGCTGGGTTCCCAGAATTGTTTGAGTGAACCTTGGGTTTTTCCTAAGTTAAAGTCCCCCAATGCATCTTTACACAAATTGCACTGCATATGAACCGTGAAATGCAGGACAGACCATGTTGCTCACCTGCACTTCTCCCCAGATTGTTGAATGTGCGACTGGCGGGTGCCTGGCTGTGCTGTCTCTCTAATTCCCCCACTGCAGGCTTTGCTGAGCCGAGGGAGGCGAGGTGGGTGGTGCCAACACAATGTGACAGCTTGGCAGCTGCGGGCATTCTCTCCCGCCCACTTACCTTCCTGCACAACTCCTTCACTTGGCATTAGGATCTGCTGGCAGAAGTCACAGGAGCAAAAAATGTCTGCTCTCACCAATGTCTAAAAAGTCCAACCCCTTTATGCCCCCACAGCTCTGTCCCTAGCACTGCCCAGGCCCCATGATGTTTGAAATCAAAAGCTGGCAACCCTGACTTGCACATTATGCAAGCTCACAGCCAGTTCCAGCCACTGGGCCAAGTGACCTCTTTCTATATGAACTCAGAAGCCTGACCTGGGTCTAGCCATTATTTTAATTCCCCAAAGCGATGCTGGATCAGGGGTTCTGTGGAAAATGAAAGGGGTGGCTAACTCCGGCTGTCTGGCACTGCCATGAGTGCTGGTACAGAAAAAAAATAAGGGAGACCAGGGCAGGCATCCGCATTGGGCCCTGGCGGGCTCTCTGGTTGTCAGGTGTTGATACTCTTTGCCGGCCTGCTGTCTAATGGGCATCACAAACTCCAGGGGAGTGAGGGGAGCGCCTAATTCATGTTGCCGCCTTGTGCATTCAAACAATGCTGTGCAGGTGGCTGGATGAAGGTAGAGGAAGACTAAAGAAGTGGAGGATGGAAAATGTTCCTCTTGCTCATCTCCCCCCCCCCCCCGCTTTGTGTGAGGGATGAATCACTCCTGTTTCTCCTGCTGCCACAAAGGGCGTTTGGCCCTAATTAACATTTGCAGACTGTTTGGAGACAATGAGATGCGGCACTGTGGGCAGGAAGCTCCATGTGCCAGCTCCTTCTATGCGGCAGGCATGGAAACATGGGCAGAACAAGCATGCCGCCCAAGGCACCTTCCTTCTGTTGGTTCAATACCATCCATTGCCCTTCGCTAATAAGACAGTATGTGCTCATGGCAGATGTCTTTTGAGGTACTGTCTATATTTTTAACCATACCGGCTTGTTAAGGTTCTGAAAAAGGAAGCCACAAGTGATTCTGCTGCAGTTACATTAATTTGCTTCCAGATACACACTTGTAGCAGCCGCTTGGCTGGGCAGCAATTGATTTCTTTCTTTCTCACAGGAAAGCAAAAGCATCGACTGCCTGAGTATGGGGCCCAAGAATCACTTCCAGCCAATGACTGATGTTGATCAAAGCATCCTTGATAGCTTTTCTGCACTCTGGGGGTGCCATCTTTAAGTCTCATTAAGCAAGAGCAGCTCTAGTGTAGCAGTTAGACCAGGAGCCACTGAGGGGAAAGACAGACAGACAGACAGACAGACATGCATACATCTAGCTCCATACTTAGGCAGATGCGCAGGCTGGGTGTCTGAACTTGCCCAAACCTCCCCTGACTCTGCTCCTTCCTCAAACCTGAGACTCGCTTTGGGGTGTCAGAGAATTCCAATGAAAATGGGAGCAAGAGCAAAAATTGCTGATGCTTGCTTATTTCTCCCATGTCCAGAAAGGAAATCAATCCAGTGAATAGAATCTGTATTTGCTGTTATTCTTGCTTTCAGTCCACAAATGAGTAGTAATTGTTTACATTTCCCCATATTTGCATTCCGTTTCCTTTGCATTGAAAATAATGGGATGGAATAATGTAACAAGAATATATGTACATTTTTATTTTATTTTATATTTTTAGTACCCCCCCACCACTTACAATATAAAAACACAAAAATATACAACATAGTAACAAACAAACAAACAACAAACAAACAAACAAACAAACAAACAAACAAACCCCAAACCCAGTTTAAAAGGCCGTAGATTGTTTAATTGGCCAAAGGCTTGGGAGAAGAGGAACACTTTTGCCTGGCACCTAAAGGTGTATAGCAAAGGTGCCAGACAAGCCTCCCTGGGGAGAGCACCCCACAAATGGGAAGACCCGTTCTCAGGTTGCCACCCTCTGGACCTCATGCAGAGGAGGCACATGAAGAAGGACCTCCGATGATGATCTGGATTGGTTCATACGGGAAGAGGCAGTCCTTGAGGTGTTGCAGTCTCTGCTGTCGGGCCAGAATTGATGCTCTATATACTCTGGTGAGCAACCACTGAATCCTGCACCAGCCGAAGTTTTGAACCATCTTCAAATACATCTCCACATATAGCGCAGTGCAGTAATCTAGTTACATTTTTTAAAATTTGTGTTTCTGATACATTTCAACTAATCTAGTTACATTGAGACAATTTTTCATGGAAGACGAACTGCAGCAAAACTGAATCCGAATCATAGAATTGTAGAGTTGGAAGGGACGCCCAGGGTCACCTAGTCCAATGCAGGAATCTCAGCTAAAGAATCCCTGGCCGATGGCCACCCAAGCTCTGCTTAGAAACCTCCAGGGAAGGAGAGTCCACCGTCTCTCGTGGGAATCTGCTCCACTCCTGAACGGCTCTTACTGTCTGAAAGTTCTTCCTGATGTTCAGTCGGACTCTCCTTTCTTGTAACCTGAATCCATTGGTTTGAAATGGAACTGCCTGTGGAATGAAAAATGAGGCCTTCTTGCACCTCGTTTCAAAAGGCAGAATATTATTTTTAGACACCATTATGTCTATAATCACCTTTAAAAGCTCTTTTATTTCCTTGTAGTTAGTTACTCCATAAAGCAAGGTCCAATTTTTCTGTAAGACATGGTTGTTGTTTTTTAAAAACTAATTATGTCAGTATGGCTCACATAGAGGAACTTTCCTGTGGATTTTGCCCCTGTCAGCTTAGAAGATGCTCTGTCTCACTTTGTCACAGGTTTATTCTTCTGAACATTAGGGTTTCTGATTAAGCACCTCTCCCCCCCTCTTTCTTTTTACTCCAGTGTAGTTACCACAAAGATGCTTGAAATGTGAAGCTTAGGCTCCCCCCCAACCCCACAGAGGCCTCCAACATCACTGCTCTAGATGAAATAGCATGTTATTATCACTTTTCTTAAATTCCTGCTGTTACAGAATAGCCAGTCATTTTGTCTGCACTGCTATTGAACAATTTTGCTATTCTCCTGAACAGTTATTTGCTAGCAAGTAAAGTAAAAGTGCCCTGCAGGGGAGCCTCCCCCTCAGGCACGGCCACAGAAGATACTCAGGAATCAGCAAAGCCATCTCTGCCTGCCAGGCTGCGGGAGAGAGGGATGCATCAATTCAGACCAAATCAGCATCTTTTCAGTTTCCAAGTATCCATTGCAACTGTGTTTGAAAACATATTTGGAAAGTTTGGATTCATTTGCTGGATCAGGCCAATGATCCGCCCAAGCCAGCATTTCGTCTTTGGACCATTCAGCCCACGGTTGCTCCCTGCCCGTGCTGGTGGCAGGTGCCTGAGGTCTGTCCCAGCACTGATCTAAGGCCTTCTGCCTTCTGATTTAGAGACTCTAAAACATAGAGGCTTCCTCCTTTTTTGCCACAGGTAATAGGGGGGAATCCCCACTTTTGCAGGGGTTCTGCCCCTGCCCTGCCTCATTCTTCCCCATTCCACCCCAGTCCCCTTTCAGTGCATTAAGCACATGATTTGCACGTTAAGGAGATGCCTGCAGTCCTCTCTGGACCTCCAGGCAAATTTAAAGGAGGCAATCAGTTCAGTTGCGTGGGACATGGAGCCTGGGCAGGGGGGCGCTGGAGATGCTGCGAGAGGCGTCAGGGTGCTGAATTTTGGTGTCACACAGGGTGCTACTGAAATTTGAGACCCCAAGATCTACTGCTCATGAATCTATTCCTCCCCCCCCCAGCAAACCCAACACTAACTCAATCAGATCATGACCACCACCGCATTTTGTGGCAGCGAATTTCACAAATTCAGTTAGATATTGCATTGTACAATGCTTTCCTAGCCTTGAAGCTGCTGTTGATCAACTGTTTAGCACAACATGCATGTGCAACGCGAATCAAGGCCTACAGCCGTGATCGGCAACCTGTGAGCCTCCAGACCTTGTTGGGCTGCAGCTCCCATCAACTCTGAGCCGTGGCCATACTGGTGTCCAGTGAATGGGGGGGGGCACAGGTTGCCTTGCCAGGACTAGAGGAATCCAGCTGGCTTTTGGGTGCTGCTGGAGAGCAGGACATAAGTGAAGTCTTGGTCAAGTAGTCAACTCCTTACATGTAAATAAGTGTGGGAGAGGAAGCAGGATCATGCTGGCCAGCCCTGACCCCTTAAGGTTCATCACCTTTTTCATTCTTTACCACCCCCCAAATTTGAGGCTCAAGGTCTGAAGCAGAGAGCCTTCTCTGCTATGGAGACTCCTGCCATGATTTAGGTGCCTACTTGTGTGAATGAGGAATTGTCCTATTCCAAGGGGATAGCATATCATGTGAGCCATGAGCTCACTTAGGAAAGGCTGTGTTGTCTCCACTCACACTCCTCCCACCCCACTCTGGAATATTAATGGCTTAACAGTTTGGGTTTGCTGGGTGGCAAAGGTAAAAAGGGTGGCAGGTCGTGCTGTGGTCTAAACCACTGAGCCTCTTGGGCTTGCTGATCAGAAGGTCAGCAGTTCGAATCCACACGATGGGTGAGCTTCCATTGCTCTGTTTGAGCTCCTGGCAACCTAGCAGTTTAAAAGCATACCAGTGCAAGTAGATAAATAGGTACTGCTGCAGCGGGAAGGTAAACGGCATTTCCGTGCTGTCTGACTTCTGTCATGGTTGTCCGTTGTGCCAGAAACGGTTTAGTTATGCTGGCCACTTGATGCAGAAAACTGTCTGTGGACAAATGCCAGCTCCCTCAGCCTGAAAGTATAGATGAGCACCGCAACCCCGTAGTCGCCTTTGACTGGACTTCACTGTCCAGGGGTCCTTTACCTGTTTATTTTACCTTACTGGCTGGCATAAGGATTACTGAGATGCATGTGAGGGGTTTTTGAAAACATTCAAAGTGTTACATAAATATTGCTTCTGTTATTGGCTGACAGCAAATTAACTCAATATCTGAAAGCTCCCATTTTTAAATCAATAGATTCAGAATGATCAGTGCCAAGAGATGGACTCCACAAGCGATAAATGGATGAAGCTGACAGATAATGGCGAATGGGGCTCCCATTCTGTGAGTATAATGTTTCATGGCTTGATGAACAGAATCATAGAATCATAGAATTGTAGACTTGGAAAGGGACCCCAAGGGTCATCGAGTCCAACCCCCTGCAATGCAGGGATCTCAGCTGAAGCATCCATGACAGATGGCCACCCAACCTCTGCTTAAAAACTGTTAAGTAGACTTATTGCTTTATTCTTGGCGTCCAGCACACTTCCCCCTGCGAGCCTCTGCAGGTCGTAAAGCAATTAGCAGAATTGCACAGCGTCCGTGTTGAAAGGGCAGTAAAACAAGTCCCACACGTTTCTTCTTTCCTAGTAGCACTTTATTTGCTCAAAAGTAGCATGTTTACAATTCATATACACCATCTGATTCAAGCTGCATTTTGCGTCCTTCTCTCTCAGCTTGCTGCGTAGCAAAGCTGCTTTCACTGCTTAAAAACCTCCAAGGAAGGAGAGCCCACCACCTCCTAAGGGAAACCGTTCCACTCCTTTCTTGTAACTAGAAGCTACAGTGGTACCTTGGTTTACTAACTTAATCTGTGCCGGAAGTCCGTTCTTAAACCAAGGACTTTCCCAATCCTTGATCATCCTGGTCACCCTCCTCTGCACATGAGTATCAACCTCTTTCTTAAATTGTGGTGCCCAGAATTGGACACAGTATTCCAGGTGTGGTCTGACCAAGGCAGAATAGAATGGGCCTGTGACATTCCTTGATCTGGACATTAGACTTCTGTGGATGCAGCCTAGAATAGATATAGTGGAAACCTGATCATCTCGTGATTGGATGTCTTTCTCACTCTGAACCCCATCAAGGAACTGACTGATTCCCTATCAGCAACCCATACTCTCAAAAGCTTATTTCCTACATGCCCCTATGTGCCTCCACATGCCCCTACATGCTGTGGCGCTGTGGGGCATGGCTGCTTTCCCTGCAGAAGCAGGATTTAACTTCCCCTCCCTCCCATCAGCTGATGTGTGGGCAGTTCAATCCTGCTTGGTTTTGGTGCAAAAGAGTTCCATGATGAAAACTCTCTTCCACATCCACAACCTGCAGGAAGCACTCACTCATAAGCCAATGACAAGGGAGATCAGTTCTGCCTCATAAGTATCTTCATCCTACCCTCACAAGCCAACTTTGACAGGTGGGTGGGATAACCTGATGTCTATCCCCTGGAGGCTGGCAGGGAGATAGAGACAAAACCGTTTCTCCACTTGCTTCATGTGGCTGCATCACTCAAAATTCCAAAGGGTTCACTGTAAAGATAAAAAGTTCAAATTTCTGAGACTGAATGAAGGATCATTCTCAGAACCACACAGAAAAAGAATCACTTTGTGTGCACTGTGTGTAGGCCTGAGGCAGAGTTTCTCCTTTTATTTGCATGCAGATACCTTATCTCACATTTTTATTCCATGTCAAACCCATGAGCTGAGTAAACAGGGCAAGGCTTCATTTCTCTTTTCTGGGTGAGGGGAGAAAACGAAACCTCTCTATGTGTTTTAAGCAGACCTGTCAGTATGTTTGACTGAATTGTTTGCTCTCTAGGTCCTTTAAACTAGTTCAACAAAACTGGGGTGTGGTTTCTCAAAGATTCTTGTGCCTCCTTGTCTCTTTTAGCTCCAAGGCAAAAAGTACTGTCTTCAAGTAGTCTGTTTTACTTCTTGGAATTTGCAGCAACAGTGGGGGGTGGTTGTTTTTTCATTTACTCCTTGGTAGTTGCAAAGTCCGAAGCAGCAACCGGTGTGCGTGAGGATTCTTCCAGGGGTAGCTTGGCTTTGTGCAGTGATGTCAAGCTTCAGCAAGCCTTTCTGCATCGACTTTTTCCATTCAAGGAATGCTCACCTATCATGTAAAATGCTGGTTGGCGGGGGCAGCCCGTCTCGTCTTGCCGCCTCGGGTGACGTGCCTTAGTGCTGCTCCCGCTGCTGCCACCCTTCTGCTAAAGCCTCACTTTCTGGGGTTGTACAGCATCTTCTGCTGGGATCCTGTGGCGTTCTTGTGAGATCTCACCGGAAGCTGCTGTTGCCACTTCTCACTTCTCTGGCAGTGGTGGCAGGAGCAGGTTTTCCACCTCTCAAGGTGGCTGCCTCGGCCCAGGGCAGCTGCACTTGGGAGGGGGAAACTGGGAGCAGTGCGCAAGCATCATGGAAACTTGTCTGCAAATTCCTGTTCTCATTGGAGAGACACCACATAGCTTTCCAGGGAATCCCAAAGTTCCCTGGAGCACAGTTTGAAGTCATTGCTCTTGCCTAACATCCTGGAGTAACTATGACACCAAATGAGGCCAATGAGGAAGAGACCCCATTTGGTAAAGCAGAGTGGACTGTGGGCTGATGAACATGAGCAGCAAAATGACACTGAGAGTCCTTCCTGGACTGTTCTACTCCCCTCTGCAGATGGGGAGTTGCATTTGGAATACCTCCCTGTCTTAATAACACCCCTTCCTGAATGTAAAAGGCTAGTACTTTGGGGGAACACGTTAGATCCTTTATCCCTGGTAGGAGACATTTCTAAATCGAGGGGATTGGGGATAGAGGGATAGCCTTGGAGGAGAAACACCTGGGGTGAAGACGGTGGTCACCAGGAAGTCTCCCAGCTTCACCCACATCAAAGAGCAGTGAGGAAAAGATGAGATAAAGCCACATCACAATCACAACATCTATTTATCATCTATCATCTATCATCTATCATCTATCTATCTATCTATCTATCTATCTATCTATCTCTATCACCTATATCTATCTATCTATCATCTATCTATCTATCTATCTATCTATCTATCTATCTATCTATCATCTATCTATCTATCATCTATCATCTATCATCTATCATCTATCATCTATCTATCTATCTATCTATCTATCATCTATCTATCTATCTATCATCTATCATCATCTACCTACCTACCTATCATCTATCTATCTATCATCTATCATCTATCTATCTATCATCTATCATCTATCTATCTATCTCTACCTATCATCTACCCCCCACAGGCCTGAATAAAAATAAGATGTGCAATGGTTTTATTTGCCATTTGAAGTGAAATAATCCAGGAAGGCCTTGCTTGGTGACTTTCTGATAGTTTAGTTCCTCTCTTAATATCTGTTCTAGGAAGTGCTGGGTCAGACCATTGTGTTCTCAGGGGCAGCTCCTGACTGTGAGTCTACCCATACCCTGGTACGCACAAGTCTATATCATGTTCATATCAGGGTGAGGTTTGAATGACCTTTTTGTGTGTGTTTTTGTGTGTGTCTCTTCTCAGGTAACGTTGAAATCTGGCACTAATGTATTATACTGGAGAACAACAGGAATCCTTATGAGTTCTCAGGTGGTGAAGCCTGTCCTCCTGAAAAACATCACCATTGAAGGTACAAAGCAGGAGTTGGCAACCTTTTCTCTCTATTGAGGGCCACATGCCCCAGGAACAAACTGTCAGGGGCAGCCTGCTGATGGTGGGCAGAGCCAGAGACACAGTGTTCTGGATCTACTAATCCAGAAAAAAGGCTTTGTCACACAAATATTCACCATGGCTGCCACATATTACAATTCCCAATTCTATGCAAGTCTACTCAGAAGGAAACTCCACTGGGTTTGGTGGGATTACTCTCAAACGTACAAAGGGGATGGGTTTAGTAAAACATGTCAAGAACCAGTGCCCTAAGACTTGGGACGCCCCATCTTGTTCGTTCAGCAGAGTAGCAGAACTTTGGCAACACTTGAATTCCAAAAAGACACAGAGAGCAGGAAATGTTTTTAGTAGAGATTTACTAAGGCATAAAGTTGGTTGCTAGCTCCCTAGCAAGGCAAAACTTAGCTCATTTAGAGCAAATCCAGTTTCCAGCAGTAAAAACCAAACCAAACCAAACAAATATAAATGCAAAAACAGAATAGCAGTAGGAGAAAGAGAGAGAAAGAGAATAACAGAGTCCCCTGGACAGACAGTGTGTCTCCGGAGCAAAAGGCCTTGAAGTTTAGAGATAGCCCAGCAGGAAAAGAACATCTGTGCTTTCTCTGCCTTTGAGAAGTCCTGAGAACCTTTTAAACACTGGAATGTCCCAGAATGTTTCTGGGGGCCTATGTACTTCACAAACTTATTCCCTGACAAAACATCCATACAATATGCTGCTCTCAAAAGCAAGTGAACAGTACAGTAATCCCTTTCTGACATAAATGTCACCCACCCCTAGCCGAAGCTTATGGATTTCTTCTTAGACAACCGGGGAGGGGGGATTTGAGCAGCGTACACACTAATCTATTTGCAGCACAAAAACTGTATTTTTCCCCAGTCTGGAATGATTCATGTTCATGCTCAATGTGCTGCTTTAAATCTAGATGGATTCTAGATCCTTCTAGATCCACCAGGGTGGGTGTGGTTACTTCACCAGCGTGTGAACTCCCTGCCCCTCCCAGTACATTATCTACATTTCTCCCATGCCCCAGTCGCTGAAGAAGGAAGTACCTGTTGCTCTCTTGCCATTCGTCCACCCCAAGCAAACTAATCTTAACTAACAAGCACCACCTCCACCACTAAGTGGCAGGGCAAACCATCAATGAGAAAGTGAGGTTTTTAATTTAAAGGGAAAAACTAAAGGAAGTACATGCTGCATACTTTGTGTATCACTTTCCTTTCCACAACAAGCTTCTTTAGGTTGGGAGAACATAATACAGCAAATTTGTCTTGTTTTGTGTTATTCCTCTTTCTCACCGCAGTCTGTACTGGACTTTAGTTTAGACAATATGCCTTTGGAATGCCTCAGTTACAGGACGACTGCTGACCTCTGCTGGGGATAACTAGATTTGCAGTGATACCAATATACGTACTGTATACCTAGAAGATTTGCTTTTAGGATTTACAGGAGCATGGGAGTACTCCTGGAAGTGAAAATATCACTTTGCGATATTGTCATCAGAAGCAACTCATAAATGGAACAAAATAAATGAAAATGAAATTCATATTCCACACCTTTCTCGGTTTCCATGCGGGCACACATTCCTTGTCTTGTGGCAAGTGGCTTTGGAACAGAGATTCCACTATAGTTTGGGATATATTTAGGAACAAGCATCCTAGAGCAACACATTCCAGAGGTGTGATAAAGTCAATCATTGACAATTAGGGGTGAATGAATAAGTTTTTTTGGTTTTTTTTAAACAGACTTCATGTTACTTTTGCATGTCTTCTTTCTGCAAATAGTACACATATTGAAACATTTTTATTTAACATTTTTATTTCAAAATATGTATTTTGTGATATATTTTATCTGAAAACATGCATTTTTAGATGCATTTTGTTGTGTTTTTTTGAGCCAAGTAGTGTATCACAAAATTTTTAAGAAGTGTGAAGATAAGAATGCAGTGTTTGGATACTTCTTTCCTTAAGTCATGCTGAGCCTAATGAAATGGGTCTAATGCTGTTCTTTGGGGGAAGCCTTTGCTTCTATACTTGCTGAATTGCATTTGCTTTATAGGAGTGGCCTATACATCTGAATGCTTTCCCTGCAAACCTGGCACATTCAGCAACACACCAGGCTCTTCCACTTGCCAGCTCTGTCCTAGGAACACATTCTCGGAAAAGGGTGCCAAGGAATGCGCCAAGTGCCAGGAAGAAACACATTATGCAGGTATCGTGGAGAGATCTGAAAGGCTGGGTCCAGTTCAAATTAACCATAAACTGTCATGTCAGAATAGGATTTTGTAGCCATGTGTACAATCCTGATTTGTGGTTATTTTTGTCTCCTCCAGCCCCAAAATGTTGTATGAGAATGTCTTGTGATATGTCCTGAGGAGGTTGTGGAAAGGGCTGCTTCATGGATGAAGTGGTGTCAAGAGATTCTAAAGAGAATTTGCCCTTAAATCTAAGATAGCAAAGACATGTTGAGGACTGCAACTAGTTTTCCTAGAGAGGGTCTCCTTGAAAAGGATTTGATGATTGGTTCAAAAATGCTGGACTCTGCTGTCTCCTCCAAATGGTGTGGCACCTCTCTGTGCATGCAGTTTGGTCTGGGGAATCCAGATCTCTCTTGTCTCTCAATAGAATATACAATGGGGAGGGCTGTGGGTCAGTGGCAGAGCATCTGGCTTGCATTCAGAAAGTCCCAGGCTCATGTGAACAGGATCTCAGGGTCCGAGTAGACCACAAGCGTAACATGAGTCAACAGTGTGGTGCAGCAGCAGCAGCAGCAGCAGCAGCAAACAAATGAACGAACAAACCCAAATGCTGTTCTAGGGTGCATCAACAGAAGTAGAAATCAAGGGAAGTAACAGTTTTGCTTTATTCTGCTTTGGTCAGACCACACCTGGAGTCATAGAATCATAGAAGTGTAGACTTGGAAGGGACCCCAAGGGTCATCTAGTCCAAGCCATTGCAATGCAGGAATCTCAGCTGAAGCATCCATGACAGACACCATCCAACCTCTGCTTGAAAACCTCCAAGGAGGGAGAGTCCACAGCCCCCCCAAGGGAGACTGTTCCACTGTTAGCAACCCTTACTGTCAGAAGCCCTGTGTCCAGTTCTGGGGACCACAGTTTAAGAAGGATATCAACAAGCTGTAACATGTGCAGAGGAGGGCAACCGAGATGATCAAGGGCCTGGAATCCAAGGGACTGGTTGAGGCAATTTTGTATGTTTAGCATGGTAAAGAGGAGACTGAGAAGAGATATGAACTCAAACCAATGGCTTCAAGTTGCAAGAAAGGAGATTCCAATTCAACATCTGGAAGAACAGCAAGAGCTGTTCAACAGTGGAACAGTCTCCCTCGGGGGGCTGTGGACTCTCCTTCCTTGGAGGTATCTATGCAAAGGTTGGGTGTCCCTCTGTCATGGATGCTTCAGCTGATATTCCTGCATTGAAGGGGGTTGGACTAGATGACCCTTGGGGTCCCTTCTACAATTCTATGATTCTGTGCAAAGTATATAAGAAGCAACAAGAGGAACAGCCATTTTAGATCTGGTCCTAACCAATGTTGATGACCTGGTTAGTGGGGTAGAAGTGGAAGGATCATTAGGCGCGAGTGATCATGCTCTTCTGAAGTTTACTATACAGCGGAAAGGAGCAGCCAAGCATACTAGGACTCAATTTCTTGACTTTAAGAAAGCTGACTTCATAAAACTTAGGGAAGTGCTGGGTGAGATCCCATGGACAGTAATACTAAAAGGAAAGGGAGTTCATGATGGTTGGGAGTTTGTTAAGAGGGAGATACTAAAAGCACAATGTCAGGCAATACCAATGAGACAGAAACATGGAAGGTGCCTAAAGAAGCCAGGGTGGTTATCTAAAGAACTTTTAACTGAGTTAAGATTAAAAAAGGATGTGTACAAAAATGGAAAAGGGGGAAACCACCAAAGAGGAATTCAAACAAATAGCCAGCACGTGTAGACACAAAGTCAGAAAAGCTAAAGCACAGAATGAACTCCGGCTGGCTAGAGAGGTTAAACGCACCACCCAAGGCTTTTATGGGTATGTCCGTAGCAAAAGGAAGAACAAAGAAACAGTGGGGTCACTCAGAGGAGAAGATGGTGAAAGGCAAACAGGGGACACAGAAAGAGCTGAACTCCTCAATGCCTTCTTTGCCTCAGTCTTCTCCGATAAAGAAAACAATGCCCGACCTGAAGAATTTGGAGCAAATGATTCAGCAAAGGAAACACAGCCCAGAATAACTAAGGAGATAGTACAAGAATACTTGGCTAGTTTAGATGTATTCAAGTCTCCAGGGCCAGATGAACTGCATCCAAGAGTATTAAAAGAACTGGCAGATGTGATCTCAGAACCACTGGCAGTCATCTTTGAGAATTCCTGGAGAACAGGCGAAGTCCCGGCAGACTGGAGGAGGGCAAATGTTGTCCCTATTTTCAAAAAGGGAAAAGAGAGGACCCAAATAATTACCGCCCAGTCAGTCTGACATCAATAGCAGGGAAGATTCTGGAGCAGATCATTAAGCAAACAGTCTGTGAGCACCTAGAAAGGAATGCTGTGATCACCAATAGTCAGCATGGATTTCTGAAAAATAAGTCATGTCAGACTAACCTGATCTCGTTTTTGACAGAATTACAAGCCTGGTAGATGAAGGAACGCAGTGGATGTAGCCTACCTTGATTTCAGCAAGGCATTTGACAAGGTGCCTCATGATATTCTTGTAAAGAAGCTGGTAAAATGTGGTCTTGACTATGCTACCACTCAGTGGATTTGTAACTGGCTGACTGACCGAACCCAAAGGGTGCTCATCAATGGTTCCTCTTCATCCTGGAGAAGAGTGACTAGTGGGGTGCCACAGGGTTCTGTCTTGGGCCCGGTCTTATTCAACATCTTTATCAACGACTTGGATGATGGACTCAAGGGCATCCTGATCAAATTTGCAGATGACACCAAATTGGGAGGGGTGGCTAACACCCCAGAGGACAGGATCACACTTCAAAACGACCTTGACAGATTAGAGAACTGGGCCAAAACAAACAAGATGAATTTTAACAGGAGAAATGTAAAGTATTGCACTTGGGCAAAAAAAATGAGAGGCAAAAATACAAGATGGGGGACACCTGGCTTGAGAGCAGTACATGTGAAAAGGATCTAGGAGTCTTGGTTGACCACAAACCTGACATGAGCCAACAGTGTGACGCGGCAGCTAAAAAAGCCAATGCAATTCTGGGCTGCATCAATAGGAGTATAGCATCTAGATCAAGGGAAGTAATAGTGCCACTGTATTCTGCTCTGGTCAGACCTCACCTGGAGTACTGTGTCCAGTTCTGGGCACCACAGTTCAAGAAGGACATTGACAAACTGGAACGTGTCCAGAGGAGGGCAACCAAAATGGTCAAAGGCCTGGAAACGATGCCTTATGAGGAACGGCTAAGAGAGCTGGGCATGTTTAGCCTGGAGAAGAGGAGGTTAAGGGGTGATATGATAGCCATGTTCAAATATATAAAAGGATGTCACATAGAGGAGGGAGAAAGGTTGTTTTCTGCTGCTCCAGAGAAGCGGACATGGAGCAATGGATCCAAACTACAAGAAAGAAGATTCCACCTAAACATTAGGAAGAACTTCCTGACAGTAAGAGCTGTTTGACAGTGGAATTTGCTGCCAAGGAGTGTGGTGGAGTCTCCTTCTTTGGAGGTCTTTAAGCAGAGGCTTGACAACCATATGTCAGGAGTGCTCTGATGGTGTTTCCTGCTTGGCAGGGGGTTGGACTCGATGGCCCTTGTGGTCTCTTCCAACTCTATGATTCTATGATTCTATATTTTGGGTTCTGTGTTTATAAGTATCTGTTCTGCTTTCAGAGGAAGGATCAAGCCAATGCATTGAACGTCCTCCTTGCTCAAAGAAAGACTTTTTCCAAATCCACACACCATGTGACCGAGATGGAAAAGTGAGTAGCAGACCCTCCCAAAGCATTTCCACGGGAGTCTTCCACGGTGTGGACTGAAGTGTTAGTGGTTTGCACCCAAGACAGGGCAGCCAAGATGGTCCCCTCCAGGTGTTGTTGGACTGCAACTTCCCCCATTGCAGGCCAATGGCCAGGCTGGCTGGAGCTGAGAGGAGTTGGAACTGGCCCCCTTGACCTAAGTTTGATCCTTGGCTTAAGGAAACTTGAGATATTAATTGTAGTGGAAATATCAGTCTATTTGTTGGGCAGCTGCTCACAAGATAAGCATTTGCAATGTTCTTGGCAAGACTGTGGGAGTTTTTGTAAGTTAATCATCTATTTAAGTTCATAGAATTTATGAAACATGTTTTAGGTCATATGATATTGTGCTCTGTGACCTCTGCAACAACCTTGTGAATTAAGAGCATTTACTATTGAACCTTGAGGTAACCCGCTGTAATTGCAGATCACTGTGTAATTGAGCTGTGAAATCCAAATCCCTCCCCAAGGCTCTCCTATTTTGATTAGACTCACAATCCTTCTGCTTTCTCTTCCTGACCTTTTCACTCAAGCAAGAGGGAAATTATCCCTCTGAAATATAGAATGACTACATAGAAGAAAGCTTTCTACTCTTATGTCAGAGAAAGGGACTCATGTAGATACAAATGTTAGAAGAATAATTGGTTATTGTGCACAAGCTCTTTTGACACATAGCTGTTTAAGTGCCTAGACTCTTTATGTGGTTCTGTCCCTTCACTCCATTTTTTCTTTTACAAGGCTCCTTGCAAATGCTTTTCTTCATTGCTGTGTTCACATTTATTACATTTGCCCAGGTGTGTGATCTCACTTGAGCTACTGAAATAAATGGAAAACATTCAGTGGATTTCAGATTGGACTATGTAAGATCACAGGAAATTCTGTTGAACAGGCTACCCACAAATAATGGTTGAGTAAGTGACAGGACTGGGTAGTAATTTGCAGAGGCCTTAAGAATATGCAAAAAATGATACTGGGTCCTGTCCCACGACTAGGCAGCGTGAGAGGGCCGCCCTCACAAGGCAGAACGGGTTATCATTAAAGGGCAGCAAAATGATCCATCCACCCAGCCATCCATCCATGTTATCTTTCCACCATGTAAAATGCAAGCACTTGCAATACATTTGTTATTTGTTATTATCCTGCTGTCTCTCCCTATTCAGTCATTTCTCCCTTGCATGGGGCTTCTTCACACATTACACTGAACAAGCTGTCTCTACACTCATACAAGTATTTGTGTGAAAGCATGTCCACTTGTTGAGTTGTATGGCTCAGCTGTTGTGTGTACAGGGACACAGACTGTATACCTGTTGAACATAATGTGTGAACACCTTTATGATTAACAGTCACATAAAGGGGGAAGCTGTTCATGCATTGCTGGTGTGTGTGCAGAAGGGAAGGCTACTGAACATGTGTTGTATCATCATCATCATCATCATCATCTTATTAATATACTGCTGACTTGCTAAATGGACTTTTAAGCAGTTTGCAGGTATAAAACCAATTACAAAATACTTTTGGCATCCCTCTGTCTTGAGAGACAATGGAGTATGCCTTTGGAGGTGAAGTCAAACTGCTGTGTAAGCAGCACTGAAGTGACCTCTCTGGGGCATAAGCCGGGGCAGCTTGTCTGGAGGTCCTGGGCTGCCCAGATGACAAGACCTCCCTCTCAGCCTTACTGATGTGGTCCAAAGGACAGCAGAGCAAGGTGTTTGGCACCAGCTTGGCTGCAGGAGTTGCAGGGAAAAGGCGTTCAAGGCGCCATCCAATCATCTTAAGGACTCCAGATTGCTGTAAGGTTTACTCCTTAGCCTTTTCTCCTCCTGAAGATGTCTCACAAAGCAGTGGAGGTTTATGATCAGCATTTCCTCCTCCTAGATGGGCCACCTTTGCAGGTGGATGAGCCCCCCCCCATACCTCACTTCCCTCTACAGCACGTGCAGAAACCACCTTCCTGACTGTTGGACCCACTCTTGGTCTCGGCTGCTCAATCCACCAGAGCAATTACAAAATATGAGCATGCATAAATAAAACAATCCAATCCAAACATTAAAACAAACACGCACAGTTGAGCTGTGCAATGGAACAAGCCCATTAAAACAGTTAATTATGATGTGTAAGCTCTCTTCAATCTGAAACCCTGGTTTCATAGGGCTCCAGTTCACAGGGAGAGTCTGTGGGTGTTCTGCCGGAATGCCGCCAATAAGAGGATGACAGGGTAGGCCTGGGAGGGGATGGATGGGGAAAAGGTCAATGAGAAGGGACCACTTTGCAAAGTTGTTACAGTAATTGTGTGACTGTCTGATGGGAACTTCTCTCTTGCCTAAGGGTTCATTGGCTTGCTGGCATTTGTTTTCTGCAGGGGAGAACTTTGGTCACATTCCTCCCTCCCCTCTCTGACTGTTTTCCTAAGAATTGTTCAGTCCTGTGAATAGCTGAGTAAAATATTCCTTATCTTAACTTCACATATTTTCTCTCTTTCTTTCAGACTCAGCTCATGTACAAATGGGTAGAGCCTAAGATCTGTAGGGAAGATCTTTCCGAAGCAGTGAAGCTGCCTCCTTCTGGAGAGAGGAAGGAGTGCCCACCTTGCAACCCTGGATTCTACAACAACCGCTCCTCTTTCTGCACTCCTTGCCCCCTGGGCATGTTTTCTGACGGAACTCGGGGTATGAGAACCTGAGCCCATTGAAAAGACCAGGTTGTATCCCACCCTGTTGCTCAACTGATGGTACACTTTTGCTGGTGGAATGGAGAGATCATTCCCCCTCCCACTTGCAGTCCACCCTCCCCACCAATAAATCTGCTCCAAATGGTTCCCCAACCCTTTGGAACAGATATTTTTCTCGAGTGGGGGGAGAAGTGGAGGGGGAAATGCCAGAAAACTGTTTCTCTCCTTGTTCTACTGATGGAAGCCTTGCTGTCAGATTAGCAGGCCTGTTGGGTACAGCCCACTCTTGTGGCACTTGCTGGCCTGCCTGGCTTGGCAGAGAGAATTATTTCTATCCCACCTTTTGAAGATGATATAGAGGCACCATTGTCCTTGGCTTATGCATGGTCATCTATGCTTCACAGGATCTTGCAGGATATTATCTCATTCTTTAAATCTGTAAGATCCATTTCACCAGACACCACGAAAAGAAGGCTCAAACACCAAGGGCCGTGTTGCCTCTTTCAGCTTTATTACAAAAAACTAAACTCTTCTCTGCCTTCTGCCTTGGCTGACTTCCTCCAACACCCGACAACTTGTCCACACACAGCCTCCTTTCTTTCTTTTTATTGTAAAACGGCTTTTGTGGGTGTGTTCACTTTTTACATACTGCAAGTCATAGGATACCCATTATTTATTTATTTTTGTTTCTTGCCTAATACAGTGGTACCTCAGATTACATACGCTTCAGATTACAGACGCTTCAGATTACAGACTCCGCTAACCCAGAAATATTACCTCAGGTTAAGAACTTTGCTTCAGGATGAGAACAGAAATTGTGCTCCGGCGGCGCAGCAGCAGCAGGAGGCCCCATTAGCTAAAGTGGGGCTTCAGGTTAAGAACAGTTTCAGATTAAGAACGGACCTCCAGAACGAATTAAGTTCTTAACCCGAGGTACCACTGTACAACTCTTTTTAAAGCTACCATACACGGGATAATTTATTTATTTCAGAATATTGTCCTACGTCCAAAGATCTCAGGGCAGCTTACAGTGCTTAAAGCAACAATAGTGCATCAAATTAAATAAGCAGAGAGCAGGCAAAAACGTAAATTTAAAATAAACCTGACAGTGGACTTATGCCCCATACACTTACTGTGGCTTGAGAATGTCAACAGGGTTGGTGCCTGTACAGGCTGGTGGAGGGACATTCTGTGCTTGGGGCGCCAGTATCCTGTGACACCATTCACTATATCACTCAATGCAAAAGAGCATCTCCCCCAGCTGTAATAGGATGCTTCTTCAATGTGCTTCCAGCGCCACTTAGTCCTCCCCAATGAGTCTGCTTGGTTTTAACTTTCCTCCAGTCATGATGCCTCCTCCCCATATCAACATTTCTTATGTGGAGGAAGTCATCATCCTGAGGTGTACTCTGCCCTGATCCCCACAGTCCAGCATGGAGAACCACCCAAGAATGGCTAGTTCTGCCTGATTCGTAACACATCTAATAAAATGTTTCATTGTGAAACTGGCTGATTTTCTGCATGTAGGCTCATCCTGTCCCGTTTCCCCTTGTAGATTGCGAGGCCTGCCCTGCCGGTACAGAACCTGCTCTGGGCCTGGAATACAAATGGTGGAACGTGCTCCCTTTCAACATGAGGACTTCTTGTTTCAATGTTGGAAATTCAAAATGTGATGGGATGAATGGTGAGCGTGTCTGCCTTCATCCCTAGCTTATTGTTCCTTTGGGTGTTCTTAAGAGCGGATGTGAGGGTTAAAGGAATGGCCTGTGGCATTTCTAAAAACAGATAGTCATACTGACCAACCTTTAAAAGGCTGTGGTAAAAGTTGATGAGGTGAGATATGTTGGGCTCTTTGGAAAATCTCTGGATAAAAGCTAAATATCATTAGCTCATCAGCAGCATTTGTAAATTAGTACTTTTATTTGTTGGTTCAGTTTATCTTTGTCCCTGAAGGAGCGTCCACCAGCTCCAGTAGGAACTATGGAAAAGAGATATACATTCAGAAAATAATGCATGGCACCAACACACAGGGTTGCATCAGTCAGTGTGTTAGTGGACTGTCACAAGAATAATGACTCCTCCATAAAAACTCTGTGTCCACGAAAAGGTAGTGTCAAGGCTGCCTCAAGTCTTAGCTCACAAAAGACCAACGCCTACGTCTTCTTGAATACAAAGGTGTTTATTGCAGTTCATGGTTTGCTTGACATCCTAGGCGCGCAGCCTTACGTCTCTTACGCTAGACCGCCGAAGTCCCCTCTGAGTCAGTACCTCCTCTGCACCAATTTAAGAGACTTGCGCTGCTCCACCTCTTTCTCTCCTTCCTTTCCGCAGGGTCTTTCTGCCCCCTGGGGTTGCGCCCCTTCTGGATTCCTCTGACGCTGAATCCCCAGACTGCTCTTCCCCCCTCCTGCGGGCTTTGGGACCTGGCCCCTCCTCCGGGCTCCCTGCACTTCCGCGCGCCTCTACATTTGAACTAGGCGCGCGCCAAACCTCTAACTTTCCTTTGACAGTTACACTACTCCCTTCACTGCTCCTCCCTTCCGGGAGGGCGGCTTGCTCTGACCCCCCTCCTTTCTCTGCTGCTGGAGCTGCTTCCTCTGACACACTGGAAACTCCACCCCCTTCGCTGCACTTTGGTGGGGAGGCTGGTCCTGACGCCCAGCTGCCACTTTGGGATCCTCCGCTGGCACCCTGCTCCTGACATTTCCCCTGGGGCTCCTGGCCCTGACCACCGGTGCCCCCTTCTGGGAATCCTCTGATTCGCTGGAAAGACTCATGGAATCCCTTGAGTCATTGTCATCCTCTTCCTCGCTGGCTTGGAATTCCTCCCCCTCGCTCTCCATCTCCTGCCTACCCTGTGCCTCTCTCTCTGAACCCCTGACAGGTAGCATATCAAGGGACAGTATTCCAGTATAGCCTCTTCCCTGACTTGCTAGTTTTCTGCATAAATAGAGTTTTTTTTAATGGGGCAGGGGCACTGAAACACTGCAGGAGAGTCCAAGGAGGATTTTGCTTATATTGGCTCTGAGAAAGATCAACAACAGGCAAGATTACTTGTTTCTTTCAAATATTGTAACTAAGGTTTTGTTGATGAAATGTGGGTTTATCCAATAAAATTACAGAAATGAACGTTTGCCCACTGGTTAGATGGTTTGTTTGAAATTATGGATACCTGAGTTATTTTCCTACTGTGCCACAGATTTCTTTTCTTTGATTTTAAACACGTACCTTAGGCTGGAATGAAACAATCAGTTACATAGATTCCCTTAGACTTGAGCCAGCTTTGTTGCATCTAATTGCACTGAATTGGCCTAAATATATTGCATCTGTGTTTAACCAGTTGATGCATCTGGATATTCCTCCTCCCCGCTGTGATTTTTGTATACTTTTTAATAAACCAACGTGCAAGATTATATTTACGTGGGGTTTTTTCTTGTTCAGGCTGGGAAGTAGCTGGTGACCACATCCGAAGTGGGGCAGGAGGGACGGATAACGATTATCTCATTGTGAATCTTCACGTACCAGGATTTAAGTAAGGAATCATTAAATTTCTATGCTATTCCTCACCTTTCCCCTCTCTTACGTTATATTCTATCTCAAATGGTTTGTGCTTAGACAACATGAGGAAGAAAGTTATAAATGGGGACTGAGGTCCTAAACGCCACGTGGAGCAGATCTGCGAAGACAAACGCAGTTTCTGCTGGAGACGTGTGTCGATGGGGCAGGGTGGACACACAACTCATTAGTTCATTAGTGCGCACCCATTTACTTGACTGTGAGACCTCTGAGGGCATCCAGGAAGCATGATCCAATGAGTCATCTTCTACACGTTGCTTTCATTGACATTTTAGGTCGGGGAGCATTTAAGCCCACTCTCAACTTTGTACCACGTCCACATCTGCAGGGAAGACATGGGAGCATACCCTGCCCCCCACCTGCACTTGGATGATCTATAGCCCCCACATCCCCAGCTTTCATTTTTAAAATGAAAGTCTGTTTCCAGCATTTACAGAACCTGCAAGGTGAGGCAAAATGGACAGGAGCTATTCTTCAGCACTTCTGTGTGAGAAACTGGCTTGCGCCTTCATTTGGGTGTTTCACTCTGGCAGGGACCTTTAGAAGGACCTTGTAATTGTGCCATTTCTTCTGTGTTGAACAGGCCTCCGACTTCCATAGCAGGGGCGACGGGGTCAGAACTTGGACGGATTGCGTTCGTGTTTGAAACTGTCTGTTCGGCGGATTGTGTGCTGTATTTCATGGTGGTAAGCAAGAACATGTTCAACATTTTGACTTGCCTTTATTTATTTAGATTTGCTGAATAGATTTATATCCACCTTTTTTACAAGGTGGGTCACAATAACACATAAATGATTATTTTTTAATTTTTTAATGAGATATTCACATTTTTATACACTTTATCTCTATCCAGTTCAAACATTAAATTATGATAACATATAAATTAAGCAAATTCATCACAAAATATGAAACTAGAAAACACTATAAACAGCCCTGAGCCCAGTAATTCCAGAAGTTTTTGTTCCTGGGCATATAACAAGGATGGGAAATCTCATTCCTGTTTTCCCCACACCATTTCCAAGGGCTAATGACTTATAGGGCAGTTTAATCAAGCACAATGGGGTCATGTTACCAGGATTCTAGATTGCTACTAGTAGGTATGTGGAATAATGTAGGAAAAGAAAATGAAGGGAACTGAGTGAAAAGTTCCTGACAAGAGAGAATCTGGTATAAGATCTCTTCCTTGTGGCCAAAGCGGTAGCACAAACACCTACAATGATGAAAGTTGGCATGTCTGCTTTAGTAAATAGCCCAAGTTCTGGTAATTGACACTGTATGTTTACTTTATGTCCTTTGCTTCTAGGACATCAATAAAAAGAACACAAATGTAGTGGAATCGTGGAGCGGAACTAAGGAGAAGCAGTCGTATGCTCACATCATCTCCAAAAACGCTTCTTTTACATTCACATGGGCTTTCCAGAGAACAAATCAAGGCCAAGATGTAAGTAGCACAGGCATCTCAGTGGAAATGAACATATTTCATTAGGTTTCAGAAAACACTAATGCTGTGGAACAAAGCTTTTTTTAGGCAGTTTTGGGAGGCTTGCCACATTCTAAGCCACCAGGGGAAGTTTGGGTGCAATGGGTATGTGCCCCAACTTTGGGCTCCAGTCCTACGCTCTGCCAACCCGCATGTCCCTGTTATCCACAGATCCATTTCTACAGGTCAAGACTCTACCGAAGTATCTGAAGTCAGGGTGGTGAAGATTTCTAGATGATCTTGAGCAAATCATTCTCTGCCATCCTAACCTATCTCTCAGGGTGGTTGTGAGCATGAATTGGGTGTCAAAAGAGAAGGAAGGAGAATGTATGGACTCCTTGGAGGAAGGACTAAATATAAATGGAATTAAGAAATAAAATAAAAGCCTCCTGTCCCTCTTTGACTTCAAAGATCAGCAAATTGTGCTGGGCTGCCAGTTTAAATGAGATTGCAGAAGGAGATCAGCAGCAGCGGCAGCTGGGAGGTCAGCTCATCATCCAACTGAGAAATGCACTTCCTAGCCTATTAGTGATCCCTGAAAATGATTTACTGATTTATGGGGAACCCCAAAGGTGTTCTGTACGGCTCAGGGGGCTTACAACAGTGTGGTAGGCCATGCTCCAGGTCAGCACCCCTGGATTAACTCAACTTGCCAGGAGCTCCTTGAGTCACCTTGCTTTCCATTGCTGTCTTGCTATTAAAGCTTTATATGTTTTGCAAGGTTAGCATCAGCAGTGAGAGAATAAAGGCGGTGTATTTGAGGAAATGGTAGTGTGTCCCCTCAGTATGAGTTATTTTTGCCCATTGCTCTTTCCAGACCAGGAAGCTCATCAATGATGTGGCAAAGATCTACTCTATTACTGTGACCAATGCAGTCGATGGTGTTGCCTCATCGTGCCGTGCCTGTGCCATTGGTTCTGAACAGTCTGGCTCCTCCTGCATTCCCTGCCCTGCTGGTCACTACATAGACAAGGAAACCAACCAATGCAAGGAGTGTCCTCCTCAAACCTACCTGTCAATTCATCAAATGTACAGCCAAGAACCATGTATCCCTTGTGGGCCTGGCAGCCAAAGCACCAAGGTAGACAGGTGCCATCAGTAGTTTTGATGTTTAAAAACAGACAAAAATAAGAATAACCTGAATCAAGTCAATGGTCCATCTTGTTCAGTACTTTTTAAAGCAGTGGTCAACAAGCTCACAAGAGGAGCAAAAGTGAGATAGTTAACTCAGGTGGCATGTCCCATCATCTGGTGATCAGAGTTCTCTGGCTCTGAATTTGGAGTTTGCATTTAGCTCTCAAGGGAATGGCTATTGAAAGGTCTACACTCTAAGCCATCTAAGTCTTACATGAAATTTGTCATTGTTTAACTTCATTGTACTTTTACAGTAGGGAAGATATTTGAGCAGCCCCCTCCCCCACGGGATTCAATGTTTCCCCAAATGCTCAAGTTTGTTGAGCACAGTTTATTTTAAAAGGTACATAGAGAAGTATATTAATTTCAGGAAACTCCAGAGTTTTAAAGGTAACAGTGCCCCTCATAGCAAATGCAGTGGACCTGCCGCCTGGGCGCTTTTGATTGATGACATCCTAATGACCATTTGTGTGGGTTTGCTTCTTCTGGTGCAGAGTTTACAACTTGATTATCTGAAACTTGCCTTCACTTTCATTTTGCTTTCCTTTCTTAAGGACCATTCCGCCTGCTTCAGTGACTGCTTGTTCTCATATGCCAAGAACAACCAGAGCCGGACTTACGACTTCAGCAACCTGAGCAAAGGAGGCTCATTAATGAACGGACCAAGCTTTACGGCGAAAGGAACAAAATTCTTCCACTTCTTCAACATCAGCCTGTGTGGGAACCAAGTAAGCACCTGCCTTTCTGAGGCTAGCACTCCATCCCACATGTGAAAAGAGGAGGCCATCAAACCAGGGCATCTCCTAGCCTTCCATGTACCAGTGCCAGTCCCTTTCCTGAAAAAAATGAGGTGCCAGTACTCATGCCTTGATAAATTGGGAAATGCCACTCCCACCCCTCCTGGGGTCTTTTGCACCCCTTCTCTCCTGAATTTGTGATGAATTTTTAATAATGCATTTATATTTATTTATTTAAAGTACTCTTTTCAAATAATAATAAATTAATATATTCATGAACAAAGTTCCTACGTAATATGTACATCTTGCTAAACTAGTAGAAGAATATATTTATATGTATTTAAAAATACTTTACTGAAACTGATACAACAACAACAACAACCCATTTCATTTGGGAGATTCTTTTTCTAATTCACACACCTTGAGAAAGAGTAAATTGAGAGAAGTCTGCTGCTCACTCTCACGGTGGAGATCACACTACTGATCCTCCCCCCAAATGACGCTGTTTCTGTCTAACAACAAGGAACCCCCCTTCCTCCCCAATTCCAGCGATTTGTGGGGCAGGAACTGGGGGTAGAAGAAGAGGAAGAGTCCAGGTAGTCAAGAAGAAGAAGGAGAGGAGGTGGGGGAAGAGCAGAGAGGTGGAAGAGGTGGTCCCAGAGAGATTCTGGCTGTTAGACTCTCCTCTGTCTCCAAGGACTAGGGGGGCTTAAAGCAACAGGAGCAGCTGGAGATGCCGGGCAGGAGAAGCCTCTGGTTGCTCATGGGCCACGTCAGGTGAGGGGGTTTAACTGAGCTGGAAGGGGTATGGTGATGGTGTTGATACTTCTATCCAGGTCAGAGCACAAGTCTGAAGAAGAAGATGCCCAGATAGCTATTTAGCAGGAGTAGCGCGTATATTTGAGAATTTTGGGAGAACAGGTGAAGTCTCTGTGGACTGGAGGCGGATAAATGTTGTCTCCATTTTTAAAAAGGGGAAGAAAGAAGACCCAGGTAACTATCAACCAGTGAGCTTGATGCTGATACCAGGAAAGGTCCTATAACATTTAATTCAACAGTCGGCCTGTGAGCACTTAGAAAAGGATGCTGTGATTACTAAGATGCAGTATGGGTTTCTCAAAAATAAGGCATGCCATACCAATCTGTCTTCTTTTTTTGATGGAATTACAAACTTGGTGGATCAGGGAAATGCTGTGGATGTAGTGTATCTTGATTTCAGTAAGGCTTTTGACAAAGCCCCCTATGATATTCTCGCGAGGAAGCTGGTAAAGTGTGGGTTGAATGAGGTAACTGTTAGGTGGATTTGCAGCTGGTTGACTGACCAAACCCACAAAGTACTCATCAATGGTTCCTGGTCATGCTGGGAAAAATGACAGGTGGGGAGCTGCAAGGTTCTGTCCTGGGCCTGTTGTTGTTCAACGTCTTTACAAATGACTTGGATGAAGGCATTGAGGGGATGCTCATCATATTACTTGAACGTGCAGCAGGAGCAGATGGGAGGGCTTTGCTCGTGAGGAAGCCGGGGCAAGCATTGCACGGTGCATGGGGGAGGGGAAGGGTGCACACTGGGTAGCTAATGTGGATATACTTTTGTTGCCCACACCATATGCCCAAAGGTTGCTCATAGTTACTTAATTTAGGGCTGAGGCAAAACTGCTCATTTCTTTGCAAAGATTGCCAGCAGTGTTAAAGGTGCCGTTTTCCACTCCTTGAGAAAGTAACATTTGTGTTGCCTGAGTTACTCACCCTCTTGGTGGTATGCTTTGCTATGTAGCATGGACATGGTTTTGGATTTGTTGGGATCACCCATGCAACTGGCCTTGGAGGCCTCTCTTCCACTCTTAGATGTCCCCAGTTGCCTTCAATGGCATCATCACATAACCAGATCTGGTTGGCTGTGGACCGCCTTCATGTCCTCCCATTCAGGATGTGATCCCATAAGAGCAGGCATGTAGACAATGACAAAAAGGCAACCAAAACTGAGGGAGGGAGCAGGAACCAAAGAATCAGATAGGAATTAAAAGATTAATGTCTGCACAAAATGTTTTGGGAGGAATTAATCCCCCCCCAAATATTTGCATCCTGAAACTTTAACCTGGAGAATATTCTGTGCTACCCTATTTAAGCTGCATTACTTTTTGTTACTGCTACTGTGAAATGCTGGGTGTCTGCAAATTGTATGAAGTTTTGTTATATTTGAATAATATGAATAAATATTTCCACATCGATTTATTGGGAAAACTAAAGAGGTCTATAATTAGGGTGCAATTACACAGTCTGACACTACATGGTGAAATATGCCAGCCATTTTGCTGATGCCATCCATGAAAGGTACCCCTTCTGTTCACCAAATTCTCACTTTAAAGTTTTAGTGAGCTAATGTATCATTATCTAAAGGCCAAACTGCATTTAGCTAGCAATTCACAGTGCCCTGCAAGACAGCAACATAGTTCATTGATGGATATCTTAAAAAAGAAGCAACAGCTATTTCTCAAGATCAGTTCTAATTATATATGTTCTAAAGGGGGTAAGTACTTGATGATCTTTAAAGGAATTGCCTGGGTTCTTCCATGATGGTGCAGCTCAAGTTTTGTGATTGTCTTTATAATTTGGTGGCAAATTGGTTTTCAGCTGCAGCAAGAAGTGCCTGACCTCTGATTTGCAAGAAGGTAGGAAATCCAGCATGAAAACAAGAAAATTATCTCCCTGTTCATTTAATGTCTACAGGGAGAAATGACAGCAATTTGTGCAGACAATATCACAGATATCAAGCTAAAGGATATGGTTGCTGACTCAGAAGATTATTCCGACATTGTACGGGCCTTTGTCTGCCAGTCTACCATCATCCCACCTGACAGCAAGGGATTCCGAACTGCTTTGGCACTTCACTCCAGCAGCCTTGCAGACGTGTTTCTTGGTAAGCGCTTTAATCTTCTGCTTGTTCTGATCAAGGCTGAACAGCTCTAAAGCCACCGGAGGAGAGGAGGAGGAGGAGGAGGAGGAGGAGGAGGAGGAGGAGGAGGTTACATGGCCTAATCCAGCAACTACACCCAGCCTGCAAAGTTGCCACTTGGGGATTGGCTGGGATCTGCTTATGTGTCTCCCCCAAGGATGGCGCCTGTATAACACGTGGGACACACTGGGGGACCCCACCCCACTCTCTGCCAAGCGGCTGCACCAGGCTGGTGTTTCCTTTGGGAAATCAAGGCACAGCGGAGACGAGGGTCATTAAGAAAGATGCTTCATTCACACCTACTTACGCTGGGTCTTGGGTGGAGGGGTGGGTGGTTTCCAAGGCACCTCTGTGCCTCTGTCCCAGCCTGCCTTCAGCCACCCTGCTTCCTCCTCCTCGTTCCCAGAATGCCTTGCCAAAAAACTGTGTAAAAGGAGACCCTCTTTTCCTGCAGTGACATCACACCCCATGTTACCATGGCAACCTCCCTCTGTGCCTGGCAGTGCCTGGCAGCGCCTTCTGCCTGGGTGATGATTTCTGCTGAGGGGCTCATGGCTGCCCATCACCAGGCTGGCCTCAGGAGGAAGCCCATGCGTGCTTTTGCCAGCCCTTCCCCCCACAGCCCTTGGGAACTGATGAATTTGGGAACTGATGAATTTTTCTCAAATGCTGGCACTTCACTGTATGTACAGTGGTACCTCGGGCTAAGTACTTAATTCGTTCCGGAGGTCTGTTCTTAACCTGAAACTGTTCTTAACCTGAAGCACCACTTTAGCTAATGGGGCCTCCTGCTGCCGCCGTGCTGCCAGAGCACAATTTCTGTTCTCATCCTATAGCAAAGTTCTTAACCCGAGGTACTATTTCTGGGATAGCGGAGTCTGTAACCTGAAGCTTTTGTAACCTGAGGTAAGGTAAAGGTAAAGGTAAAGGTACCCCTGCCCGTATGGGCCAGTCTTGACAGACTCTAGGGTTGTGCGCTCATCTCACTCTAGAGGCCGGGAGCCAGCGCTGTCCGCAGACACTTCCGGGTCACGTGGCCAGCGTGACGAAGCTGCTCCGGCGAACCGGCACCATAGCAGCACACGGAAACGCTGTTTACCTTCCCGCTATAAAGCAGTACCTATTTATCTACTTGCACTTAAGGGTGCTTTCGAACTGCTAGATGGGCAGGAGCTGGGACCGAACGACGGAAGCGGGGATTCGAACCGCCGACCATGCGATCGGCAAATCCTAGGCGCTGAGGTTTTACCCACAGCGCCACCCGCGTCCCTTGAGGTACCACTGTATATATAAATGTATATAAAATATGAGAGAACTTTCTTTCTCAATGTCAACATTTATTCCTTCAGGATATTGAGATGATTTATTTTTATTTTTATTTGCAGGAGCCACCATTGAAACAACTCTGGGAAATATTAATGTTAAGCCAGAAATATTTGAGCATTCTGAAAAGACAATACCTGATGTCTATTTCTATTACAAGTAAGTAGAAGCATCAACCCTACAGGTGCATTAAGCGTTACTCTTTGCTGGAATGTAAAAATTCAGAGGAAATCCACACAATTATAAGAGGCCAACGCTATAGAACCAGGGGACACCAACAATTTATTATATCCATTCCGGCTGTTACTACATTTTACTCAGCAAGTCTCTCTCTCTCTTAGCTGCAGACAAGCCACAGTCACCAGGAGAAGGGAAGCTTCTGCTTTAGATTAACCACAGCTTAGTTTTATGTCTGCACTCCAAACTGTGGTTAATCTTACCGGGGGCGGGGGGAAAGGGGAGCTAGTTTCACAAACTATTGCTTGAAGTTGGCTTATCACTAACCATGGTGAACTTAGCTGTGGTTAACAAACTGTTATTTGCTGGGTTCAGGTGACACAACAAGCTGTGCTTAGTCTAGACCAGAAGCAAAAACTACTGAACTCCTCATAGGTACAGGGTATCTAGGCTCGTTCATGAAATGCTAACATATGCACTGGCGGAGGAGCGCGCACTGCCCCAGCACCACCGGGGAGGGGCGAACCATCACGGCAACCCCCCCAGACACCCTCCACCGCACTGGGTGCCACGTCACCATGGGTGGCACACCACGCATAGGAGGTGCTCTTGGAAAGCAGAAGCCGAAAATAACAAACAAATTGTTTTCATTTCTGTTTAGGTCTTCAAGAGTTACAGCCACTTGTGAAAATGGACGTGCTTCTGTCGTGATACTGAGATGTAACCCAACAAAATCTGAGCAAGGAGAAATTTCAGTTCCCAGGTATTTGTTAGTGATGACACCAGGGATGGGAGAGCTCTTGACAATGGGGGCTTGTACCCATCTCTGGCTATTCCTCTTCCAAACTGGCCCTCCAGAACAACTAGTTGCAAACTGTAATGGAATGGCAAAACTCTTTCTTGTCACAGATCTGGGGTCAGACCACAGGAAATGCAGAGAACGGGACCTTGCTGTGTTACAAGATGATTGAAGGCCCTGATCTAAGGGCCACCAAGGCAGCAAAAACCACCTGCAAAAAGTTAGGACTTGCCCCCTTAGTCCTGAGCACCATCAGCCAAGGCTTGTTGCAATGGCCACAAGGGGAATGGCAGGCTCACAGGACTAAATGAATTATGTGTCCTGTGTTTTGTGAAGAGTTTCACACACGTGCACCATTGCTTATTTCAGTTAGAGTTGCTCCTGTAACCACAACATTAGGTGGGGACTTGCAATTCTTAGACACAGATCAAAGCCGGCAGAATTTTCATATCCGCAGTCCATCAATTCAGACATTGGACAATTCACCCATTCAGCTTCAGGCTGAGTATTCTGTAGGTGAGTGATGAACTCTAAAGAGCCGTATAGGCAAGTATAAATTAGCCCTGTCATTTATGACAGATTTAGCCTCAAAATGGTGTCCTATCATTCTGCTGTGGTGAAGCTTCCTTGTGCAGGGATCTGCATGTGGTCAGAGCTGTATCTACCTAGCAGTGGCATGACAACAAATATTTTGTTTTGGACTCGCAGAACACAGGGCCCCTCCAGGCATCCTTTTTAATGTGCATTCATCATGATTTGTGCTCATGATGGTATCCACAATCCCTGCTTCAGTGCTATTTGCCCCTGCAGAAGTTTTAGGGTTGGACATGTTGTCTTGTTTTCAGTCAGTGCATGCTGCCTGCTGAAATGCTGTAACTTTTTATATCACAAATGTTCCACATTTTTGGGTCCCATTTCATAAAATCATAGAACTGCAGAGTAAGAAGGGAGCACAAGGGTCATCTATTCCAGCCCCCCGCAATGCATGAATCTTGCATCCAACATGGGACTTGAACCCACAACCCTGAGATTAAGAGTCTCATGTTTAGCCCTTTTGTGACAGTACCACCCTAGATGGCCAGAATGCTGTAGCACTGAAGAAGCATCACAGAACAACAAGTAAAGCTGAATGGTGTGTGGGTGCTCTAATATAGATTCACCACTATTGCACTGTTATTGCATTTCTGGAAATTGTTATGTGAGAATGAACTCAACTAACCCCCCCAAGCTTTCTTCATTTCCGTTTATAACACGAGCATTTCTCTTCTTCTAGTTCTTGCCCTGCAGGCACCTGTGACGGGTGTACATTCCACTTCTTGTGGGAAAGCGCAGAAGCCTGCCCCTTGTGCACAGAGCAGGACTATCATGAGATTGAAGGGGCTTGTAAAAAGGGGCATCAGGTAATAAACAGGTTGCACATCAGGCAGGGGACTGAAAAGGCTGGAGTTTCCAACTGCAATCCCAAGGGCGGGGGGAGAGGGCATTAGAAAGACTCCACCTGCAAACTTCTATGGAGGGCATGACATGATTTTAGAACAGGATCTCCTCCTCAGGAATCAGCTGAAACATAAGGCACTTTATGAAACACTATTAATCTTAGGCCTTATGCAAAACACAGCATGAATACCAAAGGAGGAGTGCAAGGCAAGAAGTGGTCTGTAGGCCATCAGCTGACCTCTGGTCAACTTACATAGAGTCAGTGCTTTTTTCCTGGGGTTACTCAAGGATACACAGTACAGGTACCTCCCCTCCTCCAAATGTTAAAAGGGTGGCACTTTCTGTTTCTTTTATATATAAAAAGCACTGCATAGATTTTAAAGCCTTTTGGGATAGAGATAAATGCTATAAGATGCCCTGAATCCACAGGAAAGGGTTAGGGTATTAGCTACTTGGAATATGGCTTCATGGGACAGAAAAGGGATAATGTACCATTAAATAATATGCATATAAATATATTCCTATTGCCTGCTGGTTGCTGGAATTCTTGCTGAGAATACTCATCTGAGCCGACCTCCCTAGCAAGGTGCTTCTTAAATTTCAGTAAGATACTTCTTATATACTGTTCAGGAACACTTATGAGTTGAATGAGTATGCAGCCATCCTTTGCAAATTTAATGGAAATCAGTAGACCTTTGGGATGCTGGTTAATTTTTAAAAAATAGACCATGCAAGGCTGCAGTCAGTTGATCCCTGCACTAAAGGTGAACCAATTATCCACAGTGGGAGCCTTTAACGGTTTTATAATTTAATAATAATAATAATAATAATAATAATAAGTTTGTTTATATGCTGACCATCTGACTGGGTTGCCCCGGCCACTCTAGGCAGCTCCCAACAAAAAAATAGTAAAAGCACCATACAACACCACACACTGAAAACTTCCGTTCAGATGTCTTAAAAATCACAGTTGTTTATCTGTTTGGCATCGCTGGGAGGGTGTTCCACAGGGTGGGTACGCCTACCGAAGAGGCCCTTTCCTTGGTTCCCTCTCGCAATGAGGGAAACACCAGGAGGCCCTCAAGTAATCTCATGCCATGCAATTTGGAAGTTACTGACTTTGTGTGCAATCCTATTCATATCTATTCTTAAGTAAGTCCAAGTGAGTTCAGTGGGATTTACTCCTTAGTAATCGTGTGTAAGATTTCAGGCTTAAAAATGATTTATTTATTTATTCATTCATTCATTCATTCATTCCTTAGGAAACCTTATATGTATGGAATGAACCAAAGCTTTGTACAAAAGGGGTTTCCCTGCCTGAAAAAAAGACAATCATTTGTGAAACAGTGGAGTTCTGGCTAAAGGTTGGTGCAGGTGTTGGTGCTTTCACAGGTGTCCTGCTGATTGCCTTAACCTGCTATTTCTGGAAGAAAAATCAAAAGTAAGTATTTTGTGTTCCATAAGATTATACGGGATACCTAACTGACCAGAAGCTTTGCCAGTGGACAGTATACTTGGGCCACCATCTGTTGCTTAACCATGTGCTACCTGATGGTTTTGGATATACTCTCACAGGAGCAAATACCCATCTCTCTGTACTATTTGAGTTTCTTCTTTTCAGTTTTATTGACTGCTTTCTTGTAGAAGCTGCTATGCAAAATTGAGAAGATCCATTGGGAGGCACCATATTTTGGCATTGCGCAGGGCACCATATTATGAAAGATTACCAATGTCTGCCCTGCATGGAGCTGCTCTCCCCACATAGGTGGCACTGCAGCACACCTGTAGGGTGGTGGCGAGATCAGGCCTTCTTGGCCACACCAGCAGAGCAAATTTGGGGCTTCCACCAGGGGCGCCATTTCTACTGGGGTATAGCAGAGGCCATTTCATACTATGGAGCTCAGTGGCATTGAGTGCCTTCCATCAGTTTTGGCTGGTAGCCCAGCTGTGCCCCTAACTTCTGTCCTTTATGATCTAGTAACCTGTAGGTTAGATTACCGCAATGTGTTATCTGTGGGGCTGCCTCTGAAGATGACTTGGAAACATCAGCTTCCACAGAGTTCAGTGGCCAGGGTATTCGCTGAGGCAAGACCGCTTGAGTATACAACACCAATCTTGGCCCATCTGCACGGGCTACCAATTAGTTTCCAGGCCCAATTCAGAGTGCTGGTCTTGACCTATAAAGCCTTATGCAGTTCAGGATCCCAGTACCTCAAGGACCAGCTCTCGCCATCCGAACTAACCCTGACCCTGCAATTGTCTTCTGAGGCCCTTCTCTGTGTGACCCCTCCATGGGAGGTCTGGAGGGTGGCAACGCAAGAACAGGCCTTTTCTGTGGTGGCTTCCCATTTGTGGAATGCTCCCCACAGGGAGGCTCGCCTGGCGCCTTCGTTATACATCTTCATGTGCCAGGCAAAAACTATGGCAGTTGGAGCCAGGAAAAAGATGTGCAGGAAATTTAGCTTTGTGGCCAAAGGAATACGTAATGAGGCCCAAAGAAGTTGGGTCTAGAGGTTTTGGGAGATCCAAAGCACCGTGTCCTGGAAGCAGAAGGCTGCTGTGTGTCATGCAGAACCATAGGCAGCTCGGGGGCGGGGACAATGGCAGGAGCTGCTTCTGGAGGTCAAAGTCAAGGAGCCAAGTGGAAACACTGCAGAGCCAGGAAGACTCTTGTTGCTCTGGAGGAATCCTCCACCCCCCAAATGGAACGGGCTGCCCTGGATAGCCCTTGCTGTCTAGGAGCATGGATGGCTGGGGCTGGTCCAGAACTTCAGGAAGCTGAACCTCACAGAAAGATGTTCCCAACAGCATCTCGATGCTTCCCCCACAAGGGCCAGCTGCACCCACAGCCAAGCACGGTCCCTTTAAACCCTGCTGGTCTCTTCTGTGGGTCACATCATGTCGACTCTCTTTGAAATCTGAGAATGATCTACGGCTTGAGTTCCACCTGGTACTTTGCTCTTTGGAGCTGATGGGAGTGGGAGTCCCAAACTGCTGGACGGCACCAAGCTGGGAAAAGGCTACTTTAGCTGCTAAGTTCTGACAAATCTGCAATACTAAAATCCACCATGAATTCTTATAGTGAGGTTTTGTCACAAGGTTTGATGTGTTGGAAGATGATAGGACAAAAATGCCACTGTCTCCATTTATACCCTTTAGGTTGGAGTATAAATATTCTAAACTGGTGATGACAGCAAATTCAAAAGAATGTGAGCTTCCTGCTGCTGACAGCTGCGCGATCATGGAAGGGGAAGATAACGAGGAAGAAATAGTATATTCAAACAAACAGTCATTACTAGGAAAACTCAAATCATTGGCAACCAAGGTAAGCAGCTGCTGTCAGTAATTTGCAGCTATATATCGTTTTCAGGTTATTTTTTAAGTGTGCAGGTTGATATGCCATTTTTTTATTGGTTCTGGGAACAAAGCAGCACAGCTGGATACCCCCTGCTATTCCCGTGGAACGGATGGGAGATAAGGATGTCTATTTATCTGAAGTACTTGCATCCCAACCTTACCAAAATCTGAAGGTGGCTAACAGAAAACCACAAAATAGGTGTTTAGACAGCAAAAGCTTTCAAAATAGAATGGTTTTTCTATGAAGGTTGTGAGGCTAAATAATCAAATGAATAAAAGCTTTGCTTCAAAGAGCATATATATCGATTTTCTCAAGGCTTCCGATATGTTGATTTGAGAAGTGAGATTTTGAGATTCAAGTCCAGCTCTGTTTCCTGGAAGGTGTTGACTTTAAAAAAAACAAGCAAGCAAACCATGAATATATTAACTAGCCCACATGGATTTTCAGTCTGCAAATGCATGTTGCTTCGGGGTTTTTCACACGTTACATAATGGCAAACCTTGGTTTTGCCACTTAAAGTATACTAGGCAGTGAGAGACAGCCAGTCCCGGGTCCGAAATGAGTTTGTGTGCATGATACATATCTTTGCAACATGGGTGTCCACATGATTTGTTTACAGTTTACCTTTTCAAAGGTATAATTAACATAGCATCATACCCCAAACTGTAAAGAAATTCTTAGTCCCTGGCCTGAAATAATTTCTTAGTTAAACATTCTATTCTATTCTATTCTATTCTATTCTATTCTATTCTATTCTATTCTATTCTGTTCTATTCTGTTCTGTTCGGTGGATATATGTGTTTGGCAAAACTGAGCCTTACGTAACTTGTCTTTGGAATGGGCCCAATGAGTAGCCTGGGAGCATCTGGGACTGTAATGCTGCTGAGCAGATCACATCCTTATGGGAGATGATCGGGAACCCTCTGTGTGAATGGGATCTGTGCATCATATCTATATCTGTTTCTCTAATACAAGCACTTATCTCTTTGCTATGCAGGAAAAGGAAGACCGCTTTGAATCTGTTCAGCTGAAATCCTCAAGATCTCAAAATATATGAAGACTTTAACTCTGCCTTTGAACCAGCAAACCTGATCTTGATTTACGCAGGAGCACATTTCTAACATGTCCTGGTTTGTGTCTGAAGGGTGGTTTCCTGTGGGAAATGTTGCACAGTCCAACATGAAGAAACTAGCAGGGAAGAACACGAGAGACTGTTGCCTTATTGTGAGACTGAGTCACTTGCCAAAAAGGAAAGTCAAGCAGATGAGCTCATGAGCTGGGAATGAAGGTCTACTCAGGGACAGAGGAAACATGGGCAGTGGCAGCCCAAGATGTTTGGGTACTTGCTGCAGAAAACCCAAAATGGCACCTCCCAGAGTAGTAACAATATATTAAGAAAGACAGAAGATGGTTTGCTGCCCTTTAATGTTCTCTGCCCCTGTGAGGTGGGTTGCTTCACCCTGTACTGCCTGAGAAAGAGGTCATATCCTGACATGAAGTTTACATGGCATGGCACATGCTTCATTATTTGTATCCCCTTTTAGTCCCAATCACTTTTGTCACTTAACTGAAACAGAGACTGGCTTTTAGAAAGAATAGAGATGATTCCTTAGTCACTACAGGTATCTGCGGAGGTGTGGAGGTGGCAGGATCCTGGCTTTCTCTTGAAATCACACCACTAGTCACTACTTGAAATAGAAGACCTACAGACAGGCTTCTTTTTACTCCTCAGAAAGGAGAGTGCTTGTAATGTAAATCTGTAGTGTTTTGCCTAACATTAAGAATTCAACTTCTGCTCCTGCAGAATCAACTTCTGGAAGTGAAAAGAAATCATTAAAATGGAAGGCCTCTGAAAGGCTAGCAGTACAATCCTGTGTACGTTTACTCAGATGTGGAGTTTTCTCCTGTGTAAGGATGTTGTTTAGGATTACAGCTTCACTTGAAGGTCACTTTGCTAGCTGAGGAACATGGCGAGACTTAAGACGTCTAGCTTGGAGGGTTGTCAGGTGGATGTTACTCACCATGGCAAGCCCTTTTGGGATGGAGCAATTCTTCCCATTCCAAATGGTGCAATGACATGGTCAAGATTGTTTCAAGCATGTGGGCTGGATGCAAGGGGCAGCTTTGATCGAGTTTCAGGTCAAGCAGCAACCGTATAGCTTTTGGCATTTAAGAAATGACCCTTAAGGACCCTTAATGTTCAGAAACTAAAAAGGAGAAGGGATCCCGAAGAGGTCAGCCACTTTGCACACTGCAGCGGGGCAATGCATGAGTGCTTCTGTAAGTCATTCCTCAACCTGGGAGGAAATACTCGATCCAAATTTGACATGTTTGGGCCTCAAAAGAGAGACATTGATACGCTCTGGTGTTCCTGTGACTTCTCTGCCTCTTTTTGTTAGGTTTTCTTAGGTGTGAGACTTGACCCTTTTGAAATGAAAAGTAATGTCTGAAGTAGCCCCTGGTCTAATGACTGGGAAGCACTGCAGTCGGGTCCTAATGCATTCACCAAAACAGAACTTCTTACACTGGAGCTTGTATTGCAAATTCAAAGTCTGCGGACTAATCTGAAGCAGGTGAAGGCAGCGTCAACCCCTGGATTGTGTCCCCTTTCAAACCTCCCTCTGCCCCACCCCACTGACTTACAGGTGAATTGCTCCAGAGGACTCCCCTGATTACTGGAGCGTCAAGTGCGGAATGCCCAGGGGCACCTTCAACAGGGTAGCGGGAGATGGCCCATCCGCAGATACAGCAGCAGTAATCTATCAGTGGTGACCATGGCTTCATCAGCTGAAAAGATTGTGACTTTGACCACGGAAAACATTCTGAGTCACTGCAACTATATCCGTAGCTGAGTGACTCTTGCCATGGCTCTGGATGCATTGAGTGGAGTCTAGTTTGACCACATGAAAATATGTGGCTTCCTCATTTGGTTTCCTCATATGAGACCTCAGTTTCCTTTAGCCCAGCAAGTTTTATTGCTCTGCCTGTAGTTCACCAAGGGCCTTGGCCTGAGATCTTTCCCAGCCCCATCTCAGATAAGGGGGATTGACAATGGAACCGTCTGTGTACATTTCATGTGCTCTGTGCACAGCTATGGACCCTCCCTGCCCCACATGAACCAGCTTGTGGAAATTCTTTATGGAGATTATTTACATTTTTCTCTTATCTGTAGTCCTCAAGCAGAGCTGCTCTTCCCTCTTCTTCAGGGATTGATTAAGAGGTAGAAATAACTGCACGCATGGTACTTTCTCACTTCTGTTTTCTCTAAGCCATGGATTTCTGTGTAGGTATTTGGGAAAGATCTGGCAATCTTCCGTAGGCAGTGTGTGCTGCCCCATGGCCATTATTTTCCAAAATATCCCCCATGTTTGGTATTTATTGCAACAGCATTGTAGTGGTATACCTGTCTGATACTAAGGCCATGTGTAATAAAGCCATTTTATAGTGTCGTCCATGGTTAAAGTGTACCATCTAATTGGGCCATCTCGGAAGCAGGCAAGGTGGGGAATTTGTCAGAATCCCCAGAACAGCCTTTGGCAACCGGGTGCCCTCCAGATGTTTTGGACCACAACTCTCATCAGCCCCATCTGAGACCGACAAAGAAACCCCTGCCCACAACAACGTTGTGCTTCTTTCTTTGACTTCCAGCTTTGCACATCCCGTTTCATTCAGGTAGATCCAATGAGGGACCCCCAAGGCCAGCCCTGGATGCACTGGACTAATTGATGTCATCGGCTGTGATTGAGAGCTGTGCCTGCTATGCACTGAAGTTTCCTTTTTTGCTTTTTAGAAGCTAAGAAATTTACAACAAAATGGAGTGCTCCTGTTTAGTGTACCAGCCAGCCATTCCATTCCATTCCCCTTCCCTCCAAGTTTTCATTTCTCACCAACAGGCTCAACAGGCACACAGCCCTCTCTCCCTACTTCTGTAAATCTTGGGGTTTCTCAAAGCATGCTAATAACTCCCTCTTGTTTCTAAACCAGGCAATTCCCGGTTTAGGCGCATCCAATATGTGCACAACCGTGCACATGTGCACAGCGCTGAACCAAAAAATGACCCCCCAAAGTCATAAAGACATCACTGAAACATCACTAAAAGGTTAAAATGGGGTGGAGCAGAGGCAGGGGCAGAACAGGGTGTTTGCAGGCTTTTTAAATGGGTGTTTGATGACATGTGATTTCACGCATTGACCTGGAATGCAACCTGTGCACCAACAGGGAGTTGTCTGCAGTCCTGTTTTTGGCTTGTGTTGTAACTCTGCACTTCAGTTTGCTGTTGGCATATATCACCTCTTTGCTAAAGGGCACTGAATTCTGCCTAGCCAGGAAGTTCTACAAGTAACTTTAATTTTTGGAGGGGAAAATTTGGTACCCACCATATGCCCAGTCCACCTGAATAAAAACCAAACTAATTTCACCTCAGTCAGATGTTCACACTTGAAACATTATACAGTGCTCCCATTGCTTTGTCAAGTTATCTGTTCTTAAACTTTTATAATAGCTGTTTGTCTCATAAAGTTCTCTTTTGTTATTTGAGCTAATGTATACCACCTACTCATAATGGACAAATACGGTTTAGACCTCTCTTAGCACATAGTGCAGGTATGAAACTCCAAAGTATAAAAACTGCCCTTCGTTGAACTGGATCAGGGAGTGTTGGGAGGCAAGGGAGCTCCAGCTGGATACTGGAGCCAGGTGTCAGTCAACGTATACTGGGTAGAGGGAAATCAGAATTAGAAGTTATTTGCCTCCCAAAGTCTCAGTATCCAGAAAAGCAAAACTCCTGTTTCTGAGACCAATCCAAAGTGCTGGTCAATAAAAGTCCAAAATAGTTTGGGACTAGGATGTTGACAAGGTCATTTTCTCACACAAGATCCTGCCTACTTATTCACATCTTTGGTTGATGCTCTGGGTCAGGATCCCAATGGCTATTGGACATCCTGGCCTGGGGGCCTATTCTGGCACTTGTCTCTGTTGATATTTAGATTTCCGATGGAGACTTGTTTGTTCCAACCCAGAGAAGATCTTAACTATATTTTACCAGCTCAAGTTGAGTTGACTCTTCAATTTTGTTGTGGGTGGGTGTGCTGCTGACGCTGTTTTAATTTTATTAATTTTAAATATCACTTTATATTTTATTGCGATCTTATAAAATGGTGGAAGTTACTCAGTGTGGCAGGATACACATATATTTTTAATAAATAAGTAAATTTGTCTTCCTTTTCTCTCTTTCCCTAAAGAACAAGGTATGGTTATTTCTAGTTTCCCCCAAAGTGAAGACCTTTCCTTTCTTAATAGCCTCCCTGGGCAAACATGTTGCCTGCAATGCCTTATCACTGCTTATCACTGCTGAGATACAAGGGGATTGGGGGAAATACCACTAGTTTTCATCATACACCATTTCACTGTTCATTTCCAAAGCACCTTCATGTTTATTACTGCCACCACTCAACATTTGTCAAATGATTATTTTTTCCATTAAACCTTGCAGATAACACACCCCTCTATGTCAACTGAGGCTCGCATCAGTTTCCTTTCAAATTTGGGACACCCAATTTCATCCTTCAAAGATTAACATGTTATTAACATGTTAATAGTGCTTCTCTGTGTCTGATTGGGGTTGCTGTCTCTGCTGTTATGCATTTATTGAACCTGGGGGAGGATGCCCATAGTTCCCTGGACAAGAACACATTTCCAACATTTTGAACTGATCAAGAGTGAAAGGGCCAGGAGCAAGGAGTCCTGATTATTGGCTGGTATTCAGAGCTGAGAGGAAGACCTCACTAGTCCCCCCTTGAACAGCACAGAAAGCATGGATAAAACTCTGTTCTGATATTGCAGAACAGAATTTATTTCTATTTGTTTGTTTATTTATTCATAAAAGTATTTCTGTACTGCTGTCTCATAAAATATCAGGGTAGTGTTCAACAATGTGGAGAACATAGAACCTATTAAAACAGTACAAATTTGGAGTGAGAAGCTGGAGACTCCTAGCCGCCGTCTTCATGATGGACCTCTGGAGGGTCTCTCCTGCGCAGACAGACCAGCCTCAGCCTCTAGATGCCACTTGGAGCGCCAGCCATGCCCTGACAATCAGTGTCCGTCTGGAGGCAGCCTTGCAGGTCTCTCTCCATGGAGACTTGAACCTTAATTGAAAAGTTTTGCATCCCATGGAGGGAGCCCCATGTGACTCCATACTTCCAGGCTGATGTCACTTCCATGATGTCTGTGGTGCATGATGTAGGCATCTAGGGGTCAAGGTTAGCCCACGCCTGCATGGATGTTCATATGGAATGCCTGAAAAGGGCTTCTGTCAGAGCCTCTTTTTGTCTTCAAGCTATGTATTACATAAGCCCTTGCCTGCCTTTTCTGTGGGATGGTGTCTGAGAATGATGTCATCAAGGGCAGCATCAGGGACCAGAGATGAAATACTTGGTGGAGAAAAACGGTTTAGCCTTGGGGCTGCCCATTGTCTAGGGCAGAAAGGCTGGTGAAAGTTTCAGCATGAAATGGCACATTTTGGAAGCATGGTTATAACATAACTTTTCATAACTCTAGAGTGGTTCATGGAAGCTACTTTAAAGTTTCTCAAAAAATCTGAGTCTGAGACTTTCCCAATTGAATTTTGATTGTGCGACTGGAATCTCTCTTGTATCATGTGTAGCCATATTGGTTATTAAATTGCTGCTGTTGTTTTCATTTCTTTTTCTTTTTTGGAGATGGGGGAGGTTGTTAAAACTCTTTATTTTAACTAATAAATGTCTACATTTATTCAGCTAATTTAACTGAAATTGAGTAATTCTTCATATCACACTCACCAGTCAAATCTGTACATAGAGGACCAATTTCCATCCCCCATTACATTTGTGTGTCCAGTGCTCCCAGCCAGGGAGAGAGAGACTAATAGTCAGCTGTAAATTGCAAACTCATCAGGGCAGGGACTGGTCTTTTACTTATCTTACTCTGCAAAATGTTTTTGCTCATTGATGCCTCTCTCTAATAATAATAATAATAATAATAATAATAATAATATTTATGCATTGGAGGTACAGGCTGCCCCAACACAAGGGTTTCTTGCAGATAAGACAACATTGTTTGTTTGTTTTTAAAAATTTATACTCCACCCTTCATTGTTAAACAATCTCAGGATGGGCCACAACATACAACATACATGAAGTTAAAATCAGATACAAAATTACAGAGCAAATGAATCACTGTATAAAACTCGGCATACACCACTGTCACATGGGCCAAATCTGTTTACTCAAAAGGTCTGATGGAAATTGAAATGTTTCCACTTGCCACCCAAAACTGCACAGTGTTGATGCTGATCTAACCTCCAGGATAAGAATGTTTCACATCCGGGATGCCATCAACAAGAAGGCCCTATTATGAGTTCTAAAAGGCTGAGCCTTGCTTGGTAATCACACAATGAGAAGGACTTCCCTGGTAGATCTCAAGTAACAGACAGGATGTTACAATATTTAATTATGGGTGAAATCCAACTAAGCTATACATGCAGTTAATCCACTGAAATCACTGGATCTACTTGAGTGTGATTAATCTTGGGCAGAACCCCAATATTTTACTCCTTTAATCTGCCAAGGAAGCCTCAATATGGTACTGGCAAATATAGGGAAACAGCAATAAAATAGGAAATTGCTCAACATGTTTCAATGGAAACCTTCAAGTGCACAAAATTTAAATTTGTCAAGTTAACTAGCAAGGTAGTGTTGCCTTACCATAATAACAGGACTAGTCCATCACTGTTGACTGCCTCTTTTATTTGCTCAGATTTAAAGCAGTTGCCATTTACCTCTAAGCTTTGTGAATTATATGCCCCCATTTTTGGGTGTGTGTTCAGTGTCATGGTGCAAGCATGTGGACTACTACCTGCACCGGCAAGGAACTCTGGCTGCAGCAGGCTGACAGTTGCCACCCTGGTGACCATAACCTGCAGATATGATGGCTCAAGATATTTTGGTGCCAAAAGATTGAAAGAGCCAAATGAAGGGGTCCTTTAATCTCAGCACCTGTCCTAGTGGTTAAAAATAAATGATTGACATTTGCAACCCTCAAAACTGTCACCTGAAATGGGATACCTCACCCTTACAATAAAGGCCAGCCTTAATAATATGTAAACCAGACCCGAAGAATCCACAAAGAGCTTTGTAACCTGGTTAGGATCATCCAGGTTAGTAAAATGGTTATCCTCTGAATGTAGAGTAATTTATAAATTCTGAAATAAAATAATAAATAAAACCAGTATAAAATAACTGCTCTGTTAAGGCAGATTTATCATTACACCTGCTGGGGAAGAAATTTAGTAACCTCTTAGCGGGGAAAAGGGCAATTATGCTGAAAAGCTTTTCAGGTTTTATTATTGACAACTTTACATTAATTAATACAGCTGTGAAAACCATTTGTTGCACAGAATGTAACCATAATATACAACATAGAAATGCGGTCTAAGTAAATTACAACAAGGAATTACAAAAAGTCTCATTAGAAAGAAAGCCACCAAACATGGCAGCCAACCTTCCACTCACTGCGGAGTCAACATGGTGGCACAGCAACATCCCTTAGAACAGTTAATCACAGAAGGCTCTAAATTTGTTCTAAAAAGAACATCACTATATACTGTACAGTCCTCAAAAATAATTTATTACACTGTTTCTAGAAAAAAAAAGCTAGTCTTTTTTTTTAAAAAAAATGTTCTTTTTCCAGAGTCCACAAGAAATGTGCAATTCTTCCCAGCTGTCTAGGAATGCCAGCGCCAGCTGTATGATCACAGAGATGAGGTGGTGGAATCCACAACTTCTCTTCCATTGCAGACGGTTGGCACATACACATTAGCAGAGGCTGAAAGAGAAACATTGCCAGGAGCTACAGAGAGTTTTTAATACAAGTGCAAATAGCACTTGGTCTTGAAATGATGAAGAGGAGAACTAAATGCCTTAACACCAGACAGATGATAATACAGAAACAGCCATTAGGTAGGGCATCCTATTTAAAATGTGGGGTTTTGGGGGGGGGGGGTTATTGGGTTGTTGCTTTCATTTTGATTATATATTTTGTGGTTTTATATTCTTATTTTGTTCTGTGAACAGTCCTGAGACCTTCAGGTATAGGGCAGTATATAAATTCAATAAATAAAATAATAAATAATAAATGTAGGCCACAGTTTCAAAAATACCATAAATCTGAAGTATGGAATCCTGAGAATTGCAGTGGCTAGAGATTTTTAGCAAATAAGTCTCAGCACTTTCAAAATCCTCTGGCTTATGTAATGCCTCTTATCAGTAATCCAGTAATCAGTTGCTTTCAGTTTATTAGAGCCCAGTCAAAGGAAGATTTGCCCCCGTCTTGGGCTGGGGGAGTTCAGGTGCTCACCTCCAGTCTCTTGCCTCAGAAGACATCAGGGAGAGTTGTCCCTTGGCAACTGCAAGCAAGGCAGGATTTGTCCCCCTTATGGCCTGAGCACCATTCAGCTGCTCAGATCCACTCCCTCACCTCAGAAGGCCTTGCTCCTAGATGGCAGCTGAAGGGTGAAGACCAAGGATGAGGGAGGGAAGTGTTGCCCCAGGGAGCTGCTAGGCACCTTAGAAGCAACATGTTATTGAACTAGAGCACGCTTTTCTTGTGCAAGACACTTTTAAAGCCTCTCAGGGATAAAAAGTGAGAAATAAGTATTGCAACTAAGTAAATCAATTGTTCAATCAAACTACCACTGGTTCAGTTGACTGATCTACCAATTAAACCCCACACACCTAGCTTTTATAGATATAAATTGAAGGTGATGCTTGTCCAAAGGAACTCAATGAATTCTTGCACTGTGTATCCAGGACTCTTATCAGCTGGATCATGCAGGCTTTGAGCATGTGTTTTGTGTGCATGTTTAAGGGTTGAAAGAAAATACAAAGGGAATACCCTTATTTTCTATACCAGTTGTTTCTCCGGTGCTGTTTGTTAAGAACTGCATGGGAGGCAGAAATTCAGCAGGTGAAGGGCTTTGTCCATCCTGCATGCCTGACCAGCTCCCCTTAGATTCCTGCCTCTTCTGTGGCTCTTAGCAAGCTGGTTGCTGAGCTGGTTGCTTTATAAGTGTCTTTAAAAAACAACCTAGTTGCGTCTGTCCCATTTCTGGAACTTGGGGTTTTTAAAAATAAAAATAAAACCAATGCTGGTTTTTTATTGCTTGCTTTCAACCAGAGGCGGATTTAGAGCAGCGCAACAGGTTCCTCCGGACTGGGTGCTGGGCAAAGGGGGCACTGCAGGGCATCACAATATGATGCAGTGAATTGAGCAGAACGGAAGGGGAAAGACGGGCAGAGCAGTTTTTGCCTTGCACAGGGTGCTGCTGAAATTTGAAAGACCCAAGTCCCCCCCTGTTTCAATACTGGGTGTTTCAGTTGCTACTTCCCACCCGCCTTGGCGCTGTTTATTTCAAAATTCAATTACCGTAAACCACGACCGGGAAATCGCAGCCCCCTGGGACCAAATGTGTTCCTCCAGGCATCTCCAGCCTGGCTGGAAACTGTCCTCAAATAAAGAGTCTTACTTTGTTGGGGGGGGGGCATGTTATATGCCCTTGCACATGGCAACCAGCCTCCTGCACAAAGGTAGAATTCACACGTGCTTCTCTGCCCACTTTTGTCTCTGCCTGCTCCCCCCACCCCACCAAGTGATGGAGAAATTAGGAGAGCAAGAATTGGGGGGGGGGCCTCTGAAGGCAGCAGCCATGATCTTTAATTACCTTGGGAATAAGTGGTTCCTGTTCCGCTGACGCTGAACCTGTTGAGATGCAGCCTGTGCGTGACCACATTCTTCTGTGGCTGGAAGAGGACAATATGCACTTTGGGGGCAAACAGACACCCCAAGACAACAAAGCCGCTGAGACTTACAGAGATGCACATGGTTGTGGTCTGAACCTGCATGGAGAAAAACCAGAAGGGTCAGCAGGAATGAATTCTGAATTCCCAATACAAACACAATATCAGACCAGAGGCCCCTCGAACCCTGCGGCCAATGGGATGCCTATGGGGAACTCACAAGCAGGGTGGGAACGCAACAGCACTCATGCTGCCACCATGATGAGCAGCCTTATTCTCCAGACATACAGGAAGACAAACTCAATTCCTTTTGGAACATAGGAGCAGAAGAGCAAAAATATGTCCCAGTGAATCAGATCAAGAGTTCATGTAGTCCAGCATGAACAATCTCCAACAATAGTTAAATGCCTTCACACCCTGCTTGAAATTTTCCTGCAAGCAACAGACTTTTACTATTGTTTGTCCTTGAGCCATTAATATTCAGACCTAAGCTGCCGCTGAATAGTATTGACCAAATTTTCACCCAAGTGCTTATACTTCCAACTACCATCTCATATATGCTTTCCCTCCAGCACTACAAAGATGACATCCAGCTCTTTCGGTAGAGCATGAGACACTTAATCTTAGGGTCATGGGTTTGAGCCCCACATTAGGCAAAAAGATTCCTGCATTTACTTGTGTAAATGTAATGACCTTACTCTCATGCTAAGTGCCAAACTTTGTGTGATGTTAAGTGTGTTTAAGTTGTGTAAATGTCAAGTGTGAGGGAACCCAATCAGGTTCAGAACTGCAGGTTTCATTTTCTTCCTACACCAACATAGTCCAAACAAAATTGTCCCCCAAAGCTGCTGTTTGTCTTAGGAGGGAAACTGGGGTGGTGGAGTGATTTTTCATTTGGACCACAGTTAAGGGAGAAGAAAGGTTAACCCCCCCTCTCCTTGAACCCAAAGCCCCAATCCTGCATTAGCATCCTGTGTATTCTGGCCTAAGAAGCAGTGGCTGAGATTCTCCTGTTCCATGATACACTGCTCCCTATCCACTACACATAAAAACAGCAGACTTTCATTGGTTAATCTGAGCAGAATATTTAATATTGCACTGGATCTGGCTAAAATGATGGTGGAAAACTTACCCTGTAGTCACTTGATGTCACATAAAAGATTGGCAGAAAGGCCAGCCAAATAATGCATGTCGTATACATTGTAAAACCAATAAATTTGGCTTCATTGAAGTTTTCTGGGCACTTCCTTGTTTTGAAGGCATACACAGTGCATAAGACTACAAGGATCACATCATACATTAAGGAGATCAACATACTAGAATCCTTGACATTGCACTTCAATATGACAGTCTGCCTTTTCTCAGGGATGGTGTATCGACGAGTGCCCGGGGCCTCCAAAATCAGCCACACAGACACCACCACAATCTGCACCATGATAAGGCTCAGGCAAATGAGGACCTGAGAACGTGGGCTGATGAATTTAGGCCTCTGAGCCCCGTTCTTCACCCCATTGAATATTCTGGCAATGCAGTTCGTTTTCGTCAGGAGGGCAGCATAGCACGTGGCAAACGATGTGCCCAGGCCCAGACGGCGCAAGGTGCAAATGGCTGGCGAGGGCTTGGCAATAAAGAAGAAGGTCATGCTGTAGGAGAGGAAGACTCCAAAGAGGAGGATGTAGCAAAGCTCACGGCTTGAAGCTTTGACCAAAGGAGTGTTGTTGTGCTTTATGAAGACCCCCACAACTAGGAAAGTACAAACAAAGCCCAGGCATGCGATAGTCACAGGCCCTATGGCCCAGGCATCTTCCCACTTGATGTAATCTTCCGGTAAGTCATAACAGCTGGTGAGATCCGTAGAGGGCCATTGCCCAAGTCCACAATCTGAGCAGGTGAATTCGTCAGCAAGGTACTCGAAAGGTTCACAGGGAATACAAATCCAACAGCAGACATCTCCTGGCTGCATGTTCTTCATCTCATTAGGTTGGCAGGGGTCACTGCACTGGGCAGTTGGAACAACATCTGTGGACCAGTGGATGGAGTCAACATCAAGGGTCAAAGTTTCTGCCCACTGGCCAATCTTTAAGTAGGCATATTTACCACCATTGTGCTGGAAATTGAAGACATTGTATCGGCCTATCCCATCACCGTAAATATCAAATTTAACAGTGTTGTCTGCAGATTTGGAAGAACTGAATGGAGCTGCCAGAAATAAGAGAGAGAAAACAATGTTTCTAGTCTATGCATTTGCCCTTCTTTTCAGTGTGCATAAACAATCAATTTCATTTTTTGTCAACAGAGCTTCAACAAAGCTAAAACCAGCAAAGAAATAATTTTGCATAAACTAATCTTCTAATCATTTGTACAGAGTTATGGTGTTGTTCGTTTTTTACTTACAATTTGGTTCTACCTTTATTACCATTCCATGTCAGAATATGAAGAATTAGCTATGGTTAACAGCATATAGCATGAGCTTAGCTGTCTTGATGAAACAGACTCAGATATTCCAACAAAGAGTCATCAAAGTGTTGTGCCTCAAAATGGGATGGCCCTCAAAATAAATGGTTGAGGCTTCCTTCAGACATCCTGGATGTTACAGGTCTGATGACTATTTGCATCTGTGATGCAGCCCCATATACTTACAACAGCATCACGGCTGCACGGAGCGCTGGCATGTGTAGTTCCAGGTGCCTGACATTCCAATTAAGAGTTCTCACCTATGGCAAACAGGATGCTCCCAAGGTCTTTCAGGCACAGGATGCTTCTTCTGGAGTACTAAAGAGGAATGGAGACCTTGCAAAGAGGCATCTCCATGGCTGTCATAATTGCTGCTCTAACCACTAAGTTTGGGGTGATGGGAAGAGGCAGCGGAGGACCCCATGGGTGTGGCAGCTGGGGCAGCAGGAAGGGATGGGAGAGGTGTTCATGCCTCATGATCCCAATTATGTCTACTTTTACAGCAGAATGGAGAATTGTTACTCATTTCTGGAGCATGATTCAGAAACAGTTGCCTCAGCTACGCCGTTGCTTCCTGAGAAACTACATTTTTTGCACATTCAACTCATAATTTTGAGTTGGGGAAGGTATGCTGTTCTCTCTGTCTTATACCCTCACACTCAACACATCCAAGGTTTTGCAATAATGAATTTTTGCATGGATCATGAAGAACACGGGTGTCATGGGCAGAAGCAACCTTCCCCCCATTGGCCACTAAGCTGCAGTCAAAATTGTCTTGAGGAATTGGTCACATTTTCAGATAACATTTTTAGACATGTTGTTAACATCTGTGAGGGATACACCTTAAAAATATATATTGTCCCTTAGCCTTTCTCTACAGCAAGATGTCTGGCCACAAGACTGAGTCCTGCTATCTGGATTAAGCAACTGTTGACAAACAGATCATCCTTGCCGAGTTTTTAGAACTTTCAGAGACTTCCTTACACATTATCCATCAAGTGTTACTTGCACAGCCAATGTTTCTCCTATCTTCTTGAAGACTTTGGGGTTTTGTGTGAAAGTAAAACTTTGATAGTAGGAGACTCAGGCAGAAGAAATAAAGAAATATTTATTATACAGAGTAAAGTTGGTAAAACAAATGATTTGTCGGGAGATGAAGTTCTTTCAGGGAACAGTTAACTTAATAAATCTAGTGGGTGTTTCAGGCTTCTAAACAAGGTAGTAAACATGGAGCTTCTTTTCAACTTCAGCTGCTTATTTTCAGTTAATACTCTTCAGTTCGATGTTACAGGTTTCCAGCCTAGATGACCGATGCTCAGCTTCTCTCCCGTTATTTCACTTCAGTTCCTTCACTTAGTGGTTGTGTAGGTGTTTCAGCTTAACACTTTGGCTCCTAAAGAAGGGGGGACTTTCCGTCAGTTTCCCAACCTTTCCTCACTCCCACTCCTGAGGTACTTCCATCCCTTGGATCCCCACACCTCTCTTAACTGGTCTGGGAGCTTCTCTGTCTAGAGGATCCCTCCCCTCCTGACTGACAAACTCAGCCTTCCCTTTCCTCCTGTCTGAATACTCTCCCAAGATACTACACTCGGTCTTCGTATCTAAGCTCAGAGACTCCTTTCTCTAGCTGTGGATATTCTGCTCCTCAGAGTGGATGTTCCACACACGGAGCAGAACCAACTCTGCAACTCTCCCTCCTGCTCTTTCCCTTAGTTAGACTATCGGCTTCTCTCTCCTTTTATTCTCCCTCCCAAAGTGCTGGCTCCACCCCCTTCTGACTAACTCTCTTGGCAGCCAATCAGAGAGAGGCGCCAGCCCTCTGGTGGAATTCTGTGGCACTGCACCCCCAGGCTCTGTTAAAGATATATGCTTAATGTGCATAAAATGCTGTGCTTGAATATATTGTATTTGAAATGCTAGAAAGAGAAGTTTACATTAGGAGTTTAACTATAGTAAACATGCTAAGGAACGGTTGGGTGTTGAATGTTTCCGTTTGAGGGTTTAGGACAGCAGGAAATGTTGGAGGGGATGTTCTGCTATGATGAACAAGTTTATTATCTCTCTCTGGGACCAGAGAGAGGAAAGTTTACTGAACTGCATTAAGGACTAAAAAATAAGATGGGACTGCATTGCTTGCTTGTTTAAGCATAAATTGTAACTGTGTATCTTTATAATGTTTATATGTAGCTATATTAAAGTAAAGCTTTGAAACTTTGGAGAGCAAATTCATTTCTACTCTGCACAAGGGTCAGGGCAGGGGTACCATTTGCAGCAACTCTAACAATCTGAACTGAAGAAAAGTTAATCTTAATTTTGTATCTCATTTCCATTGGCTGCCATTCCAATTTGCATTTACTCTTTTATTTTTGGTGTGTCGGGGGGAGGAATTATGACAATATAATTAAAACAGGGAAAAAGGAATCAAAACTCAACATAGATTTTTTTTTTTTAGAAACATAATTATGTTTCATTTATAATTCCCAGACTGAAGGAACCTACTCTGAGATTTTAAACACTGATGCCTTGGGGTTGATAAGAGTCATTTAATTTGAAGTTATTCACTGTGGGAAATAACTTGCACAAAAGGAAGGAAGTATTGCAAGATAATTTATGCTAGCAATCAAATTCTAATTACAAAGGAAATTAAAAGCCCATTCCCCCTCTCCCCCCCACAGCCTCACGCCACCTCTGGGCCTTTTGGAAAACCACTGTGTGATCCTTAAAAAGTTCCTCTGATGCACAGTTCTGTGAAGTGGATGGAACGTGGGCCTGCAAATGTGTTTAGAGAGCCATACTTCATAGTAGGACCTAGTTCTGCTGTGAAGATTGATTTATAGCCTCGTTAAAGCAGCTAGCAATGCTCAGCCCACAGAACTTGATGATCTGACAAAACGCGTTGTTTCACTCTGCCTTCACTGTGTACTCCGCCTTCATTGAGCACTTCTGACTGTGCTCAAAGGAAAATCCATAGTCTGGTTCAAGAATGAGGCTGGTTCAGACTTTTGCCTTCACAGTAACATCCTTTGTGTGCTGGGAAAAAGACTCACAACTCGGGAGCAAGTGCAGCTGACACCACTCAAAGGATGGAATCAGGTGTGAGCCACACTCTTTCATCCTTGCCAAAAAGGGAAAAGATAGCCATTAATGAAGTGAGTCACACAAATTGGCATGTGCAAATTCCGGTTCACATATGGTGTCTTTTGTGTGGAACTGTGTCCACTTCTCAGGCCCACTCCCCTCAGCTCAAAAGATCATGCCTAAATTGTCCCCTGCATGCACGTGGCTTGACTGCAGCACGAAACAAGGCCAGGCATAGTTATGGCAGACTGTTTGACATTCCTCTAAACCCCCAACACTCATCAGGTGGAACTAGGGACATTTCTCACTCCCCCCCGCCCATGACCCTTCTTGACTGCCCAATTTGCACAGAGCATTGCCACCAACGCTATACCCCCAGGGTACAGCACACTCTCCACTGTCCTGAGAAAGCCCCTTAATCCTGATGGTATTTTATTCTTTGTTGGATTTACAAAAAGAAAAACACCCACCAATAAATAAATATTTCTGTCCAGCCAAGCAAGTGGCATGATCAGAGGCCAAGGCTACATTCTAGCTGGGTAAAAGCACCCAAAGAGGGTGCCAAGCAAGGCAGGTGAAGTGGAGAGGGCCACACTGGGCACCCCATTCCGGATTCTTCACATCTGGCTTAGATGGCAGAGATGGGTTTTAAATTTCTTAAAGGATGGATCTATCAACAGCTGTGTGCAGCGATTACTGAATGAAAACATCATGTTCAGAGATGGTATAACAGTTGTTTGGGATAAACACAAAAACGACTCGTAGGCCATGACTGGAAATAGAATACAGGACTAAATGGGTGTTTGGTCTGTTTTAGAAGGGCTTTTCTTATAGGAAACAAATAATAATAATAATAATAATAATAATAATAATAATAATAATATACTGCCCATCTGACTGGATTTGCCCCAGTCACTCTGGGTAGCTTCCAGCAAATTAAGGAAGGTAATGCCATGCAGGTAAAGAAATCCCCAGGGGCAGCAAGTGATAAACAAGTCAGCTTGTACTTCTCCTCCTTCTCTTCCTCCTCCTCCTCCTAGGAATGAAGACAGGTGTGCTCAAAATGCTGCCCTTGCAAGACAGTGAGGGAGCCTGCAGATGGCGCCAGAGAATAGTGCTGCATCTATGCCGTGTAACTAAAAGGAAACGAAAGGAAAGGAAATTGCACTCTTGGGAACTGGAGCTGGATTTGGGGAAGCGGGCACTTTTTACCGCAAGCTGTCTTGGAAGGATTTGGGAGAGTTAGTCTGCTCTGAGCAGTTTGCTTCTTTATCCTCGGTAGCCAAAATTGCAACTGTCTCCCACTAGTGAAATAGGGTGAGAGAGGGAGGAAAAAGAAGAAATGTAGCCCCCCACCCTTTAAGTTCTGTTTTTCCTGTCCCCTTCTGTTCTGGCGGTTCCCTCATTGGGAGAAGTGAGGTTACAGGGAACCAGACAGAGGGCCTTCTCGGTAAGCAGCTATCTTATCTTTAAAAGACATCTGAAGGCAGCCCGGTCTAGGGAAGTTTTTAATATTTAATGCTGTACTGTTTTTAACACTCGATTGGAAGCCGCCCAGCGTGGCTGGGGAAACTCAGCCAGATGGGCGGGATATAAATAATACATTATTATTATTATTATTATTATTATTATTATTATTATTATTGGAGGCAGCACTACAGCCGCCTGCCAGCTTTGCTCATGGGCTTTGTGGGTGCCTGGTCCCCATAATTATATCATTGTGGGTGCCCAAGCACGCACAGTCCCCTAGAGTGGCACCTATATTCCTTGATGGCTGTTTATCTGATATACACTTTTGTTGCATTCACACATTTCAATTTAAACATCTTTGTTGTATGTGTGAACATGTGTGACGTGGCTATAATTGTGGCTCAACATGGTCTAAAGAATTGCTCCCAGGTTCCACTTCCTCTTGACTTGAGTCTGTGCAGAATCCAGGCAGAGGCATCTAAGAGATTTTAGCAAGATGTGAGGAGATCTGCAATATCTGCAACTACAGCATCTTCTAAGTGTCATGTTTGGACTGGCAGCTTTTACAGCTTCTGAGACACCAGAGATATTGGAGCAACGGAATAAATCTTTTGAAACTAAAAAACCAGTGATCATTTTCCATAAATATTTATTATCAATAAATAAGTTTGACATGCAGACTTTAAGAAATGAATGGAATAAAGAACTGGATCTTCCAATACTCCCTATGCAGTGGGAAAAAGTTTTAGCTTCTATAGTGATTGTATTGATGGATCTTAAATTATGACTTATACAACATAAAATAATATTTAGGATTTATTGGACTTGTATTTAAAAAAGACTGTCTAATGTAGTTCTTTGTTGGAGATGTAATAAGGATAATGCCTCTTTGATACATATGTTTTTATAGTGCCCCATACTCACTAAATATGACTGTGGGGGGAAAATTAAAAATTTCAGAGGAATATATTATTCTGTATATATTGTATGGAAGCTGACAATGAGACAACAAAAATGGATTCTACACACCCTAACTGTGGCCAAGAGGCTGATCCTGATGAACTGGAAGAATAAAGACAAACAGTGAATTGACGACAGGACAACATTTGCAGCAGAGGAACGGACTACTTATATACTTTTTCTGGACAAATATATTGACATTTGGAATGAGTTTGTTCAGAATATTGTAGGTTATTAATAATCATACATGAATTAGGACAATAATATTTTTGTATATCTATATAACAATGTGTGGAAATGTAACTGATTATATTTAATGTACTATGCTATACTCTTTCTTAATGTATTTTTTGCACTTTTTTCTTTCATCACTTTATTTTCTATAACTGAAACTCTTTTTTAATAATATTAATTATAAAAAGATGTGGAGAGATCTACCTTATTCTTCAAAACAGTCTGATCTGTCATTGCATTTAATATAGATACACAGCCCGAGTAGTAGAGGCCAGGGACGTAAGATATATCGGCTTGTCTGCCTAGTGAGCCTGTGAACTTCATGGGGGAGGGGAGACCAGCTCTGAAGGAATAACTTCCCATTTCACAGCAGCATCACTTTGCCACTTGATAGGGCCATTTGTCTAGATGCTGCTATTCTCAAGTTCTTCCTCAGATCCATTGAGAGATAAATATGTAAATAGGGTGTGCTAATGCAGGGAGGGGCAGAAAGTTGATCGGGAAATTTGCAATAGAACAACAAGAGTCTGACTCGCAGAAGGCTAATAACAGAAACAACTGAAAAGCCTCACTTCCCAATTAGGTTGCTAGAAAATAATGCCTAGATTTCTATGTGAAAGGAGTTGTGAGTGAGCTTGGTTCTGATGCTGATCACAATTCTTAATTCCTTAATTCTTGGCAACTGTTTGCTCAGCTAAGGAACTATTTTCTACTTTGCTCCAGCTGGTTGACTTGGAGTTTAAATATCAATATCAATAATGCCAATAATCGATACGAGGAAAGTTTGCAGGTTTGGGGACTTTTATAGTTTAGAGAAAATGTGAACAAGAGGTGACTTGAAAGAAGGTTATATGTACTTTTCTTTAACTTTTTGTAGTTGGTTACTTGTATATTTTTTCTTTTTTGTACTCAATAAAATTTAATAAGAGAGAGAGAGAGAGAGAGAAGGTTATAACATGAGGCCTGGCATGGAGAAAGTGGATGGAGAACAGTTTTTCTCCCTCTCTCATAAAACTATCCGATGAAGGTGACTGTTGGAAGGTTCAGGACAGATAAAAGGAAGCCCCTTTTCACCCAGAGCAGAGTTCAATGATGGCAATTAGTTCAATTTGGATGGCATTAAAAGCAGATCATACAAATTCATGGAGAATAGGGCTATCAGTGGCCACCAGTTATGATTTTTTAGTACTCCCCCCAGAGCCCCTGAGGGGGATGCTGAACTCTTGAATCTGCAAGTAAACCTCTGAGACCTGGCAATCTTGGGATGCACACATCATGCAAACGACACCGTCTGTAGAGCATGTAAGTTGCACACCCTCCTTCCCATTTGCAAATCCTTCTGCCCTTGAAGAGAGAGGTCAGGGACCACTGCGACACATTATTTCCCTTCCCAATACTTTGCTCCACTGAATCAGTTCAGGAACAGAAGAGGACTGTGGATGTATTATTTCTTTGCTTAAAGGCAGGAGAACCGACCCATGGAGAGACTGAAGGTGGAAAAAAGCCTGCAAAGTTCTTCTGAAAAGGACATTAGTAACACCAGCCTAAGATTCATTAAAATTCTCTGCCTCATCTCTTTTTCTCTTAGCCATATGCATTTGTCAACATATAGCTGAGAGCACAGTTGGGTTCAGCCCTAGGCCAAGTGATCTGGAGAGAAAATGCTGTGTGAGATACTCTTTTCATCTGTAGCATCTCATCATATTTCCACTCAATACAAAACAAAAAGTGAAGCAAAAAGATGACATAATGATGCTTGTAATTGCAATAATAAAGTGGGCAGCAGGGAAGGCACACAAAGACTGTGCTTTCGGAGCTGTGATTCACCGAGATTTCTTGCTTTTAGATCAATGAATTGAAAGTTGGAATAATTGTTCAGCTATCAAAGACACCCGTGAAAAATAGAACTGCAGCTCAGTTAAATGGCATCGCTTGATCCTCTGTTGGTGTTGCTTCCTTGTAACTCCCTTTTCAAGTGATGCTAGCATTGTGGGAGCCATGAAACTCCTTACTCCCTGTGCCACCCTGGCAACATGACAAGCTCCAGGTCAAAAGGAAGGAAGGGAGGGAGGGAGGAGCAAGCCGATCGGGTGCCTGGGGCCAGCTGCCTGTGAGGCAGGGCAAGCTGGGGCAGGACACTCCACGGAGCCTCTGGAGTCTGCCTGCCTCCTCCCACTCAGCCGCCCTACAGCTGAGGGGGAGGCAACGGGTGCTCAAGCCCGTTTGGGGTAGCGCGGAGGCTGTGGGCGCTCATCCAGGAGAGATGCATGACTCGGGCGCACTGCAGGCCCCGCTGTAAGTGCCACCCACCATTTTGTCACCTCCCTCAGTGGGGTGCACCCACAGCACCCCCCTTGGTACGCCCCTGGAAGGAAGGAAGGACCCCACACTGTGGTTTGTCATCATAGTTGGCTTGTGGTCTGTACTATTTCAGGCTCCAAGGGTGAGAGGGAAACCTCTCTTTATATAGCAAACTAGCTCACAAGCAAGAGTGCTACTGTAAATATTTTGCTCTGATCTGCTAATTTTCTACATGCAATGATTTTTTTTATTAATGTGAGAGAGCACTTTGAAAGTGTATGGTTCAGAATTCTACCAGAATTCATTTTGTGAAATGTGTAGAGTCCCTGATCCAAGAACTATCTTGTAATACGAGGCAAGCTACATATCAACTTTTAACAGGGCCCTGATGCCATTAAAACCAAAAGCAAACCTGCTCCAGGTGTTTAGTGGGATTTAGGATGGAGAAATGGTAGGAGCAAGTGCTTCATCCTTTCAGCAGCCTCATCTTGTTTGTCTCCAGACCCATCCATCCACTGGGTTTCAGAAATCCCCATTCTGAGAGGCAGAAATTTGTATTTTGATCAGCTCTCCTCAAGTGAATTTGTAGAAAACATGAATATTCAAAGCAGAGGAAGTGAAGATCAAGAGGTGGCCTGCTGTTCCAAGAACTTCAAAGTTCCCTCATTGAAATATGCTGCTTCTAAGTGCCTCTTTCAGTCTTTGCTTCTTTTTAGTACTGCATGCTTTTTAGGAATGGAAGCTGGCTGAGCACAGGACAAGTTCATCATGTTCCTCTCTGATTCCTCACAGAACCATAAAGAATTAAATGCTGCTTTAGTCACTCAAGAATCTGAAAAAACAAGATCAGGTAGGTAGCCATGTTGGTCTGACACAGTCAAAATAAATAAAAAAATTAAAAAATTGTCCAGGAGCATGAAAGCTTATACTCAGAACAAACTTAGTTGGTCTCTAAGGTGCTACTGGTCAATTTATTTATTTATTTATTTATTTATTTATTTATTTATTTATTTCGTCTGAAAAAGCAAGTATCTGTTCACAAGGAAACAGTTCAATGAGGCATTTAGGTGAAAGTACCATATTTCCAAAAGTGTGTGTAATGGAGCTGTTAAACACTTTGGGCTTGGTCCTGATTCAGGTTGATGAGTCTGTGACTGGTTCTAGTTTAAGCCCGTAAAGCTGTGTTCTCCAGCCCACAGCGGCTGTTGGACAGCAACCTTGGCCATTGCCACCAGTGGCAATGAGGGCTGGAGCTGGAGTCCAAGGCATCTGGGGGACACTAAGTTGGTGAAGGCTGGAATAAAGGTTTGGTAACTGGTTTCACACACCTCTGGAACTAGTTTCAGTTCAGTTTTACTTAAATCTGAGTTGCACAGCTAAGGTGATTTGAAAAGCAGACCAGAAACAAATAGTTGAGTTTAACGATAATCAGTAAGCACACAGACAATAAAAATACTTGGATCATTCACAGTGTAATCCTTGAATTTAATGGGACTTACTCCCAGGAAAATGGGCAGAGGATTAAGTTTATAAAATGTTTCTTCATTTGTTTCCTGCATAACACACGGACTCTGCTAGAGGCAATCTTGGCTTCTTTGCCCTTTCTCTGCTGTTTGTGCAATTGTGAGCTAAGGCACTGTTTGGTTTAGCATATTGTCTGAACCAAGAATGGAAGGACCTGCCAAATTGACTTCTCTCAGCTTCTCATTTGTCCAGTCTTAAAATCCATTATCAACAATTTGCAGCAATTGGTGACTGTTCCAAGATGGCGGCGCATTCATACGCTGCGGCTCTGAGCTCCCAATGTGTAATCTCACTGTATACAAGTTGTACAAGTGATAATAAAGTATTTCAATATTATTATTATTTAAACTCTCATGAAAATTCATCAGCATTGTAGTGTGAATTTAGTGTGCAGTTTTGGTTAATGTACACATTTTTGCACATTTTTTCCCTATTGTAATGCATTTTGTTTGTTATTTTCACCAGTATATTCCTTTTAATGCACACATATGTATGTTTGTAAACATTATTTGGTGAACTGCTTAATAAAATTTGGATGAATGTGACTTTTGAAGGATAGCTGTGCTTCAGTTTGCACATTCTTTCAGAAAGTCTGGATTTTCATAGATTTAGCTTCAAATGAGACCTGAATTGAATTTCTTCCCCATCTGTAGTGTGAACCCAGGCATGTGATTTCTCTTGCTCCAGACAAACCATAAACCGTAACCAAGGCTCTTTCTATGGTTTACAGCTCAGGATTTGTCTGAAGGAGACAAACTGTGAGGTTGGGTTTGGGTGGCAGCAGAAAGGCCCGCAAAAGAGTATAGGGGCTGCAATCGTCTCTCCAGGAACTCACCTGCTTTTGCTTTTGCACAAAATAATGGTTTGGCTGAGTCTTAGGAGTGAACTAGCACTGTGAGTTGCTGCAGCGCTTTGTTGTGCTTTTCTGCCCTTGAAGACTGCAGGGTGCAAGACAACTTTCAGAATAGATGAAATCTCTTCCATACATTTAAAGTGCAGTCTTCATGAAATATTTTAACCCTTGTTCTGAGCTGGTTCCTGATTTTGGGTGGAGGGGTATTCCAGATCAGATATGGTGGAGATTTGCAAATAATGGTTCTAACTGAGGGAAAAATAAACTACGGCTCTAGTTCCTGTTAGCACTAACTGTATAGTTTGCTGTCTTGTATGGCTGGGCTGGAGTTATTGTAGTGCTATTACCAGGCAAATCTGAACTAGAAGTCCAGAGGCCATTTCCAGTCCAATGAATTATCTAGAGTCTAGAGACTTCATTCCCACTGCATTGCATGACACAAATATGACCCCCCCCCACAACCTGAAAAGAGAGGAAATGCTATAAAATGACTTGATACTTTTACTTTTCTTCATTTGGCTGCCCACCAAGGAAAGTTATTCAACAGCAAACCATGTAGACATAACATCCGGCCCTGATCCTAAAGCCCCTGCTGCTAACACGATGGGAGACTTAATGATAATAATAATACTCATCTGTGATGCAGAGTTTGTTTTCCATCCTGCAGAATGAATTTAAGATGCATGCTTATTTCATGGGTGGAAAAATTCACCTAGTGCTCACATTCACAGTGGCAAGTCCTGGGAATGATGGATGTTTAAAAAATTCAACCACATGCATTTTTTTAAAGGTACTATGGTGCCATGGTTTCCATTTACCTTCTGAGAGACCTTCAAGCTTCCAGTCACATTCCCATCAATTAAGTTAGTGAACTTCTCCTTAATTGTGCTACAAGCTGGCCCATTTTATACTAAGGACTGTGATCAGCAGCCCTATTCAGGGGCCATAGAAAACTCCACTGAGGTAATAAGTACACCCCTATTGGAGAAGGATGGAAACACCTGCACTTGTAGAGTCTCTCCATATGATGTAGATCCTGGAAACCCTGGAGAACCAGGATTCTACATCACACCTCCACAAGCAGAAGCAGGCTTCCCATTTCAGACATTCACTCATCAACTTGCACAGGACAAAGGGCACAGGATAGAGGCAGGAGAAGGTAATGCTAATATGCTGGTCCTCATATGCGAGAAATTTCCACATTTCTATAATACCTGAATTGGGCTAGTGAGTTTCTCCCCCACCTCCTGTTGTATCGTGATGTAGTGCCCTTCCTTTTTGCTAGTATTCACATGAATTCCAGGTGCTTATCATCAATATGAAATCTAGGAATCAGATGCATTAGGGGTGTGAAGGCTTTCCAGAAGGATCTATCTTCATGTTGAAATGTGCATATTGAGCAGCCAACCTGTGATTTGCGATTATCCTCATTTTACATATATATATTTTAAAGGAAACAAAATTAAGGTGATGATGTTCAGCAGTGGAGAACTGTTTGTCAAACAGATATGCCTCAATCTCCCTGGGACACACAGCAGTCTTTGCAGGAAGCTGCGCAGCAAGTCCAGGTGGCCTTTTTTTTTTTTAAGGCTCCAGGGAGCTGTGTGGCCCCTGAGTTTGCCCACGAGGTCCAGGCTCAGGAATGTTCCTGAGCCCGGGGGGAAAGCTTGGGGCTTTTACACGAAGGACTTGAAATGTGTTAGGTGAAAAAACAATAAACATGTTGAGGGAGTTACCAGAAACATGTTGATATGCTGGAAAAACTTAAAAGGTGGGTCTCATGAGCAGGTGGAGGTGAAAGATGGCTCAGCGGCCAGTCGAGGTTGACATGTGCAGCTGGTCTTCTCTCTTACACCCTTGTAAGAGGCTGTGGCTGCCCCTGATGCACGGTCACTCTTGTGCACAGGTTTGACCCAGGGCAGAACTAGCATAGAACTGAGTAGCTTGAGTAATTCATTTTTTTCACATTTAGTCAACTGAATGGCTGAACTAGTGCAGATGGGGCATCAAGTTTGTGTGTGTGTATGTGCTCAGAAGCCAGGGAACAAATTCCTGCTGGACAATGGCTCGTTTGCTTTTTTTTTACCTGAATAAAGTGGTTACCATGGAAATGGGCTCTCATGGCATGTTTTTTCACCTCTTGAAGTCCAGCAAATCCCACAAGTAAAAGGCAAGACAGATTTGTTTGTAAGTGGAGAATGGGCAGGGCTGAGGGATAGTGAAGAAAAATATACAACAAATAATTTCTTGATTTTTTTTAAAGAGTTGCAGGAGGTAAATTTAGCTCAGTATTTACTGCCTTCTGAGATACTTTACTCACATTGAGCCTTGTTTCTAAAGGGATTATTCATGAATAAGGATGGGCAGGTCTGTGAATTTAGTTTTGTTACATTCTGCATCAGATATTTTTTAACCCTCTCAAAAGTTCATCAGCCTTTTAGTGTTCATTTGTCTAAACTTTGTATGCAAGTTGGCCTAATACGTACATTTTGGGATACAATTTTGCTTAATATAATGCACTTTACTATGTCATATTACTAATATGTGGATTCTTATGCACACATTCCCCTGATATGCATCTTTTTGTACACATGTTTTGGTTGGAGAACTGCATCACAAAATGTAGAGAAGTGTAAATTCAGGATCGCAGATAGTTTTGGAAAGCCAAATTTCTCCCTTATCCCTGCTCATGAGTAGAAATGCCTAGCCCAAAGCATACCTTCTCCTGGCAGTGTAGCACCTAATGGTGTGCTATGTTTGTGTCTGTAGGGCATTTTTCACCAAACTTTGTCAGTTGTGGGACTGTGATCTACCCTTTCATTATCACCATCTTGTTGCCATTGGAAGGTACCTATTATTCAGTGAAAGCTGGACCATAAAGAAGGCTGATCGCCGAAGAATTGATGCTTTTGAATTATGGTGCTGGAGGAGACTCTTGAGTCTCATGGACTGCAAGAAGATCCCATGGACTGCAAGAAGATCAAACCTATCCATTCTTAAGGAAATCAGCCCTGAGTGCTCACTGGAAGGACAGATCATGAAGCTGAGGCTCCAATACTTTGGCCACCTCATGAGAAGAGAAGACTCCCTGGAAAAGACCCTGATGTTGGGAAAGATGGAGGGCACAAGGAGAAGGGGACGGCAGAGGATGAGATGGTGGGACAGTGTTCTCGAAGCTACCAGCATGAGTTTGACTAAACTGTGGGAGGCAGTGGAAGACAGAAGTGCCTGGCGTGCTCTGGTCCATGGGGTCACGAAGAGCTGGACACGACTAAACGACTAAACAACAACAACATTATTCAGTTAGACTTAGGGGAGAAGCTAAGAAATTGAAACAGTGAGTATGTATATGATCGTGAATGTGAGATGACTGAGTCCACTGCATGCTTTTTAGTATGTCTTAAGATCACACAGTATTTATTTTCTTTCTTCATTCATTCTTTTATATTGCCCTGTGACTACCAGATGAAGGCCATCAAGATATAGAAATGATGACGGTGATGATGATGATGATGATTGTAGGGACATTTTTCATGGCTGGTGGCCATTTGCACTGAAATATGTCACTTTAGTTTTCTGCTGTATTTTAAATTGTTATATGGTACTGAAATGATTACTTGTTTGTACAGTTGTCTGGAGCTGGAGTAAAGCTTTCTAGAATTTTCTAGAATGTTTAAACATCATTTTGCTTTTAATCAGTTAATTGATCAGTGACCAGCTTTAAATAAAAAGATGTCTCAATGAAGCTGAGGATTTTAGCATCCCAGACGAAGGTAACAATCTCTTCTGTTGACTGATTTACAAAGATAAATAACTGCAAATGCCTTTGGTGCTATTTTTAAATCTAGCTATATAAATCAAGAGACAACCAGCAGCTCCACTGAAATCCATGGAAATGTCAGGAAAACAAACGCAGATGTCAGTTTGCAGTGAAGCAGTCAGGATGAGAAAGGACAGGTAGATCTGTGAGCTGCTGGAGGATAGCGGATTTTCTTCTTCTTTCTCTCTTTTGTCTCTCTGTGTGGGAAGGGGGTATTTTGTTTAGAAATGAGGCATGGCACTAGCCAGGGAAAACTATGCAACCTCTGCAAGCTTTCCTCACAGCCCCAGATCAAGATTCACTGAGAAGCTTTTGAAACAGAAGACTCAGCTGTTGCATGTTGACAGGTGAGACGGCAGAGGAAGAATAATTGCTGTACAATCCTCTGCCTGCCAGTCTTGTCCATCTGTACTCCACTCTTCTGACACAGATGGCAAGGTGGCGTTCTCTTTCACAGCTCTAAAATATTCAGTCATGCTCTCTGCGCCTGTGAGGTTTGTGTGTCAGCTTTGTTTCCTCTCTCACCTGATTCTTCTACAGAATGGAGAAACGGGAAGAATGCGAAAGTGACTCAGTCATTGGAAATAATGTTCGGTGGATGGGGAAATGATGTAATGCAGCTTACAGTGCCACACCACTGTTCACCTTGTGTGCTGCAACGAAGCAATGCCATTCCAACACTCTCAGGTATTTGCACAGTGCTTGGCACTTGGAACACCTTGACACTGAGATATTTCAAGTATGGTTGTCACCCAGTAACAGAAAATGGAGTGAATTACATACATACATCTTGTTCTGAAATCACCCTCTAGATAAGAGTCACCAACTCATAGGGCCCCCAAAGCCCTAAAACCTCTTCTTTCCTTCAGAGAGATCTTAGTGAGTCTCGTATAGGGGGGCTGAGACTCCTCCTCACTGAGTACTTTCTTGTGTTTCTGGCCTGATCTCCTTCTCGCTTACTCATCCCTCAAGAGCTGCTCTTGTAAGGAGTTCACTTTCCCAGCTCACCCCTGGGTCATTGTAACCCAGAAAGAGTTCCCTGGCAGTTCCTGTTGATGCAATGCTTTACTTTCCCAATCCGTGCTGCTTCTGTGGTTGTTCTCCCCCCAGCCCAACTCCTCTCTTTCACCTGAGCAGGCCGAGGACGGAAGAGCATCCCACACAGCTCTGCAGGTACTAGCTCTAGCCGTGCCAAGCCTCTGACAAGTCCTAGTTGCAATCCATTAAAATGATGATGACGATGATGATGATGATATGGTGTGCATGGTTGTACCCCACCCCCTGTCCTCCCAGAAATGCTGTGAAGTAGGCTGGGCAAAGAGAAAGCTACTGAAGCAAAGTCCTTCCCTGAGCTCCATGGCTGAATGAGCTTTTAAGTTTCAAACTCCCTATTCCTAGAGTGACACTTTACTTGAGCCACTGGTGGTGGGCAGGTCAGAGTGCTCTGTTTACAGGGGCCCATTGCACCCACCCACCTCTGTCAGTGTGGGCTGTGCCACTCAGGTCATGTGGGGAGGTGCACCTTTCTGCAAGGTGTTCTCAAGTGCATCTGCTTTACTGCTCCACGGAAGTGCAGGAGAGCTATTTGCTTATGCCATACATGAAGCATCATCCATCAGCTGCTTCAGACGTCAGACAGGTGAGAAATGCTTTGAAGCCAATCATTAAAATAAAAGACACCAAAAAGGAGTACATGACGACTGGTAGAGAGGGAAACACAGCTTGTGCCGACCACTGACCACATACCCATCCATCCTGGGTTCTCGCTTCTTGGTCAAGTTAGTTTGCGGTGGGATGTCAGGACCTGCTTGCTCTTTCACTAGACTGACAAGGTTTTCCTCTTTCCTTCTCCTAATGCTGCTTAGGCAGCATGACCAGGCCTCTAGGAGCCCAAGGAGGTGGGGCTGGGCCTGCCTGAGCTGTTTACAGTAAGTATGCCTGGAGGTAAGGTTCACAGACACACATCTTGAGTTTTAAAAAAACTCCTCCTGATTATATGAGGAGGTTTCAGGGGCGAAAAAAGGGAAAATGTGTATTCTCCCCACCCAGCCTCAAACTTCCCCCCACCCATGTAAGTCCCCAACAAAGGTTTGTTTCAGGCTGGCTGGAGACCTAACAAAGGTTTGTTTCAGGCTGGCTGGAGACCTAACCAGGTACGTTCCTGTGAGGGGCTGGGGGTGTGCTTCAGGGCTTCCACTTGTCACAGTCCAATTCTAAAAGGCTGAACAAATCCATAACATGCTTCTTCTTTGTTCTCCAGCGGTGACATTACCTTGTAACCAATCTTCAATTGTTTGGGCATGCACTTTTTGTGGACAGGCATCAAATAGCTGTCAAGTACTACAATTCTATGTTTCTGTGAATTTGTCTAATTTGTCTACATTCAAACATATTGCTGGTCAAAGACTTTCATTGGCTGGCTGTTGTCCATTCATAAAGGTGTACGTCGTCTCTTGGTTTTAGGATGAAAAACAGTTAGGCATGGGTTATTAAGGCTTATTTTTATGGTTCTTAGCAACTGTTAGGCTTGCCGTATGTATTGACTGCCAGTGGATTAATATGAACCATGAAAATAGGTTTACCAAAGTTACTAGTCCATCCATATACACAGACCTCTGCTATTTATTTGCGGCCAAAAGAAGAGCCAAGTTGTGTAAAACTTTAGTACCTGGTTGCCTGGAGATGTTGTATACAATGCTGGTACGTAAATGTTTAAAAGCCTGACCTACGGGGATATATATTTTATAAGACTGGATTATTATTATATTGCCAGTGAAAAATCCAATGAGCATCTTTTAATCATTGTTATTGCATAGAGATGTAACATACAAACTTCCTTTCCTGTGCACTTTCACTCCTGCATGTGTGTCTTCAAAATCAGTGGAACTTGTGTACGGATAAGAAGGCACAGAGTTAGATCACTGTCACAACTACAACCAATTCATAGCCAAAGCTGCAGATAGTGTCAAATGTTGTCAACATGTCAGATCAATAGATCTCATCATTGCAGACTGCCCTGAAGACTGCCCTGTGCTGTGAAATATTGATTACCTAGCAAGTCCAAATCAAATGGCAAAAATGATCTATAATAAATTATCAAAGCTTGTTAATCCAACACCTCAATCTCCTTATTATGCAGGCTGTTTTGTTGAATGATTCATGCTCTCATTTGCTAGGACAAAAAATTGCTCCCTAGTGAAACACTGGACAGAAATACCTTAGCTACAGTATTTGTGGGCAGAATAGTAAAAACAAGCTACAACAAACAGACGCATTCACTGCACTGTTGGGGCGTAGGATGTGCCTGGGAAAAGAGGAGCTGGGGAGAGAAGGGGGCAATCGCAGTGGTTCTTTGTGCCTCCTCCATGAGAGGGTGGCAACATGAGAATGGGCCTCATCTACAGTGGCTCCTCATTCAATCAATGGTTAAAAAACATGAAATAATATATCAACTTTTTTTGTCACAACCAATTTCCATAATAAAATATCACAGACGTCCTGTAATGTTAATGACCCACCCCTGGATGTGTATTGGGATGCTTGCAGGCAAAAATGGACATTTCCTTGGATTTGGCAACTGGCTGTGATGTAGAGGAGCTCAGGGCATAAGGTGGTTGTGCTGGGGTACTCCCATTTATCGCCATACAAGCTATTTTTACTGAACCACAAACCACTCTAGAATAGAGATGGTGACAATGTTTTTCCAAACCAGGCTCAGAAATGAACCGTGGCAAGGTCCCTAAAACCCCTACCCCCCCCCAAAAAGAGGGGAGTGTTTTCACTTTTCCTGAACATCTGATCCCATTGAGATCAAAATCTGAGTGCAGGATAAATCCCCAGCTTCCCTTCTGCCAATCTTCCTCTACTACAAGCAGCAATGCCAGGGTCAGATGCTTTCTCGTTCCAGCAACATTTTTGTAGTGCCCTCATCAGAGGAGTGTTGTTAATCATTTTACCTGTAAAGTTGACTTTCAGTAAGTAGTCTTTGTAGAGCTTCTTGCCATCCAAATGCTTCATGGCATCACAGAGTTTGGTTGTGTTTGGACACATGGTCCGTTGCATTTTATGCAGGGCGTGCGCCATTGCATATACCGCGTTCACCACAAACATGATCTTAGACTCTTGTTCGTAGTTGGAACTGTTGATAGATAAATGTTTGTCACACGTTTTTCTGTGGGGTTTCCGGTTCTGGAGGCTGCACTGAAATTTCTGCTCCCAAAAGTCCTTGAACCAGGGGTTGCGATGGTTAGCGTAAGGGGTGAGGCTTTGGAAGTATCGATCAAATTCTTTAACCGGATGAGAAGCAAGCTCGAGAGTTATTGCGCCATAGGCAACATGCTCATTGCCCTTCACAACACTTTCCTGTGCTCCCCACCCATCACTGGCAACCCATGTGAAGGAAACGTTGAATCGGTTGGCTGCAGCAATCAGCTCCCGGGAGTCATCACTGCGCATGAAGAGGACGACCACCTTGGCATTGGGTTTCTGGAGCAGCTCTCTGATAACGCTGTCATAGGACTTCCGAATATTGGAGCGACCAACCTTCTCAGAGGTGGCAATGCATATATTTCGGAGGCGTGCCTCTTGCTCAAATGCTTCAATGCCTGTTTCACCATAGTCTCCTTCAGAAGCGACCGTTGACACGTAAGTCCAGTTAAAGAACCGTAGGATCTCAGCCATTGCTTTGGCTTGGTAGAAGTCAGGCGGCACCGTCCGTGCAAAGTAGTCATAGCGAGACTTGTCACTCAGCTTGGCACTGGTCGAGGCGTAGCTTATCTGAGGAATCTGGAAAAGCCTGAGCAAGTTTGCAACCTAGGAAGAAGAACAGATATATTAGCTCATATGACCCCATTGCAACCATGAGCAGGGGGCAGATCCAGAGCATTTGTTTAAAGCACATTCAACATACACTTAAAGTACATGACTTCCTCCCTAAATCCTGGGAAATGTAGATTTCTCCTCACAAAGCTGCGATTTCTGGCACTCTTAACAAACTACAGCGCCAAGGTTTAGTTTGGGGAAGTCACCACTTTGAATATTGAATGTGCTTTAAAGATATGGGGTGGATCTGCCCCACATGGCAGATGATGAGAGTTTTACACAGATTGGTTCCAGATGTATTAGAGGGAATATATGATGAAAATTTCTCCTTGCAGGGTTTGGGGGTCCCCCCCCCCAGGAAATATCTATTTTTAAATGGTATTTGCTACCTGTTTTCTAAAACAATATATCTTAGTATTCTGCCACCACATTCTGAAGCAGATGGTGGCCAGGCTTGAATGTGCAAAGCAGCTCCATGGAAGTTTATTGTGTTTGAGGGTACCTGAAAGGTTACTTTCTAGAGTTTTATCTGTGCTGGCTTTTTCCTGCAGGCAAATCAGCTACTTGAACTTACTATCATGAAGTGAGCAACATTCATGTTAAAATGCTTTTTGACATTTTATCCAAGAAGCTGTAAAGAGGTAGTCTGAGAAGTCACCAAGTTATTTACTCAGGCCCCAGTCAATAGATATTAAAATTATACAGTGCATTCATGGAAATTTGAGAGCTAAATCTGCTAATTGCATCACTAGGATATTCTAAGAAGATTTTATTGCATTCGCTTAAAACAGATTCTCTAACCGCATTGGTGCCTGCAGGGAAAAAAATTAAGAAAAAATAACCCTGAAAAATGAAACTGTGCCTGTTCAGAGTTATTGCCTGCCAGCCATCTTGGATATTAAACTGTAAAAATCTAGCTAAATATTCATTATCTGCTATTATAGCACCCCAGGAAGGCAGTGCCTTAAAGCCTCTTATGACTTGATTAGCAAAGCAGAACAGTCAGAGCAGAGGCACTTTCCTTCCAAAGGAGGCCCCTGATTCACACCTTTTTTGATGCCAACTTTACAGCATTGCCATTCCATCTGCGGAGGAACATGGATGGTATGCCACCCCCACCCCCCGTGCCCTCCTGCCACGGACATAGCCCTGTATTTTGCAAAGGCTGTGCTCTCAGACAACCTGCAGGCCTAAAGGTCCTGCCCACAGGGGAGGGGCCTGCAGTAACGACGGATGATTCACTGCTCTGGCCTTGGCTTCTCTGGCACTGGACAATTTTCTCAGATGCCCAGGGAACCCTGTTCTTCATGCTGTCCTCTGTATGTAGCGCTCATGTTCAGAGCATGGACCCCAGCAGCCACACACCACAGGGGCTTCCTGGAGGGAATCTAAGAACATCTGCACAGGCACAGGCTCTCCCATGGGATTGGGACCTCAGTTGTGCAGGGACTCCTTACGATAGGGAGATCTGAGCTGCTGTTCACTGGGATATGCTTTCTTCTGTTCCGGAGGCTGAGCCCGAAACAATGGCTTCAAGTTAAAAGAAAAGAGATTCTGACTGAACGTCAGGGAGAGCTTTCTGACAGTCAGAGAGTTCAACAGTGGAACAATCTCCCTTGGGAGGTGGTGGACTCTCCTTCCTTGGAGGTTTTTAAGCAGAGGTTGGGTGGCCTTCTGTTGTGTTGTGTATGATCTAGTTGAGATTCCTGCATTGCAGGGGGTTGGACTAGATGACCCTCAAGATCTCTTCCAACTCTACAATTCTATGATTCTATGAAAGTGTAGATGTTGAAAGAGCAGGCCCAGCAAAGCACATGACATCAGGGAGAAATGGGAGAGAGGGGTTCTACCTGGACCAGCTCAATCTGAACATTTGTCTGCTGTTCTCTCCCCCAGGTATTTGGTGATTAAAGTCACACATCTTGCTTGAGGCTTGGTTCTCTGGCATAAGCTGAAGAATGAAAAGAAAGCCTGTGGCTCTCAGGTGGTGGATCACAGCCTGGGCAGAACCTGGAGGAGATGCCTGAGGATCCCTGAAGGTCATGTCCACCCCCCTGCCATGCAGGAATCTCAAGTAAAGCATCCCTGACAGATGGCCATCCAACCTCTGCTTAAAGACCTCCAAGGAAGGAGCGTACACCACCTCCCGAGGAAGACCTTTCCACTGTCTAACAGCTCTTCACAATACTTCTGAACTGCTCTCCATCCAAGCGCTATCACAGTTTGGCGGTTCAGGTAACATACTGTGGCCAATAGCTATGTCTGTACTGTCAAACAGCTCTTACCATTAGAATGTTTTTTCTGTTGGTGTACCAGGTGCCTTCACCATTGTTCTCTAATCTGGTGCTCTCTGGATGGTTTGGATTACAACTCCCGGCCGGCATCCTTGAACATTGGTGATGTCAGCTAGGCCTGCTGGGAGGTTCAAACCTCTTGAGAGCACCAAGTTGGGAAACTGTACTTCAGACTATGTCTGGCCGTTTCTTGATACCCTATATGCTGGTTTCATTTGGAGCCAGGCTCAGATTATGGAGCTGGGGGGGCGGGCTGGCTGGCTGTGTCCCCTCTCAAAAATGTGCCTGGATCCACACACCCCAGCCCCCCCCATTATGCCCCTGTGGTGTCCAGCTTTTATGGAGCTGTTGAGTTTACAGAACTGAGAAGCGATACTGTTTATATGACCAATTAGACCTCAGAATACTGGAATACCTTCTAAGGTGGTGGAGATGCCTACATGGTTGGATAGTTAGCAGATACTGAAAAGTGTGAACTATATTAATCAAATCCTATTTAGAAATTGTTAGTAAACCAGACTGGGGGAATCCAAATTGCATCCAAAATGAAATGACATGAAAAATCTGGAAGGAAAGCACAGCTAATTAAATGGAATTACATTAGAAGAGCTCAGGAATGAGAGGTGCATGAGAAGAATGATATTCTTCCTTCTCTCGCAAAGCTAAATTCACACAGTGCTATTCCCCCACTGGTCTTTCTAGGCAAACTGTTGCTGCCATCTCTCTTTCACACTCACATGATTTTAATTGGCTCCAGATTATGCTCTTTAGATTTTTTTAATTTTTACTATTGACTGTGTGTGTCAAGATGCTCATTGCTTATTTACCATTTTTTGTGGATGGGAGAGATGATGAGGGAAGCAAGAATCTGGCAGGAGAAAGAAAGGATCAGACTGACAGCTGTCCAGACAGAATTTGCAGGACATTGTAAATATTGCTGCAAATTACAACAAAGGCAGGCAGAAAGGGAGGTGCTCTTTGTTGGAGTAGCTCAGCTCAGCACACCTTATCACTCTGCTTTCACAGTGTTTATCATGAAACATGCAGTGAGGGTGAGCTATGAGCCTCAAGACACATCCTGTGGAGCCTTCCTGCTGATTTTCATAAGGATATTCAGGAGAAGGTGGCTTCAAACCTACTTCACCCACTGCCCATATTTAAGCAATATGATGCCCCTGATTCCCTTTGTTCTCTTTGACAGGCAGTTTTGGAACAATGATGGTGATGGATCATCCCACTCCAGGGATTAATGAAAGCAAGCCACCCCCACCCCCACCCGCAACAGAACACAAAGTGAGAGAGCGAATGGCTTAATGGGAGAGCTTCTGTTCTGCACGCAGAAAGACCCTGCCGTTAAAGGATCTTAAGAATACACGGAGGAAGGCTTTCTCTGCCTGAGACCTTGGAGAGCAGCTGCATTGAGGAAAACCCTGGGCTATGAGATAGACCACTGACCTAGCTCAGGGCAAGTCAATTTCATACGTTCCATTTGCGGCAGAGAAGCAGGGAGTTCTTCGGATGTGCATACATCTAAAACTTCCAATGTGTGGAAGTGTGAGGTTTTGATGTGATGGTACATCCCTGGGAGAACCCTCTGTGGAAGCCTCAGAAGAGGATCAGAGCCAGGGGAGAGGAGGTAGACATGGAAGACAGGTCAGGGGATGAAGGGGAACACAATGGTGGGGTGCTGACAGGTGAGAGAGAGAGGAAGAAGAGGCAGCTGGGAAGGAGGGGGGTGAGGCTGTAACAGAGTCGGAGGAGCCTGCCAGTCCTGCTGTACTGAGCTCCCCTCCCCGCTTATCTCCAGCAGATTTGCAGAACAAAGAGCACAGGGAGCACAGCTAAATGGAGTTTAAGATTGCTGCGAAAAGAGCCAGATGGGAAGGAGACAGGCGGAAGCAGGAGACTCAGATGGTCAGTTCTGGCAACTGCTTTACCAGGGCCAGTCTTGCCCATAGGATTCTCAGTTTGAATTCCGTTTCCTTGAATAAAGAATTGCCTTTATTGCTCATCTCTGAGTCTCAGTGCTGAATTGCAACTGAACCAGCCCTGACATCCCCTATGTCAGGCATAGGGAACCTTTTTGGCTTTGTGCACCCAGTTTGACTGCCCACCTGTCAGTCGCCTGACATCACAGGTGCTTTGAAGTCCCAAACTTGGGACTTCAAAGCACCACAGGCAGCCCAGGCATCAGGTGCTGGAGGGAATTGCCCGAAGGAGCAATTGCCTGAAGGAGACTTCAGCTCTAATGCCCATCAACTCTGTCACCCATTGGCCCATTGATTTCTAATTTAGGAGTGTATATTTAAGATTCTTAAACTCTCTTTGGGCATTCAGTGCTCCCCCACGAGTGGGTGTGGCCCCATTCATGCTGAGTGTGGCCCCACTCATGCTGCCATTCTAGGCTTTGCCACCCTCCATGCTCAATGCTCACAGCAGGAACATGCAGGATGGCCAGGGTTCAAAATTATGTGCAGCAGCTTCCTGAGTACAACAGGCTCCCTTCTGTAGACGTTCCCCCTTCAATGCTTGGCCGATGGTGGGGCTGGGCATTGGGGTGCTGTAGAGCAGCTGGGCTGGGCAGCAAGGCCATGCTCACCCTCAGGCAATTCTAAACATGTGAGGTAACTGAAAGCCCAAATAGATCTAAAAGGATCAACAGATATTTACATGTGGAAGGACCATGCCACTAGAGCAGAGATGTATTGTAGCACAGTGACTAAAAGGGACACATCAGTGGTGGTCCACTGAGGTGCATCTGGCCCCAACTCTCCATACAGTTTTAGGTGACTGGTTAGGACACACCTTTTATGGTTACTGGAGGAGACAGACCTGATTAGACAAAGGAATTCATTCCTGCTGCTCCTATTAGTAATTGTGATTTAGGGATTTGTTGCATTGTTGTTGTTGCTTTTGAATGGATTTTATGTATTCTTTTAATTTTATTTGACCACTGTTGTAAAATGTGGCTTATGCAAAGAATAGCATATAAATAATCTAAATCAGGGGTGGGGATCTGGATCTGGCTAAAAGTCCAGATCCTTATCTCTCCCACCCCAACAGGCCAATTTGACAGGTGGGCACCTGATGTCACAGTGCTGTCAGGTGACCCCCTTCATCCGTACAGTTTGAAAATAAACCATGTAGGCTTAAGCTTATAATGCACAATGCCTGTTGCCCTGAAATCAGCTTGTGGTTGGAACTTCAAAATGCCACACACAAGTCTCTACTGGTTTAAGTGATCAGTGGAGCCTGCAAACCCATTTTTTGACCCAGAGAGATCTTTACTTGCCCCACACCTGACATGTAAGACAGGTAGCTGTGGCTTGGCCAACATGGCTTCATGAGCCAAATGGTGAGGCCAGGTGGGTCTGCTTTAGATTTCCCACTGCTGCTAGAAGAGTTGGGGTTTTTTAATCAGCTGACAATCAGGAAATTGCAGGTGCAGATTTTTTCTCTGCCAACCTTATATGTTGGTGATGTAGAGTCACGCCTCCATGTAACCTTAGATGCTATGTTACATGCATCATGGGAGGCAGGGTGTCTGCTCACCTCTCCACTGTCCAAGGAAGGTCCCTGCCTATTCAGTGTGTGCTCTACAGAGCAATGTGCATGCACAGATCAACCCTGTCTCCCTGACCTGTTGTGACCATGGTTTTATGCTGAATGGTCACAGAATGGCAACCTTACTGAACATAGAGTGCATATAGAGTTCCCCAGATGGGCAGGGTGGTATTACTACTACTACTATGTGCATTGTCCAGTTGAGTTCTTTGTCACCTTGTCCCCAGTTTGAGTTTCAAGTGCTTGAGCAAACTTTCAGATCCACAGCTGTTATTTCTTTTCCAGAAAAAAATCTTTTCAACTGGACCCTAATCCTGCATTCTAGCACTGAGGCCGTTTGCTATTGATCTCAGGAGGAAGGTCTGCTTGAGTCAGAAGCTTGTAAACACATATAGCTGGTACAAAATGCATTGCTTGTTACACCTTTATAATTTCAAGTCATGAAGGAGAGCCTGAGCATTTGGAACTGGACAATGTACTCCAGTGCTCTGAGCCTTCTGTTAGCCGTGGAAACTAGATGAGATGACCCCAAAGGTCTACATTCCTTAATGCCATTTCTTTGATTCTAAGGTGGGCACTGTTAGTCCCACAAGTGATTTATGCCAGTTTCACTAGAAGAGGAAACCAATATATTTGTAAGTTTCATTATTCCATATTGCAAGGTCCTGCCCCCTAGACTGAGTCCAAAACTCACAATTCTTTGAGAACGAAAGTCTGCTTACAGCTCCAGAGCACCCAGACGTTCTTGGAGAGGAGCAACTTATTCTCCCCAAGCCTCCTTTTGTCTGGAAACAGTTAGAGTCCACCTTGAAGATCTAGCTGAAGTGGGCCCTTCTTTGAGAGTCTTCTCAAATAGCCTGTGGTGAGGGCAAATGGAGCATAGCGCACCCTTATTCTTCCCTGTCAGGCACTACCTCCAAGGCTCGCTGTCACTCTGCTTTTGCTGGTGGCCCTCTCCACCAGCAGAATTGTCCCATTTCAAGACATCTCTGGGACAGCAGTGTTCCTCCATCACTTCCAGCCTTGGCTCTGTTTACATCTAGCTGATTATGCGGGAAGGACATCAGAGGGCCTGCAGGTACATGTACAGAACTGGAGACAACTGTGTTGGTTTAAGACTCAAATTTAAACACCACAGAGCTGCTTTCCACAGCAACTAGGAACCAGGCAAGCATCATCTCAGTTCAAGGACACGTTCCAGCCAGGCAAAAGAGCTCAAAGAGCCAAGCGAGTGAGGGGTGTCTCTTGGGGAGAGGACCAAATAGAGAGGCCAGGAGGACGACATTTGGTCTCCAGGCCAGAGGTGACCCCCCCTCTAATATTTGAAGTGACCCCATACTGAATCAGATCATTGGCCTACCCTTACCCCAGTATTGCCAACGCTGATTGGCAGTGGCTTACCATGTTCTCAAGTGCAGGATTTTTTAAATCCAGAGTCTGCCTGAGAGCCTGGAGATGCCAGGGGTTGAACTTAGGACTCTGTGCATGTCAAGCATGTGCTCCACTACTGAGTTAGGGTAAACACAACATCTCACATCGATCCAAGTTTAACTAGAGAAGACATTTCCAAACTGAACTCAGTATTCTTATGTCAAAGTCATCCATAGCAGAATTGAACTCAGCTTGGTCCACCACATGTGAAGGCAATTCCTGGGCTTTTGGAAGGAGAATGCCCTCTCTTCCACTAGTCCTAATTCTGGCCTCAAGCTAGTGAAGGAAAGGAGATGAACTCCTGCTCCTGCCAGTGAACATCATGCTTCAGGGTTATCCTCTGTGGTCAAATGATGATCACCAATCTTCATCAGCAAGTCTCTCAAACTCCCTTTCATTCTTGTGGTTTCTTTTATACCCAAAGCCACACACCACCCATCCTTTGCAGCCCTCCTTATCCAGCCGTCCTTTTCTGCCTGCTAGCTGAGTGTAATTCAGGTGGCTCTGCCTGACAGGAGCTGCTACACTTTCCAGCTCCTTTTGGGAGGAACCTCAGCTGGGTAGCATGACCCACATGTCTGGTTCTTCCCTGACACCCACATGGGCTCATGAGTGTTTCCCCATTGGATTCTGTAGAGTAGGTAAAAGGACATTGAGATGGAAAACTTGTTCTTAAGTGTTAAGATATCTCACCTGTATGGAGACGCTGCTGTAAGAACCTCCAATGACTCCTGCAATGAGTAGTGGGATGTTTTCTTGAATCGCGTACGACCCATCAGGACACATATATTCGGCTTCATCCACTTTAGTCAAAGAAGCCCTGACAAACTCCAGGGACTGTTCTAATGCATACGTGTCCCGGGAGCAAGTGTCCAAAATGTGAACTCCAAGCTTAATTCCTGGGAGCAAGGAGCTGTCTCTGTTGATCTCATCAATCGCAAACAACATTGCCTCCAAACGCTGGATACCTCGGTCTTCATTGATTCTCCCACATTCTTCTGCTCCACTGCCCTTTTCCTTAATAGGGAACAGACCACCCAGAACCAGGTCTCCTTCAATCTTAATTTCTTTCCTCATAAAGTTGTGGTCACCTAGAGAAAGGAAGCCTCCTTTGGAAAATAAAGCCAGCACAAGCACATGGAGCCTTGCAAACATCTTTGTTGGTCCTGTTCTGACAGCTCTAAGAAGCATCTGCAGGAGTGCTAGTGACCTTCATTCCTTCCAGCGCATCGTGTGGCAATATGAAATGCCATCCCATGGGCGAGGGAGGCGCAAGCCGGCCAGATCTTCCATCAAGTCTCTAGAGAGATGAAAAATGGTTAGAAAAGCCTAAAGTAAGACACATGATGGCTTTTCCCCACTGAACACATACTGAGCTGGTCTTTAAGGTTTCAGAGGACTCTGAAAACATTTTCTGTGGTGTAGGAGTAACCATGCACCCAAACCCTTCATCTCACAGCTCCTGAACATGTGGCACGAGGGCTTTGCAGAGATAGCCAAGTTCACATAACTCTTCCCACTCAAAAAAAGCACATGGGGGCAGGCAGTGATGTGATGAGTGTAGGCGACGATTGTGCACACAGTGATACATGTGAAGCTCTTGCATTTTATGAAATGGGCCTCTGTCCTTATGTCACAATGCAGTGAGAGTGATCTGTTAGCACAAAGAAGATTCAGCTGTGGAAAAGAAGAGCTCAGGAAAAAGAAAAGCCCCCTGCACCCAAATACTGGGCAGTACAAATGTGATGCACATGGACCAATATACTCTGACTAGCCATTGACCAGAGCTGCCAGCTCTGACAGTGTCAACCACATGTTAGTGTGCTGTCAATCAAGACACCTGCTTTACCCTTCCTGGCCACATAACTAGGTAAGTGGCTTTCTGGTTCACTGTTCTGCCTGGGCACATAAACATGAGTGTAGGCAAAGGGAAGAGCAGGTTCATTGTCCTTGTCACAAACCCTACTCCTGTTCCTCTTCAGAATCCCCGTGGTTTGCCCAAAGATACTCTTCAGCCATGCACTCCAAGGAAAACCCCCACATAGATACCAGATATTGCTGAAATTAGGGGTGGCTAACCTTTTTGGGGCCTAGAACCACATTTGCCCAATCCTCAGGGTGGGGCTGAGCACTTTGATCAACATGCCAGTGGTAGGCAGGCCTGTACAGATGGTAGGGAGAGCCAGGTACACCTGCTGTTGGCCTCAGAGGGCTACGCCAGCTTATGCTGTCATGCCAAGAATGCCCCGTGCCTCCCAGCTGACCAGGGACTTCTGCCCTGCACCTCAGACAAGCTCTGTATGGGTCTGGTGGTCCCCCCCCCTCTCTCTCTCTCACACACACACACACCCTGATCTGCACAGATCAGCTGAGGAAGAAGGGTTATCTGAGAACTAGGGAGCAGTTGACTTGCATCACATCCGGTCAGATGTGTGAGAGAGCACTTTCATCTGCTTTAATTGCGCAACCTCGAATTTCCCGGCATGTGCATATATTTCCTCCTGCAAAATACTGACTGTCCAGAGTTGTTTTGGCTGACTGCTGTGGGAAACAGGATGTGCAACTCAAAAACGATATTGTGGACCTAGAAATAATATGGAAAAAGTGGGCAGAGAGAAGACTCGCTCTTTTTTTCTCATAATACTTGAACCCAGGGTCAGGCAGTGAAGATGAATGCCTGATTAAGAACAGACAAAGGGAAGCACTTCTGCACATAGTGCCCAGTTGAACGACAGCATTTGCTCCTGGGAGATTTAGTGGTGGCCAGCGACTTAGATGGCTTTAAAATGGGACTGGACAAATTCATGGAGGGTAAAAGTGGTTATTAGTCATGATGGCTATTTAGTGCCTCTAATATCTGAGACAGGACACCTCTGAATAGGAGGGAATTGGCGGGAGAGGGCTATTGTGCTCATGCCCTGGTGGAAAGTCATTTTGAGTTCTAGTTTTCTGGAAAAAGCATCATCATCATTGGCATTTGGTTGGTCACTATGGAAACAGAATGCTGGACTAGACAGGGCTTTGTCTGCTCCAGTAGGACTCTTACATTTCTGTGTTGAGATTGAGCCTGGGTCACAAGCAGGAGGACTATTCTTACATTTTTGTTCTCTTGGGTTCCCCCGGATCCAGCTTCTCATTCTGTCCACTCTGGTGGGGCTGATATCAGCTCCCCGCTAGATGCATAGCACCCCTGTCTAGTAGATTGTGCCCCTGATCATGCCAGAAGGAAGCTTAAGCACTTACACACACCATATATTCTGGGTGAGGTATGTATATTGGGGGGAGCACTGGTTGTTGTTTTTTGTCCTTGATCCTGTTTCATTAAATTGCAAGATTGGTGTGCTAGCCCTCAAAGTAAATCAAGTATGGTAATATTTATATAGGGCACTTTAATAATGCATGACTGTACTTACCTTTTTCCTTAAAGCAGAATTTATAATGATGGCACTTGCAGGCCTATGTATAATTTAGAAACACTTAGCATTATTTAAAAGAGAGTGCTAAGAAATTTAAAGAAGAGAAAATTAAAATTTAACACCAAAAGAAGGAGAAACAAGGTTGTTTGTTGCTGTAGTTTTCTTCTCTTTCTTCTCCTTCCCACCCATGTGATTGTGAGGCAAAGGAGGGGGATCTGCAGGCTTTAAATTGGTAGGAATTCCTGTAAAATGGGCAAGACGCTTTTTCTATTGACAAACAGCCTCAACTGTAGCTCATCTAAGAAGTCCAGAGTTTTGCCTTCATGGACGAAAAGTGATATCTGTGCTGCAAAAAAGTGTCTTCACTCTTCACCACTGGCAATCTGCTTTTGTTATTTCATGTGCACAATCTCCAAGGTTAGCAAAGAGGATGTCTCCAAAGGATAAGAGATACCAACAAAACACATATCCCTGGTGTTTGGATATGAATTTCAAGGACTCGTCTCAACAAAGGGAGGAGTATTGAGAGCCCTGGATATTTCATAATTAAATTCCAACTGGAGAAGAATTCACATTTAAGCCCCCTTCACCTCCAGAGCACCCGCTTCCCTTCTCACCCATCCACCCAACTGTATTGGAGAGTGAGGTTTAGAAGAAAGATTCTTAGTCTCTCATAGCAGATTTAGCAACATGGAGATTGCTCCAAGCAAATTAAAACCTGGTTAGATTTGCATCTACCCTCAACCTCATTTAAGCAAATGTTCCTCACAAAAATACTTGGACTAGAATAAATCACAGATAGTTAGCTTTGCAAATAAGTGAAGATTTTTCTCACAGAGGTTTCAGAAGTTACAGCAAAAAAAATTAAGACTGCATGGTTCCTTCTTGTTCCAGGAAGCAGAGTAGAGCAGTACAATAAATGTAAGGTTTCAGCTGCCCTTGGGGAAATTACATTTCCCAAGGGCTACCAGGATCTTGCATCTTTGTGGTGGACTGACATACACCATAAAGTCCTGCCTCGTTCCTTCACCCAGTGACTGGTTGGGTGGGAGGGATTTGGGGGCTTATTATTTTATTTTATTTAACAAAATTTATACACTACTTAACTGTACTAACATGTCTAATGGGGTTACAGTGGAGACAAAGGACAGCCCAAGTTCAGAAATGAGGCAAGCTGTTTCCCAATTTTGGGGGCAGATAACTTGGCTACATTCTAGACAAATCTGGTGCAAAGCAAGAGTTGTGCAATGACTGCAGATTAAGAACTCTCTGTTTGCAGCCAGATGCTGTTCTGCTCTGTTGATGTTTTCTTTAAAAAGTCATATATAGTCTTGCTTAATTCTGCTGAAATCAGTGGGAATGAAAAGGACTAAATTTTTGGTGGATCACAATCTAGTATTTAAATAGTAAAGGTAAAGGGATCCCTGACCATTAGGTCCAGTCATGACCGACACTGGCCTTCATCTCGCTTTATTGGCCGAGGGAGCCGGCGTCCAGCTTCCGGGTCATGTGGCCAGCAGGACTAAGCTGCTTCTGGCGAACTTCAATTCTGGTATTTCAATAAAGGGGCACAATTCACTAAAAGGAACAGGAAGTGTGAAACTGGGAAGGTTTCCTTTAAGTTTAGCTTAGTTTGTTTAAACAAAAATCCACTGAGTTCAATGAAAGTTATTTTGTAGAAAATGTACCTCAGAGACAGGAATGTACATATACAGGGAATGAGGAGTTAAATCTAAATTTTGTACAAAGGTAATAAAATTCTAGTTGGAATTAATCATGCAAATCGTAAATCTGAATATATTCATTTTGCCATACAAAATGAAACTAGTTTTTGTCATTAAAATTATTCTTCCCATATGCTCACAACCACCACTGCAGAATGCTAGCATTTGAAACTAGGCATGGATGTCTGCAACATTTCAACAGCTGCTTTCCTTGCATTGCTTCTGGGATCGCCTGATCAGGGCTAGAAATTGACTTAGCTGTGGTTCTGAAGCCATTTCTGTCCATTTGCAGTGTGACTTGCTCTCCCAGGATCTAATTATTAGTGATTTGACAGACTCTGAAGTATAAAAGGCTCAAGTCAAATCACACCAGTGCAGCAGAAGGAGCTGACAAGCTCGATTCAAGATTCCCAGATCATTTGTGAGAAGACTCAGAGCAAGAGGCCTCCCCGTTATACAGAATAAGGTGGAGGAAGAATGGTGGAAAGTGGGAGGTTTGCCGTGTTTTTGATGCAGTGAATGAATTGGCAAAGGGAGGGGAGTTGGCTTAGCATAGCCTGATGAGCAGCTTTACTCTCTGCAGATTTTTTATTTTTATTTTTTTAAAGACTAGTGGTCGAGTATTCAAAAATAGGATATTCCTTCTGTATTTCGACATGCTGTCCCCTTAGCTGACTTGTTCATACCCATAGCTCTTATGTGAGAGCGCATGAAAGGAAAAATGCAATTCCAGCATCAAGTTTGGTGAAGGGGCTGATTCACAGACCCAGTTTCTGGTGGCATTTCCCCCAAAGGCCCACCCGTGGCCTGGCATTGTCTTCCGAGACAGATGAATGCCAACACCAGGTTCCTGCACATTAAATGTTAGTGTATCTAAACAGAGCAAATCATGTTATTTATCATCAGGGTTTTTTATTTTAAAAAATGTGTTTACGGTCTTTCAAAACAAGTCATCCATCAGGTGGCAATATTGCTTGACTGCAGTTTTTCATACAGTTGATTGCTCCCCCATGAAAAATAAAGCAAAAACTAGCATCTTCAGGAAGGCCAGGAAAAAAGCCTAGAGAGTTTCTCAAAAGATCCTTTCAGTGCCCTATTGTGGTACATTTTCTGGAGATCAGATTTTAAAAGTATGCAAGAGAGTTCATTTCATTTATCTCTTCCCTTTCACTTTAAAAGTTTAATCTGTTTCATTTTCCATTTATTTGAATTGCATTCATTTCTTTTTGCCCATTGATTTCAATGGGTGTATTCTGCTGCCTGGAACTTCTGTGTCTTCCAGGACTTCTGACCTGTGAAAGACTCCAATTCTAATGGGCTTTAAAAAACAAAAACAAAAACATTTTTATATGCTTTCCTATACTTCTAGTGGGGGATTTGGTTATTTTTCTTGCATAATATCAAACTATACCCACTTAAAGTAGATCATATGGAGCTCATGAATGCATTTTGTATTTTTATAAAAGCCTAAATAAAGTAGGGATGGGACGTG